CATGCTAGACGAATCTTCCACGCGTTCCGTTTTTGGATCGGGAGTGAGTAGGATTGCTACCGCAACCTACTCTATCACACTCTACAGTCTCCCGCGGGAGTCTAAGATCCTTTTTTGTGGATCTCTTCGTGATTAGTTTTCATACTTCTAATCCTCTCATAACTTTCATTCTCTCAAACTCAAAACACTCGAAAGATCTTTACACTAGCTTTTAGCGTAGTGCATTTTGTTAACAAACACAATAGCTTTCAGCTACCCTCAACCTATTCCTCACATGAAGATTGCCAAAGACGCTTACACCAGCTTCGAGTCAAGCTTCGCGACAAACCAATCCTTCCTCTCATCGACCCGATGATAATGCGAAATCGACGATTCTCGCTCTACCACCTACAAACTTCGCCACTGTTCCAGCAGATGCTAACAGCGCCAAGTACACTTCAAGGTCCAAATCATCAATGATCTGAGACTCCACGTCAGACCATCAAGTGGCTGGACGCATGGAGAAGTCTTCGTTGGGCTTGCCATTGCTACGCCTACGATAAACATAACCTCCTCAAGGAGATGACTTCTACCTCTGCAAGAGCAGTTACGAATCTAGCTGTGCAGCCACCGTGAACTACGTTGGAATGCCGTCGCCAGATTGCAGTCAACGCGATTCCTCCACGCGACATACGTGGGTGAAGACGAAGCCACTTTCCAAGCACTTCCATCTCGCTCTTTTAGCATTTATCTAGTGGCGTGGAAGTACTCCACGCTGGCTAAATATCTAGAGCGATGTTTCATCATCAACCTAGTATGACTAGAGCGGTCATTGAGAACCCTGTCTCAATGACTATTCACGAAAGACTCAGTCATGAGTCGAACTCAAACCCTATCTAGGATCGAGTCGCGAATAAGGCTAAGAGCCGTGTATTGCACCTGAGCAAAGATTCAATTCAAAGGTAAGGAACCATCTAGGCTCTGCAGGATTTTTTTGGGGGGTACCCTACCTTTGGCTTCAGGCTTATTGCTGCTTGCACACCATAGAGCGAGGGGGGGTACCCCTCCCATGAGGATTTGGCACTACTGCGCAATGGGGGGGGCTAAATTACCTACATAAAATCCAACCTATACCACTGGTCCTGTCATGTTGACACTGGGTATCATTTTAATCACGGAACGGTTACATTGCAGTTACCCCTCCGGAGGCAGGGGGTAGTGCTGCTGTTGTTGTTGCTTATGCTGCTGCTTACAGGCGGAAGCGTCAGATGGATAACTGAAAGAGACCCACGCCTTCGTGGGCTAGGAATGGACCAACAAGTACAAGAATGGACCAACCAGTACAATCTGTGCTTTGTCATGAACAGCTCTGCAGTGTTCCTGAGTACCACTTTGAAAACTGTGTACTGGTCTGGCCTCTTTTCAAGTAAATAGCTAGCCGAGCGCAACTTTGTACTTGTTGGTCCATTCCTAGTGGGAGGTTGTGTCGTCCGGTGCGGTGGCTCCTCTCTCCTTGGTTAATGATGGTGTTATTATTGCTGGATAATGGCGATCGTTCATCGGTGTGAGATGCCATCTTTCCAGAGCGTAAGAAAGCCAAGCAAGACCAATGCTGGGACTTTGATAGAAAGATGTTGGAGGGGAGGGGGGCTCACCCTGCTTGCGGGTGACACACTTAGACTGAATGCCACTAATTTAATTTACTTAGGAGACTCCCTACAGAGGGGTCGCGAAGACCCACGAGGGCATTGATTTTTCTTCCAGAGCAATGATAAAGATCACCTACAGATGGTTACTGGAGCTACACAAGTGCATTGCTCATGTTTTCGCTTTGTGCCACTGCAAGATTTGTATTTGATTCTACACTCAAGCCAACACTGGCTGCTCACTGGTCCACAATTTGGAACCACAGCAATGCACTGAATATGTGGTTCCTATCAGCTCAGTTCAGCATACTGTTCACCATCTGAACAAGCAGTGTCGTCAGTCATATCTGTTATCCACCGCTCTCACTCTAGTACTGCCATTTTGATAGCACTTCACCTCTCCAGAGCACCACTCATATCTGTATGACTCTACTCTGTCTACCTGGCCTGAGAGATGCACGTGGAACCTTCCATGGCACGGATCGTTCCAATGCATCCCTCACTCCGAGCATGGAGCACCATGGAGTTCACAGCTGTATGATGAGTGCACATGGCCAATGCCACCACTCACACACAGCTTGGGTTATGCACAAAGCAATAGTAGCACTAACAACAGCTCTATAGCCTTAAGCCCAAACTACTTAGTAGTACTCCTAGCTCGTAGCTCCGGCCATAGTGTAGACAGGGGTAGACAATAGCCCTGTAGGTGTCCCAGAATATCGTTGCATGCATACAAAGCTTGCCTACCTAGCTTTATGAGTCTGGCTATAATCTGTCATTGATTTGCCGCTAGCATTATAGCTATTGGTTAAGTTTTCACATTCTGGAAGGGAAGCACATCGACAAAGGGATTGCACAAAACTCATGATCTCTAAAGTTTGAATCAATCCAATCAACAGCAACCGGAAGTCATGTTGGCTCATTCATACTAGCAGCTCAAACCTGGGACTATTAAAGCCATACTGTCCTGCAAGTCACAACCTAACTAATGAGGTTTTAGCTGAAGCTCTGGGACTAGGAGGAACCCATGCCAAATTTTGTCTGTGTCTTCCAGGGTGCTCTCTTGTGGCAGTTTTCAAGGCAATTATTGAATTGATTGATGGCACATTTATTTGGATCACCCAGCTTCCCCCTTCACACTTGGTGAGTTTTGCTCAGTGGATGATTTGGGCATAGCAAGAATCATTTCAGTTAGCATAACCAAAGCTCACATACTGAAGAGCCACATTGTGTTGCACCATGTTGGCAAAAGTTCTCCAGGCTCTCAGCAGAATGTGTTTGGCGTGTCAAAGGCATTTCAATGAAAAGTTGCCTCTCAAACTCTACAATGACCCGAAGACTGACTCTGCCACAGCCCCACAAGTCCGTCAAAGTGTCTTTTGAGCCGAAAGAGCAGCAATTTAACAAAATTGGCATTGACTGCATTCTCATCATCATCAGACATCTCCAAGTTGGTGAATGATAGCCTGAGAATGCCTTTTTTTGGTCTGCACTTACAGGTGAAGTCTCCACGCATCCCACGATCCATGCGGGGTTCCTGACGTTCAACCTCAACCTTACTGTACCGCACCACGCGTTTGTTCGAAGACGCGTCCTTTTATTCTCGATCACAACGAGAAATCTCCCTCTGGTTGCTTGTTGAATGAGACGATGAAGAGATAGAAGAGTCTAGCTAGTAGTAGTAGCTAGCTAGGTCCATTAATTTATGCAAGCATGACCACTACCAGCGATGAAGATCCTCCTGCATATGAGGACGCCTCATCATCTATCGATGTCGCCGAGAGCTCAGTGACACAGCTCAACGGCAGCAGCAGTGCGCCACCCACCACCAAGCTTTGGAAAAAGAAGAAAACCAAGAATGGTGTCAATAGTAAGAACAATAAGAAACCAATGGTACCACCCCCAGAACCTCGAAAGCACAGTCTGATACGGAAACGATCCTTGACATTTGGCAATCCTGCCCTGGGAACCTATCATGGTTGTGTCTACACATTGGATGAAGTGGGCCAAGATTTGTTGGGTGCCAGTCGACCCATTATCGAGGGAGCCGAGTCGGTGGAACGGGTGGTGGCCATGGTGGATGTCCCACCGGAAGAAGTACCCGAAGGAGTCTTGAATTTGGCACAGTCTCATCGGCCGTTTCTCTATCATGTTCGAATTGTGATTGCGGAAGAAACGGAGGATTTTCACATGAATGGTCAAGCAGCAAATAATGAGAATGATAAGAATAATCATCACAAGAACGGCCAGGGTATCAATGGGGATAACAACAAGGCGATGGAATCACTGGGAGGTGGACAGGAAGAAACCAAAGAAGGGGCCTTTCACCTACGCCAAAACAGCAACGAACCAACGGTAGCAACATCATCCCTTCTCGAGGTCTCTGCTGCAGAGAACGCTGCTTCGATCCTGGCCGCAGATGACACACAGCAACAATCAACATCCAACAATCATGACATTCATAAAACTGAAAATGGCGTAAAGGAATCACAACAACAAGACAACCACACGTCCGACAGCAACAACCACCACCACAAAAACAGCCGAGTCTCTTCAACGAGAAGCTATCTGGTGTTATTGGAACTTTGCAGTGTGGATGCAGCTGAAGCTTTCGTGGAAGATTTACATGGCAAACCCTACACTAGTTTGGATCCAACACAAAAGTGCAGTGTCCATCAGGTCCTGGCTCTAACGGGGGAAGATGGAGTGTCACTGCTCTCTCCCTTTTTTGCACCCCCTGCCAAGACTGCCACCAAAGTAGCCAAACCGTCAAACTCCAGCAAGATATCGGTACCTCCCGCTCCCATTGTGGAAGATTACAACTGTGCCGTTTGCTTGGAGCACATTAATTTTACAGAAGAAGACGACAATGCGGGCGAATCATCATCCACTCCATCGTCCATCCTGACGACAGTCTGCAATCACACATTCCACTTGAATTGCTTGCTACAATGGCAAGACTCACCGTGCCCGGTATGTCGCTACGATCATTCGGGCCTCAACGAAGCACTCAGTCAATGCAATGTCTGTGGAAGGACGGAACACAATTATGTCTGTCTGATTTGTGGTGTCGTTTCCTGCGGAGGTCCTCCCATTCGAAACACCACGCCGGGCACCACAGATTCCTCTGCAGACAATGCCCTCGAGCAGCGCATGTGTGGCATGGCTTCTTCTTCGTCGCCCCGACAACAGCAAGAACAACTCCCACCGATTGACAATTCACGTCAGCTATCGCAATCCCATGCGCGAAAACATTACGATGACACACTGCACGCGTACGCGTTGGACACCGATACGCAGCATGTGTGGGATTTTGCTGGACAGGGTTACGTGCACCGGTTGCTTCAAAACAAAGAAGATGGCAAATTGGTGGAAGTGCATGATCCGACCAACTTATCATCCAATGAACGATCACTCAACCCTGGCTTGTCAGATACACAAGAGGGGGAAGTTGTGCATCGCAAGTTGGAAGGATTTGCATCTCAGTATTACACTTTGCTCAAGAGTCAATTGGAACAACAACGAACGTACTATCAGGGACGATTGCAAGAGTTGCGCCGCGAAAGCCTGATGCGAAAGAAGGCTCAAACGAGTGACTTGATTCACGCATTGAAACAAGAGAAAGCACAGTTATCCCGACGTCTTGGATCGTTAAAGACCCGTCACAACAAAGTCGTGGATGATATTGCGTTTCTCAAGAACATGAATGAAAGTCTAGAAGCCAACAAAGAGCCATTCAAGCGCAAGGTCAGAGATGCTCAACGGCAACGCAACGACGCGAGGGATCAGATCCAGCAGTGCATACCTGTGCTGGAAGAAAAGGTGACACAACTCATGCTACAACTTACAGGTGAAACTGCCTTTGAAGAAGATGGTGCGGCGAGTAACGTTGACGCTTCAGCTGCGGCAACGGGAACAACGAATCCCAAGACACTCAAGCACAGTGACAGCTCTCAAAGTGATGACCGCAAACCGGCTGCTAGAAGGTAGTTTTCGTTGGACCTGCTGGGCCATTTTAACGATACTAGTACCGGTATAACCAAACGAGTCTAGAGTCTGACGAATAAATCTATCGAGCTAAAATGTTTTTCATTGTGAAGGTCTTTACTTGCTTTAGGGGTTGTCTCTATATTTTTTAGTTTGAGTCGACTTGTCTATTCTTTGTTACACAGTGCTATGGGACATCCTCAGATACTTGGCTTGTTGTAGCTTCCGTCTCTGCATCATCACGAGGTTCGATTTCCTTGCTGTTGCCTGCCATAAGCCACTTGCAGTGGGCGACGATCTTGCCGCAGAGCTTGCAACAAGTGACGAGAGAACACCCTATCAACCCTATAATGAAGATGGTGGTTGCGACAGCCAGGGGCTGCCCTAGGTTTTGTACTTCGGGGATCACGGCGCTTTCCCCGTCCCGTGCTTCCATGGCAATCACCAATGTGTCCGAGTAGCACACTTCATTCTCCTCCATGGGCCGCCCGTTTTCATAGACGAGTGCAGCGTGCTCCTGCCGACTCAAGCAATTTCCACCTCGCCCGTCCCAGATTTGAATGGTGACCAGTCCAGGTTCGTTGTAGACTCCATCGTAAATCATATCCTTCAGGATGAGTTCCACGTCGCTGGGGTAGGCCACAAAAGTGATTGCGCGATCGTTCTCTCCCGTTCCAATGCACCGCCACTGGGAGAACTCTCGCTTGCTGCAAACCTCCAGCTCTGCCAGGTGCAGATTCTGCTCGTTCAACGAGACTGTTGCGGTCGAGTTGGTGAAGATGTCCACACGAATCCGCTCGACCTTGCCCTTTGCTGGATCCTGCACCTGGATGGGCTCGCGAAAGTAGGTCCTTGGAATATTTTCTCGTCCATCAAAACCTAGGTGCTCCGTCCATTCAAAAGGCGTTCTGAGATTTTCGGTCACGAGCTTGGCCGGTTCGTTGGCACGGACGACATGCACAGGTTGCTGCACAACAGAGGAATAGCTCAAGACTCCCTGATTGACGGTATCCACGGCGACGATGCGGTATAGAAAAGATTCCATTTGTGTGCCCAAGTCGTCGCCCGTGTCGGAGACCTGAGGCCGGTTGAAGTAGTCTCCATCGTCTTGCTCGTATCGAGCCAACACTCCAAATGCACGTTCCATCTCCACCATGTTGAGCAGATCTCCAGTCTGGATTGGCGGATGCTTGGCATCGTTGGCTAGTAGAAGACGTCCAAAGCGAGGTGCTTCCATGATTTCAACCTTGATTTCCCACCAACCATTCACCCATGCGGGGTTGAGAGTAGATTCTCCACTGAGCGTGATTGGGGTTGGCGAGCCCTGAGGGACAATGAAGAATTCATCGGGCTTTGCGACGAGCTTGGGAATACCGAGTTCGGTTTGCTCCTCAGACGGACTCGTGGGTGCAGCGGTGCTCTGGCTGTTGTCACTCTGTTGTTCCTCTTCCGTGCTTTGCACTGGCAACGGAGGAGCTGTCTTGGGCTTGGCACCTTGGCGAATGCTCTCCAAGCCGACAACGTAAGCCTCCTTGATTTCCTGGCCCGTCATGTAGCTATCGTGGATGGACAATTCGTGCACGGATCCAGCGAATGCACCAGTCCTGGAAAGCTCTTCCACATTGTGATGGAAGAGCTGCATGTGATACTGAGGATTCCACTTTTTGAGCTGTCCACTGAATTGGATGGCTTTGATGTCGGCATTTTCGTACACCCATTTTCCATCCTTGACGTAGGGCCGTCCATTGAAAAAGACACTCAACCGAGTCTGGTAGTCGTATTCGGGTAGCTGTCCAAGAACCCAGACAATGTGAAGCAGATCGCGACCTCTCTTGACCTCATCGGGTAGATCAAAGAAGACAACCCGGCATTGGACCTGGACATTCTCATCGCGCCAAAGAATCCTCAGCCTGTCTTCACCCACCTGCGATATTTGGAAGTCAAGACCAACACATTCATCGCGACGTTTCTCCACCAAGGGATCTTGAGTATGATTGGTCGATTCCCCCACAGTCAAGATGGATCGTTGCGCCCCTGCGGCAATGGGCTCGTCGGGGAGGCTAATCCACATTTCCATCGACAGCGCATTGGCGGGCTCCGACTGAAAGTGTTGCATCATGGTCTCGACGGAAAACTCGCTTTCCATCATGGCATTGGCATTGGCCGCCGTCACGCCATAGCCCAACGTAGCGCATTGGAACTCACTTTCGTCTACTGGAGAGAACGACCCCAACCACGAATCTGGAGCACCCGACGAGTAGCTGGGATAGACGCGAGAACCCAGACATGGAAAGCCGTACGTTTGCGGTGCTGCAGTTGCCAAGGAGAACGTCATGGTCGTCAAGAGAAATCGAATCATCGTTGTCGTCATTGTTTCGTTGCTGTATGGTAATCAGAGGTGAACTTAAGCAATTCGGTGTGTCAACAACAGCGTCGATGCGAAATAATGAGCTTCTGTGGAACACGAGGAAATGATCCTCTTGACGAGCAGAAAACGGCAACGATCGCGGCCATTTCTCCTGTCACGAGGGTCGAGGCACGTCGAAGCGATGACCAAGATGGACAAGAAGAAGAAACGGACATGGTGGTCGTCGTTTCGAACAAACAAAAGCATTGGCGCGAGAATTGACTTATCGTGAGAAACGATGAAGGCGATGCCGAAGAAGGGAGGCCTGATGTCAATCGTGCTTCCAAGAAAGTTCTAACCTTAACGGAGTTCGGGTATCCTGGATCTTCAACATTTCCCAAACCAAGGCAGCTGTTTTTCCCAGCCAGCGCCTCAACCGCCGAACTCCAACAGGTCCATGCAATGGTCCAATGCCAAACGAAGAAACAAGCTGGAAGACTTCCGACTTCCGACCGCTCTCCTCAACACAGACAAGAGAGCTCTCCCTCGAGGCCTCGTTGCTAGCTAGCCAGCTATCTAGTAGGTCTTGTAGGTATCTACCCCACACGCTGTTGCCTCCGAGCAACCCCGTGGAAGTCCCCATGCATTGGTCAGAGAGAGGGAGGCGACAGATGAGGCAATATCTGCTTCCACTGCTACTGCCTCTGCTCTCGATAGCAGCTCCAGTGTCTGGCGCTGCTTTGAGCCGTGGCAGAACCATTGTTATAGCCCCAGCCAGAGTGCGGCAGCAGATACCGTTATCGTCTACCAGCGCAACAATCGACAGAATCTCCTCGTTAAGGGGAGGAGCTTCATCACCAGAGCTTCCCTTTAGTTTCCTCTTCCCATTGGACGGACGAGAGCTCGTTGCCCGAGCAGCATGTGCCTTTTACATGGGCCAGGCATCGACATCATGGCTTGCGCCACATCAAACACCAGATAAATATGGCCTAACCACTAGCACTCTGAACGTTGCCTGTGTGCGAAAGCTTGCAGCGGCATATCTGGGCGGTGCCATCATGATGTATGGAATGCTCGTTCAGAAATGCACTCCCGAAACAGCTGTAGGATCAGCCTCTGTGGCTTGGATGGTCGAACAGCTCAAGTCCAGGCTCTATTTGGAAGCCGAAGAGATTGGAAGACCTGTGTTAGGAGAATACCTGGTGGCTGCTACAGCGACGCTGACTGCGTATGGGACTCTGTGGGATTTGCGCTTTGCCAGCCCCGTCATGAAGTTTTCAGCCGTGTCCATGCTACTGAATGGTTTGGCCTTTTTTGCAGCCCCTGCTTCTGTATGCCGACTATGGGGGATACCGGCAGGAGTCACAGCTTCGCCCAACAACAAGAGTGTATACATGCAGCAACTCAAAGAGTACAATGAAACTGTCTTTCTTCATCGGTATATGGGTGTAGCCTTGGCATTCAGTGGAATCATGCAAGCCGTTCTAGCTTGGAAAGGAGATATCTATGATGCAATCGGGTACTCATTTGCTTGCCTGTTCGCAGTCAATTGCTGGTCCTTTTTGAAAACCAGTGACTTCAAGCGACTGGCTCGGATATCTCTTTCAGTCCAAGCCAAGATCGACTTCAAGAAGCGGCTTTCCAAACTCTTCTACCCCCTCTTCCATGCCACTGTATGCGGCACCCTTCTACTGGGAAGGCCTGCGGCCCGTTAGCAAACCCTGCCAACTCCCGTCTTTGGACGAATGAGGAGCCTTCATTCGTCACTGTACATAGCACCCCTTTCGGTGCGGTAATGTCCTTGCTGTATATATAATTTGGAGGACACCGCTAAGGTTTTTTTCGCGGGAAGGTGACGTGGAATTGCCGTGTAATAGATTGGAACGATCCATGCGGAGCTATTATTACGTTGCGGCAAGTCGCAAAGACTCTTTGCAGAACCAATAAACAAACCAACAGGGGGGAGAGAGAGAGCAATGCACACCCAACAATCCTCATAGACTGCCCCCAATCCTGTACATAGAATGCTGCTGACGGCCAGCACATCGCAGAGACACATCACGAACAGTCAGTGTGAGCCAGTAATTGTATTTCTATAATAGATGATGATAAAGATCACCAGACTAGCTAGTTAGAGATGCCTCCGACGGACCAATAGTGCTCTTGGAGGTTGGGAGCGCCAATGTATCCAAAATACTTCCATTACAAACACCCGAAACTTAGTTTTATCTCGGTACAGTATCTAGTCAGGTACGTTTACCCAGCTCCTAGACTCTTGGAACAGTTCAACCTTCCAAAGCTTTGCCGAATAGGCGGTCAAGTGTACAAGGAACCACGAATAGAAGCTGTCACATTGCTCGCAATGCTGTCTTCTCCCTCTTGTCTGAAGAGATCGTAACGGCACGGTAGTTAAAGCCAGTGCGTCGCTCACTCCGCCCTTTCGCCTTGGAATTCAACGGGGGTTTAGAGTAGATCTAAAGGTGGATTATCCACGGAAGCCAGCTGCCAGGTTCATGCAAAGAAGAGTAGAAATTCAGGACTGGATTCCGTGAGATCAGGGGCGATAAATTGAGGACCAATACTACCGGTATGGGGCCAAAAGGTTTGGTTTTGCCGGATCCACGAAGACGGCTAGCTATCAGGCTCAAAACGCACATGCAACACTCCTTATGGAATGCCTTTGTGGAATTGCATCTTACTTGCCGTCCGTGACTTCTCCGGAGCGAACTAACTTTTTCTAAGCGTCGACGCACCCAGTGGTACTTTCGTAGAGTGGCATTGGAAAACTTTGTTTTGAAGTGGGATGGGTCTGATTCCTTTATAACACTATCATAGGCTACTTCCGTAGCTAGCTAGCTATAGCTATTACTCAATGCATTTCAACTGTTCCTTGGCAACTCATATCAAAATTGTCTTCTATGTTTAGTGCCTCTATTCCTCTATCTATGCAGCATGATGTCACCACTTCATTTAAAGTTCGTTGGCCTCTTCCCCAACAATTTCCACCATCTCATACATGGCTTCCATCAACTTGAAGATACCAGCACCCATAGCCGCACCAAACATGGGGCCCCAAAGGGGCACCACCAATCCATAGTGCCATTCACTGGATCCTTTGCCGGGAAGTGGCAACAGAGAGTGGGCCAAGCGTGGTCCAAGATCACGGGCTGGATTGGCGGCCAATCCAGTGGTTCCTCCCAAGCCAAGAACCAACAAAGTAATGTACAGAGCAATATACAAGGATTGAAAGAAGGAGCCATCTTGCCAAGTTGCCCCACTGAGTTCTGTTTGAAACTCCTTGCGCAAATTGAACATTTCCGCCCCCAGCACCAAGACAGCCGTGGCAATTGCTTCCTGCAGAAAGTTCCAAGGGCGGTTGTAGATGGCTGGTCGGGTTGCAAAAATGGAGAGTTTGGCACTGGCATCCGCCTGCAAGGCGGCCTTGTAGGCCATCATGGCAGTGTCTTGCTCTTCTGCAGCAGCCATGTCGTTCTTGCTGGGATCCTCCGCAATAGATGGGTTTTCAACATCAGTAATATCCTCACTTTCTCCATTGAACCTGACTTTGGTCTGAACTGGCTCTCCTTGTTGGGGTGATTCGACGGTTTGGGCGGTGTGAGTGGAGCCAGCCTCAATATCCTCCTCCTTTGGCTGCACATTGTCATTATTGGCATCACGAGTACGCAAGAGCCCAGCCACTTGCACGGAATGACGCAGCTGTTCAATGGTACAATCTTCTGTAGGCTTCCTTGCACGCGCAAGTTCAGCCAAGTTGACAGAGTGGTGGTTGAAATACTCCATGTGAGTGGGTGGTGCTGTTTGTAGTGTGGACATACGGCGCCTTGATTGTCTCATTTTCATTTTCTCCAAGAGAATGACATCGTTGGTGACTTGTGTGTCAGTGCTTTGGCCTTCCAGGAATTGTTCATCATTGGGCAATTGGAAGAAGGATCTTATTTCTCTACCAATGGTTACACTCTCCCTCTTTCTTGATGCCGGTCCAAATGCAGAGGCAAGTCTTCCAGCATTGGTTTCCATACTGACAGGTCCTTCAATATAGGTGGCTGTATCACTGGTATTGGAAGGAAGTGGAATAGAGAATCCAAAATGTGGCATGAAGAAGATGGCTACCAGGACCGCTCCCACAAATGCTCCTGCAAAATTGGCACAGGAGCAGGCCAGAAATTCTTTCCATTCCACTTTTCCAATGAGCGCCAAAAAGAAAAACATGGCTGGGTTGAGATGGGCACTAATGGTAGCAAACCAAGCTATGTTGACCCCAAAGGCCAAGCCAAATCCAATAGCGACGGCGAGAAATCCCATGCCATGCCCCTTGGTGCTAGCAAGCAGCTCATTTGCAATAATGGACTCTCCAAAGAGTATGGTGAGGGTGGTTCCAACAAATTCGGAGAGAACCTTGGCTGCTAGGGGGTAAATGTATGTCATTGTGGATATGGGTAGAGATGATTGTATTTTAAAATAGTAGTTGTTGTTTTGTTGTTGTTTGTTGTTTGTTGTTTGTCGTTTTGTGAGCTTTGTTTTGTGTCTGCTTTGAAGCAACTTGAACAAAGCAGCACTCAGGCAGCATTGAATACGGTAAACTGTACCGGTACGATGTACCAAGCAGAGTGCCGACTGGAAGATCCAAGCAAAGATCCTTCTTGCAGAGTCCGCAGAACAAATTCGAGAATAATCAGGAGCTGAGTTAGAAATTTCTAAAACAACAAGAAAATATGTGGTTTTGGTTATTAGGCAAAGGCGGGTTTAAATTCGTTTTAGTTACTCAAATAGCTCTCAAATAAGAAAATCCAAGGCCCGCGAACAACACAACCAGCGAACTTTACGGTACTAGAACCGGTACCGGTACTGAGCCACTTTGCCGTTGCTAGCTAGACTAGCATACTTGGCTGAACTACCGGTATGCCAGCTTGTCGGCACCAGTTTAAAAATAAAACATGGTACCGGTAAACCATTTCTAAAGTACAGCAGACGTGCTTGGACAATATAGCCAGGACGAATTGATCTGCGAATCGCCCCAAGAAGGATGAACAAACGCGGGCATCACAGAGAACATGAGGTTTCGTGGCGAGACAATCTTCTCCATCTTGTTCTGTTTTGGCACCGTGCTACTGGCAGTATGCATTCGCTACCGCGGAAGCTGCTGAACAAGACTCTCCGCGGACCCAAGCACAGATGGGCTCCGCTTCCCATACTCGCTGAGCCACTCGGTTGCTGTTAGCGTCGACAAACGTTCCTTCTTGCCGGATCGCTTTTCGTTGTGGCGTTGATGTCTCTCTTCGGCCTCCCAGAAAGCATCCACTTGTCGCAGTTCCGTGGCGACTTCCTTGCCCAACTGCCGTTGACACTCTTCCAGGGCTTGTTCTGCCACGGTCATGATTTCTGGATCATTATTATTATTGAAGACAAACAAACAGCTACGATATTGTCCAGTGCCCTTGGCATGTTTCCCCAAAGCCCGACTTTTGGTAGGATCGTGCATGGCCAAGAAGCAATCCAGCAAGACGCGAACGGGTAGAATATCGGGGACAAACTCGACCCGTACAACTTCGGCATGACCCGTTTGTTCGTGGCATACCTGTTCGTACGAGACATTGTTGACGGTGCCACCAGCAAATCCCACCGAGGTGGATACCACCCCTGGCAACCGTCGCAGAGCCGACTCGACATGCCAAAAACACCCGGCCCCGAGTAGAACGGTTTTGGTGGGCGGCATTGCATGGTCAATCATTTGTTGGAGTAGCTGAAGCGCCGGTGATGATGACGCAGAAGAAAGCTGTTGTTCCATGAAACGGAAGGATGATGGAATCAGCGCCGACACTGTTGGCATTGACTCCAAACTGTAAAAGTCGAGTGCACTGGCATTGATACAGTAATATCCGTCACTGCTGTCTCTTTCAGTTCCAAAGTAATGTCCCAAATGACATTTGGTTCTGGCACACACCACTTCGACGCGTCGATCTGTGGATTCGGGCAACGGTGGCACCAACTCGACGTGATCCTCCGAAATGGGTGCTGCAAAGGACAACCATCCCGCAGATGCCATGAGATGGTGCGTGGTAAAGAGTGGCAATCCGCCCACGGCGCAGACAAAAATGCCATGCTTGTCATTGTCACTCATGGATCCGGCAAAGTTGTATCCGTTGTGGGTTGTTTTTCGTTGGGGTGGATCCGTGGCGCCGTGTAGCAGTACTTGTCGTGTCAATAAAGCGTCGTCCTCCAAGAAGAGTGCTGCCTGTTCCATGATTTGATCCTTGGTCCATGGTGTCAACGAGTATCCCAAGTCGGAGAACGAGGCACTATTATCATACTGTTGTTGTTGCTGTTGTTGACCCCACTTGGGTTGGTACAGCCCTTCGGCATTGGCGGCATCGACATTGTAGGCACTGAGCGGTTCGGATTCATCTGGATCTAGGAAGCTCCACCCATTTTGAATGAGAACGTGTTCCATATCTGATATGAGAGGGATCCATTTTGGAATATTGTTATTGTTGCTATCATCGTTGCTTATTATTGGAGGATGTCCCAACAATTTCAACATTCCCGTGGCTTTGACGACCGCATATCTGTAGCATTCTTCTGGCTGCGGATTGTCATGATTATTATTGTTATTTTTATTCATGAGACTGGTATCAAATCCAACCCGCTGCAGAGCTGCCACGACATTGTTTTGATCGGATGGTGAAATGTAGCCCTCAACGACGGCTCTGGGCGGTGGAGTGGCGGATCCTTCCGGGGAAGAAAACAAAGTAGATTGGAAAGGAAAGACTCCATGCTTGTTGGATATTCTTGGTGTTGCAAAGCATCTGATCCCCTCTGGATGGCTTGCTAATAGTAGTGCAACGAATAGGAATGCCGACGAAAAACAAGGATATTTCCACATTCTATCGATAGGTCTTCCGGCAAGTTCAGGCCTGAAGGGTGGGGTGCCGAAAAAGAATGTGGGAGAGAGAAAACAAATGAAGACGTGCATGATCGATGACGTCATTTTTCGATAAATGAAACGGTCAAAAAAGATCCAAAATAAGTCAGCGGGAGCTGCGATACCTCGGCAGAAAGACAGATAGAAGAAGGAGGATCATGTTCGAGATTGCACCCATCTTTCAAGCCAGCCCTGGCGACAACACCCGACTACGTCGTGTGTTGCCGCCCGGTATCATTCATTCCCTCATTGCAACCTTCTTTATTTTAAAAGCTAGCCCTGGCGACAACACCCGACTACGTCGTGTGTTGCCGCCCGCTACTCTATAATTTACCAGCTGCCATTCCCTTATGTAATTGTATTCTTTGTAGCCCGCTAACCATAATTTACAGCTGTCATTCCCTTATGTAATTGTATTCTTTGTAGCTTCTGCAGGCTTATTGTGTTGAGTGCACTAACCTTGAATAATCATGATTTATTCCTACCCCTAAATTTGTAGAACCTTACATTTCCAGTTTTGTTGGCTTAAGACTATCTCTATCCCTATATTTTGGCTTCACCGGAATAGGAAATAGCATTAAAGGGGTTGAGAACTCAGGCAGTTAACCTGCCGAGGTGAAGATCTTGCATGGCGGTTTGGCGGACGCTTTCAATGACAGCAAGCATCGATCTGTTCGACCGTGTTGAAGTCGTTGCCACTGTTGCTGGACATCATAGTTTGTTTTTGATGTCACCAGAGCAGGAGGCACCGCTTGCCAAGAGACAACGATTGGAAGAAGAAGAAGAAGGAGAAGGACAGCCGAGGTAAGCGATGATTGCAGCAGGACGACTTTTGCGGTGCCTCGTCGTCTTTCCTGTCGCCGCAGCGTTTGCCGTCGGACCTGCAACAAACATCGGTAGAGCATACATCCGATCGACGAGTGGTACACTGCGGACCTTGTCTATTATTAGAGGTGGCAGCAGGTGAGACCAATTCTACCTGACTGTTTGTTGAGTGGTTGAATGGTTGATGAGTGACATAATATTATGTGTGCGGGTTTGCTTACTTACCAGGTACTACCGTAGCGAGTTTTTGACCGGGTTGATGCATGCGCACCAGGCTTTGCTTGTCCAGTGATTATTTTTTGTCCCTTTCCCATCAAAGTGCCTTATTTGTTGTGCTATTTCTCACAATTTATTACTGAATTTCTGACCTGAAATTATTTTTCTTTGTCCTCAAACCAGCACTACCAACAACAAAACCAACGACACCATGTCTGCTGCATCAACTGCCGCTCGTTTGGTGGGCAAACTCAAGCCCGAATCGAGTATCTTGATGGTCTGTGATATTCAAACCAAATTTCGTCCCTTGGTCTGGCGCGGAGAAACCGTTGTCAAGACGGCCCAGTACATGACCAGCGTCGCCAAGGCACTGGGGATTCCCATGGTCGCCACACAGCAATACACCAAAGTCTTTGGACCGACTGTTCCAGAAGTATTTGCTACCCCGGAAGACTTGCAAGCGTGTCCCACATTTGAAAAAAAGCTGTTTAGTATGTTGACGGATGAAGTCAAGGCGCATGTGGAACCACTCCAGAAAAAATCCTTTCTGTTGGTCGGTATTGAAGCCCATGTTTGTTTGCAACAAACGGCATTGGATTTATTGGAACAAGGCAAGGATGTTCATGTGATTGTCGATGGTGTGTCCAGTCAACAACCACTCGATCGAGAAATTGCACTCCAACGCATGGCAGCAGCTGGAGCCTATTTGACCACGGCACAATCGGCAGCATTCATGTTGATGCAATCGGCCAATCACGACAATTTCAAAACCGTATCCAAATTGACCGTCGAGCACATGAAGTTGGAGAATGAATTCAATGAGGCTTTGAAGAAATAGATTGGATTGAATTGGAACTGAATTGGTTGGTTGGATCGATCGAAAGGAATGGATGATATCTACAGAAGGTCGCAAGAAACAATCTACTTTTGGTAGGAAGGGTTGTGATGCACTGCAATGACAAAACACCTACTATTTCACAGCTAGACAAACGACAGCAGCATATTTTATTAAAAACAAAAACTATAAAAAAGGAAATACACTAGACGCATCCAAGAACCAAAATTAACCTAATCGCTTCCTTTCAAATCCTGATATTTATTTAGTTGGTTGGTAAGTTAGTTGTGTCGCTACTATCAAGAGTAATAGTTAGTACTGTATCCTAGAACCAAAAATTGATTCTTGCATATCCTTGTCTTTAGTAAAGTTAGCTGGACGTGTCGCTACAAGCATCATTTTTAGTATCCTTTGTTGTTGTTGTTGCTTCGAATACTTCTTGAATGGCCTTTGGAAAATCAGATACACGATCTGGGTGGCAGACTACTTCAATGGTTGGGTATTCGATAATGGTCATTCCGTGAAGGATGGATTGCAAGGTAGCTTGTTTGTCGGAAATTTCGACGTAGCAAGGACGATTGGATGGACTAGGCAACTTTTGAATCATCAGACAGTGAATTGTTGGTGTACCGGTAGTAGTATCGTCAATAGTATTATCAGTATGATTTTTGTTCTTCTTCCAGAAATTCATCTTTTGCAATTCCTCCCATAAGACGGCCTGTTCGGATATTTTTTGGGAGTGTACTATTACTTCGGCATTCTTGTCATCGCAGTGCATTCGAAAGTCGACCTTCCAATGAATGATATCATCTTTCTTTTGAATGTGAGACGAATTGGTTTTACGTCGTTGCATTCCCGTGGGCATCAAGAGTACGTGAGTGCCACGGAGTTTGGCCTGTTGGAAAAAATGTCTCCATTTGGGACCCAATTGTTTCCAGGAATCATTATTAGTATTATTATTGGGTGGTGTAGTAGTGGTGGTGGGTGTGGATTGTAGTACGAGTTGACTTGTGCTGGTGGTGATATCAGAGTTGGATGGCTCTGCAGGTGATGTTTTTTCAGCTCCATCCACTGCCAAGTGTTCCATTTGCTGCAGCATGGAATGGGGGGTAACGGTGGTAGTAGTGTTGTGTTCATTGGGTTTGTGTCTCTTGTTGCTTTGGTTATTTGACTTGCTATTGTTGGTCCCAGTGGTCCGTTTGGCTCGTTCGACGGCTCCTAGGACATCTTCCAAAAAGTGATAATCACTGTTGAGGGTTCCATCGTCCATGTGTGCCACGCGAAGAAACTTGGTCCGATCGCGTTTCCCATTGCATCCCGTTCGGTGCTTGTGGGCCACGCAGCACTGCAAGGAACACGTGCGATGCGAGCAGCGAGGACATTGATACCGAAACGATTCACTGTCGCATTCTTGGCAGAGCTGGTCTTTACTACTGTCTATACTAATATCAATAGTAGAAGTAGAGGTCTCGTTCGTTGCTCCATTCAGCAGAGACATCATGGTGCAATTTAGTGGCTTTTTGTGCTGAATGATCGAGCTTGGATCGAACGATCTGTTCAGAACGATGCATGGATGAGATTGGTTGGCTCGGGGAATGGCTCTAATGCTTTTACAAAATTTTGGGGTTATGAAAACTCAATGAAAAGCATTAATAGCCATTCGTTCCGATGACGTTTTGCAAAACCTCGCGCCGACATCCGACATCATCAATTCGAAGATCCAAGCAATCCAAGACAAGGAAGAGGATGGAGTTTGGTCCTGGAGAGGGTGTGAAAATTCCTTTCCTTTGATTGGGACATAATCTCGTCTCGAAGTTCAGCTTGGAAACAATGGCACTACCCAGCGACACAACCAAGCTCTCGACGAGGCTTCCCCACGACGACATGATTGCCAATAATAAGGCGCAACAAGCCACAACGGACAAAAGTCAGAATGACGCACAACATCAAACAACACTCAATCCCAACCTATTCCATCATGCCATGGCCAGCACCTTGAGCCACAAACCTGGATTGATTGAAGAATACCATTTACAACGGTGTACACCCACTCGACAAAACAATCACCTCATTGCCATTGGTTTTCTCAAAGTGGGACACTTGTTGGATGGACCCTCGGGCACTGTCCATGGCGGCATTGTTGCATTGATTTTTGACGATGTCATGGGATATGCCTCTGGCGCCCTGCAACCATGGTCCGTCACCAAGGACTTACAAGTCGAATACAAGCGACCCCAGCCACACAAGTCTCGTGTTGTCGTCCGGGTCTATTTAGATCTAGACAAAACAAATAATTCAAACCAACCGGGGAAAAAGAAGAGATTGTACCTCAAAGCAACCTGCCGGAGTTGTTTGGGAAACAACAATGACAATCCTCAAAGTGCTCTCAAGTTGCACGAGGAGCACGAAGATGCTAACAATACCGTCTTGTTCTCGACCGCTACCATTACAATGGTACAGGTATTGTCCAAGCCACCTTCGGCAAGAGATGCCAAAGCAGCAACAGTACCGCCAGAACCAAGCAGCAATCATCAAGGAAACACACACAGCAACAGTACCATGACAAGATCTCGTCTGTAATAAAACTGTCATAAGCCAAAAATCGTCTTGATGCCAGCGTCGAGTGTGCTTCATTTTTCTTTTTGTCGACTTGAGTTTCAAGGAGACACGGTGGAGATCAGTGCAAGAAACCAAGAGTGTATAGCAAGGAACCATGCATGATCCTCATAGACAAAAGAGAAGTTGGCAGTGGGACCATCCTATTCAAACTCACTAGCTAGCTAGACGGCGCGTGTAATAGTTCACCGCGAACATGGCTACACCTGCTGGGCCATAACCACGCACTGTTCTTGTCAATCACAAAAGTGTTTAGCAGAAAAGACACTCTGTCTCCTTCTTCCCTGGCTTGTGCTCTTGTCCCGTGATACTGATGCCCTGCCTGCCTCGAATGGAGCGTCAGCAGAAAAGGCCAGATCACAGCACTTCGCTTTGATCAGCTTGTGCAAACGTCTACGCTGTAGCTAGCCACAGAAACTGATGGACATTCTGCGAGCCAAGTGGATCGAGCACTCTCGAAAAGCCTCTTTGCAGCAAGGACACTCCGTCTCATCCTTCCCTGGCTTATGCTCTTGCCCTGTGATAAGGCCAGATCACAGAACTCCATTTGATCAGCATGTGCCAACGTCTACTTCTGAAACTGATGGAATAAATAGTGCTCCTACTGGGATCAACAACGCAAGCCAAGTGGATTGAGCAATGTCGAAAAGCCTCTTCCTGTTTTACAACTAGCTAGCTCGACTAGTTAGTCAATATACGGCGGATTCTTTCCCAGCCAATTCACGGCACACGAAGGCCACTTGGTGCGCACAACGTCCTCCAAATCTCCCGAGCCACCCGAGTTGCCTGTCTTTAATGCAATGCTGGCACCCACTGCATCCTCGGCTGTTAGCCTTGTGACGTGAAACGGTGTTAGTATGCCTCCTCGAAGTCCATTGTAGTGAAAGAGCTGAAAGGTGTCTCCAAACTTTTCGAATTCCAATTTGTTGGGAACTTCTTTGTTGTTTGCAGTGGTGTCTTCCGGGTTCAAATCATCTCCATTTGACATGGGTGTCGTGTCGGGTGTGGCGATGCTGCTGTTGGTATCAGGAAAGTTGCTCCATTGAGGCGATGTCTGCTGGGAACCGTTCAAGGCAGCTACGCTGGACGTCCCTGAAACGCCCGTGACTTCCGCATCCCATTCCGCTTGGAGCTTGCGAGCGAGCTCTTCGTCGCTCAGGGGTGGTTGTTCTACTTCCATTGGAGCCGCAGCGGCGGCGGCAGCAGCCGGTGGCGCGTTATTGTTGTCGCCATTGTCGTCGTTGTTGTTTTCTGGCCCAACAATCTTACTCTCCGAAGAGCCCCATTCCGCAGCTAACCGCCTGGCCATTTCTTCGTCACTTTCCATGACGGACGAATTTTTGGCGGCTGGTCCCATTTTGCTATCGGGACCACCGTCTAAAATGATGGGAAAGTCGGACGACCCATTTCCATTTTCGGGCCCGTTCAGGACATGCTCAATAGTGGCACCCTTCATCAATCTCGACAGCGCGGTCCAGCAATCCTCCCACAGTATGATACCCGATCCACTTACTTCCAACGATGCCGCCAGCGCCGAAACTTGGTTTTCCTCGAGCTTGAGGTCCAACGATGTGAGGACTGTGCCAAGGTGCTGCGTGGCAATGAATCCATTTTCGGCGCCACCTTCGACGGCCTTGAAGGCTCGTCGACATTTTTCCAAGAGCTGATCACTTTCACTCTCTTTGAGACTGACCGCGTCTCCAAAGAGGATGGAGAAATGGCTGGTAGATCCAATGACCCAAATGGGGAATTTAGGAGATTTGTAATATCCGCCCACTTCGCAATATCGTAGTGATTCCAGTTGCGACAGGTAGCCTATTCTGGGACGAGACTGAATTCCTCGACAAGTGAGGTCACCCGAAGGAGTAATGGTATTATCAAATACATTGGAGACGGCCTGTCCTGTCAATAGCAAATTGATGAGCTCCTGACCACAGTGGCCGAACTGTGCGGTGAGTTTGGCAGTCAAGTCGTCCATATCGTTCTGAATGACATCATTTCCTCTGGATGCAACCAAGGACATGACGAGGAGCATGACGCCACCGGGTTTTCGGAAGGATTCCAATGGCGAGAATCCCTCTTCATCCAACAAGAAAGCGGCAGTAGCCCTCGCCAAGCGGATTATCGTTTCTTCTCTGGAGGAATGTGTTTTCTGTCGTTTGTTTTCTGCTCCTGCTGAACCATCTTTGGGGGCGATAGTGTATGTAGTGGCCCTGTCTAGAGTCTCCCAAGTGACCCCGTTGGCATCGGGTGGAGTTTGTGACAGCACCACCCCAACTGTTTTTCGATTGGGGGGGGCTCCAGATTCTGCCGAAGCGGATGGCATGACGGCAGCTCGGGCTAGAATAATGGCAATGGCTTTGGCCAGAGCCTGTTTCAATAATTCCGTAGACAGAGAAGGATCGGCTAGACTGGGAGCAGCTCCCGGTTCGAGTACTGGGTAATCCAATGGCTTGCGTAGACCAAATAAGAGAAGACCCATCAGTTCGGCCTGTGCTGCCGCAAGCACCCCACATGGTCCACCGTGAGACTGAGACAGACCCCACGGCCGAAAGTCCTTGGTCAATAGAGACATCATCGTGGTGCCTTCTTCGACTGGTGTAGCAGTACTGGTACCAGTATCACTTGCGGCATCGTCACTGCTGCAAAAATCAATCCCCTGGCCAATCCAGCGATTCTTGTCATTATCCGTCGTCAGGCTTGAATCCCACATCAACGTATGAAAGGAGGCAGTGTCAAAGGGGGTGCTGGATCTACGCCACTCCTTGACTTCTTCCGAAAAACCATCGTCCATCTTACTTTGTTCTGAGCAACTGTATTGCAACCCTGTCTGATCAAAACTAAGTATGTGTCGCCCAGTACTTACTACTTACTACTAGCTAGCTAGCTGTAGTAGTTTTGCTGTGGACAATTGAGGATATGAGAGACGTCGATCCATGCAAAGCTTGTGCTGCAGCTCTCGACCTCCCCATTGCGTGTCTCCAGCCACAGCCGTTGATTTCTGTGCTCTACCAACTCTAGCCCTAAATTGCTAAAACCGGCTACCATACGGTACCTTGTACCGTACCGGTACTACGTTTCTGCAACAGTAGTTGCACAGGCTCAGTACGGGGATTTTCCCACTCAGTAGGCAGAAAGATGATTGGTCGAGGAGTACCGGAGAACACTTCATATGTCAGCACCGTATAATGAAGCATGATTCAAAATTACGAGCCACTGTGCTACCTTACCCGTGGATTTTTCGCCTGAACGTAAAGTTGACAATGCCGATGAGCAAGATTCCATCGTGACAATGACCAAACAGCCGCCGTTAACTTGAGATACACACCACTTACCACTAAACTAAAGAGCGGAACATGGCTAGTAGACACCCACCAGTCAACCCATATGCGGGGAAGCGCTCTACCGCTCCACAAACTGAAGCAATGGGACGCCAAAGTCAACAGAGAAATTCTCAACAGAAAAGAAAGCACCAACTCGCAGCTGCCAACAACCCCAATAAGAGGAAAGCGAAGAGAGGAGAACAGCCTGACCTTGAAGGAAACGCAGCCTTTGATCCTATACAAGACTGTATTATTTGCAAGGCAGTGGCAGCAGGAAGAAAGCCACCACACAGAGGTCACGACAAGAGGTGCCTGAAGAATCGCGCAACCAAGGGTAGAGGAGACCTCCACGAGCAAACCTTAGCAAGTGAGAAGGAGGCAAAGAGGCTGCAGAAGTTGATGAACACTGACCTGACAGAGGCGGAGAAAGGCAGTTGGCGTTACTCAACCAAGGAAGCTGGAGAAAAGTTCTTTGCTGCGCACACTTCCAGCTCTTCCAAGAAACCAACAAAGAAAATTGCGATGGTGGAAGAACTCTCACCACAATACCTGTGCAAAGCTGTGACCACAAGGCTGGAGGACACAATATTCTGTGAGAAGCACAAGACCAAGTCAGCTCCACTTGCAATGCTTGCGTTTGCTGGGGAAGTGGCAAAGAACATCATTGGTGGGAAAAAGAAAAATGATTATCTTATTCAACGCCACTTTGATGGGCTTACCATGACGGTGCCTTACTTTCGAGGTGAAATGAGTCCACAGTACCATTCAATCGTTGGGCAGAAGCTGCTGTATGTCGACTGGGAAAGGATGGGAATCCAAGTCCCTTGCCCTGATGCGTCTTGCTCTGGAGAGTTACAAAATCAGAGGTCACAGTTCTCAAAGAATCAAACTCTGTTCCCCATCTTCACGATCGATGGATTACCTTCGTGGTGTATTACCATGAACATGAAATGCAGCTGCTGTAAAAGAACCTTCGATTCGAACTCAGCTGATGTTTTGGTGGCGATTCCCACCCATGCTTCCAACCTCTATCCAGTCGAGACAAAGTATGCCTCCACGGGAACCTATCACCTCAGTCGATCCACCACTCAAGTTTTCAGTTCGATTATGCTGACCTACGGAAATGGGGAACTCTGCAGTAGGCTACTCTACGATGCAATCAATCGAGAGTATGTTCAAAAGGCCTCATCCTACTATTCGTTATGTCAGCACATCAAACAGATATCACCGGATGTCACTCTTCAACCATATGTCCAGAAGGATGGAACCTTTATCAGACAGTTCCCACCACTGGGAGACACCATCAGAGACCTCTTCGATCAGGCTGCGTCCTCCAGCAAGAATCCTTGGGGTATCAGTGATAATGAGAGGCACACAAGAGAAATTCAAAGTGTCAAGTGTGACGGTATCTTCTCTCAGGATCACACATTCCAAGCGACCAAGAACTATCAAAAGAGCCTTGGTGCTGAAGCGGTTTGGGATGTTGCCACTTCGACTGGTGAAATCGCCACTGCTGTTCTTGTCCCAACAACAAAAACAAAACACTTCTCCCATGCAGCGAAACAGCTGACTGAAAGGGAAGGGTTCAATCCGAAAGCGATGTACTCGGATACCTGGCCCAATAAGCAAGACTTCTGGCACCGACTGTTTCCAGGTCTCGAAGGAAGACTCGGTCTGTTTCATTTCGAAAAGAGAATCATCAGCACTTTGAGGAAAAACCACATCGATCATGGGAAGGCAGTGTCTGGTCTGTTGTCATGCCTTTATTCATACGTACCCGAGGACTATGAAAAGGTTCTCAAAGCACTACGAAATGGATCACTCTCTGCGACTGGTCGGAAGTATTCCAACAACGACATTGCTCACATGAAATCCACTGGCGTCTTCCGACGACGATATGGGAAGTATCTTCGTAAGCAGATGAAATCTCCTGAAACAATAAGGGAAAGACTGGATGACTGGTTTGTTAGATACAAGGTCACAGCTTCTACTGGAAGCAGACCGGCTGAAGGTCGGCTGGACCCGTACAAGGGCTATACTCTTTTCACAGCTGAAACAAAAACAGCTGTTGAGAACTGTAAGGAGAAGGCTGTTCATTTGGTTGATCCAGTGCCATTAGAAGAGATGTACGATGCAATCTTACCATCTCCCAATTCGAACCATGGTCTCACAGAGTATCTCTCACGTCGCGGAGAGTCAAAGCTGGAAGCGTTTCATGATCGACTGGCAAACTTTGCCAATGGCGGAATGCGTCGCTCGCTCTGTGACAACCTATCCCTCTGTGGCACGGCGAGGTACAATCTGGGGATCAGACACAAGCGAGCATTGATTAAGGCACAGCCAGAGGAGAGGAAGAACATACCATCAGGATGGGACCGCGTTGTTGCTTTTTGGAACCACACAGAACTCTGGTTTATCAATGACATGGCCACTGCCGTAGGTTTGCCACTGCCATTTCCAAATGCAGAGAAATTGAAAGAAGACAATGGTGAGCGATTCTTTTCAGAATACATGGCAACTGTCAAACCAAACAAGCAGTTATATGCAGCAGATTTCTGTTTGTGTGATGTGTGCGTCAAGGTACCATTTCGACAACCACAACAGCAAGAAACTCCATCGGCAGATTCAAATTCAAACACATCGGATAATTCAAACGGACAAACGGATACCACCATGGTAGATGCAACAGTCGACAATGTAAGTGATCGCCGTCCTCGCCAACAGCAAGAAGCACCGGCACCTCCACCACCTGTAGCAGCAGCACCAGTGGCGCAAGGAGTGCCACTCGCACCATGGCCAACACCGGCTGCCATCAACCAATTTTATTGGATTCAAATGGCCCCATTAACTCCTCCACCAGGCGGCTGCTGTGAGCCTTTCAAAGCATGGCTACGGCGGACTGGTCGTAAGGGAGCACCGCCCCATCTTCTCTGTTGTCCCTACAAGGACATCGTAAATGGGTATACGTACATTAACAACAGTTAGTAGCAGCAATGTAATAGCGATTGGTTTGTTTACACGTAAAATGCGCCTTTATTAGATACTGCACCTTTTTTGCTAGGATAGCTGAACCCTGGGCAAGGTTGAATGAGCGCAAGAACAGAGAAAAGTCAGTTGGGTTAGTGTGTTTGAATTGTGAGAGTTGTGTGTGATGACACTTCGAGTGCCGTTTGGTAGGGAAATGGCATGGTCTCACGCAAATAACCATACTATTTGCCATTTCCCCTCCTTTTCAAATCATGTGACGTTGGAAAGTGGTGCGTGTCAAATGACCGGTGAGGTGCGCGCGGGAGGAATTTAGAATCTAAACCCTAACCTCTTTCTTCTTTTCTGGGGCTCGTTCCCCCCGGCCTGCGGCCGGATCCCCCCTAAAAGTCAGTATGTGCTTCCCTCTAGTAGTAGGCAGATCCACATACTGTCAGGATCAAGGACAGTATGCTACCTAGAAAGCTTACAGTATCGGCAGTCATTGAAACAAAGATCCTCTCAATAAGACTCTCACTATTAAATAAACTGAGAGGATTTAGACATAACGGCACGTGCCTGGATAAATAGAGGCCGATGCACATACTGAGAGGATTCCAATTTTCGCTTAAGTAACACCAAACATACTCCTGCCAATCCGATTCCCACATCCAATGAATACTCAGCGAATCGTACGTGGTTGCAATTCTGCCCTACTGGTAGCTAGTACTGATCGGTCGTTGGATCGTACGTCGTTGCAGCATACTCAGGGAATCCCGTACGTAAAGAGGCAAACAACGGCCAAATCCCATGCAATCGATCGTCTCCTTCCTTACCGGTAGCTAGCTAGCAGTTCTTCAGTTTTCCTCACTTTCAGACCTCATTATTTTCATTCCTTCAACTCTGTAAAGGAAACTCTGCCGAAATTCCAGGTCAACCAAACCAACAATTGCTTAGTTGACCAAAGAATTCCTCCACCATGGCCAATGCTGGAGCAGCCCTTGGCTTGGAAGATGTGCCGGAACTTCCTGAAGCACCCACGGAGCAGCCCAAGTACAACCGGGACTACCATCGACTCTTCATCAAATTCATGAGCTGGCTGCACAAGAGGACGTACACCAAGGCGGCTCGCTTCCAACCCAGTGCTTTGGGCGGCATCCAACCACATCACGTTGCCGACTACTTGAAATGGCGTGCATATGGTACGACGGACGTTGACTTCAAAGCCTCAAGCAGAATCCAACTTGCCGCTCCTCTACTCTTGAGCAAGACAAGAAGGCTATTTCCTTCCACATGCCCATCAAAGGTGCCACATGGAATGGAACCTCCGGCAATCCAACCAAGTCCGATCCTGTGAACGAAGTGGTCAAGGAAGCCAAGAAAGCGGAGACTCAACACCGCGGCAAGAAGTCCTGTGCCACCAGGGATTTGACGGAAACAGAGTATCGCAAGGTGGTCCATGAACTCTACGGCAAAGGGAGCTTTGAATCGACCATCCGTACAGCCTGCATGTTGAAGCAGCAAGTCCATCTCATCACCAGGACGGATGACATCTCCAAGTTGAAGTATTCCGACTACAAGCCGCATCCAGACTTCCCTTTTGCGCTCAGTTGCAAGGTGTATTGGTCCAAGAATATTTCAGAAGAACGACAATGCCCCGACCAAATCATTCTTGGGTCGATGGATACCGACTTTTGTGTCATGCTCGGATTGGCGAATTACATGGAGGCATCCTTCAACTACGGGTATGGCGCCGCTGGTCGGGAAGATGCATTCCTCTTTACTCCCAAAAGCGATCCCAAGTTGGCTCCCAAGCACTGCAACGCAGCCTACCGCAACATTCTGAAGGCTGTCTTTTTGTCGGCTCCATTTCTGGCTGTGGCGGTCCTCATTGCCGGTGTTCTTGGGAGTCACAGCATTCGGAAGTTTGCTGCAACTCTGGCAAGAGGGATGGGTGCTACTGCTGACGAAGTTGACATTCGAGGTCGCTGGAAGGCTCGCTTATCTGGGCGGGTTGTTGATGCCTACATTTCGCCTGAACAGCCCTGGATCGACGCCCGTGTTGCCGAAAAGCTTTGCATGGGGGCTCCTATTGCCTACAAGCTACACCCGGATGCCAAGAGAGTGACTCCCGGCTGGTTGATTCAGCATGTGGTGCCAAGGACGCATGCGTTTTACGACGGTGTCAACGACATTTCCCTTCACTTGGCTCTGCCTCTTTTGTGGGCTGCCCTTGACGAATCTTGGGAGGAGAGGATGGAGCCTCCCGTTCGTGTTAGGATCCAAGATGCGTACGAGCGCATCAAGGCCGATCTTCCTGTAGGCGTCAACCCTGTGGTGAAAGTGCCTCTCTCGATTTGGACGCACAACACCAAGCTCCACATCAACGAAATCGAGCCGATGGATACGGGAGGTGGCGGCGGCACGGCTGGTGGCACTACTGGAACGACCGGCCAGGCAAGCACTCGTCAAGTTGCCAATAAGTCGCGGCAGGTGACGACTATGCAAACGCAACAGCAGGTACGAACGAATGAGGAGATTCTGACAAGGATTATTGCGCAGGACAACCAGCTCCAGCAGCTCATAGCGCAAGAAGGTAGGACCCGCGACAGTTCGGCTGCTGCTTTGAGAGGTTGGTTGGAGACTTGGCTTGGCGCGGAGCTGACGAAACTGAATGGAAATATTTGCAGGTAAGTGTGGACTTGTGGCTGTTGGCTATTGCAACTATGGCTATTACTGCTGCTAACTCTGTATTTTTGTATGCTTTTTAGGATTGCTGTTCAGCCTCCAAGGATGGCAACACCTGATCAGGTAGATGGTAATCTTTTTAGAAATGGGTTGACTGTGGAAAGGACTCGCCGGAATGGCCAGACTAGCCTCAGGTACAGACGAGCTGTGGCCACCCCTGCTGATAGTAGGCCTGCCAAGCTAGCCAAGTACAGAACTGTTGGCTCTGCTTGGCAAGAGTGGATGCATGGTATTGGTGGCAACAAACCAGCCAAGAACTTCACTGCTGAAGATATCAGGGCTTGCAAGTCAACCTACTCCAGGAGGAAGCCACTCTGGACTCTCATGGCTACACTTGTCAATGCTCAGAAAGCTCCAGCTTGGGTCATCACCAAGATTGAGGAGCATTATAAAGGAAGTGTTTTGAATATTACTGCTGCCATCAAGCAGGACACCATTATGGGCAGTCTGCATGAGGATCTTTGTATTGTTCATGTTCAGTAAAGTTGACCTTAGTTTGATAAGCATGGTAGCCATGCCTAATAGTGAGTTTGTTACATTAGACTTTGTGCTTTTGGTTTCGTTTCGTGGACTTGTGCTTTTCGAACGTTTTCGTGCTACTACTACTACACGTAGCTAGCAACCAGTAGCTAGCGAGCGATTTCGAGGACTTGGTCTTTTCAAAAACGTACTCAACCAAAGAGGTGCGACGTTATCTTAACAGTGAGTAGTAGAGGTGCGAGCCTCATTTTTCTTATAGTCGAGGACGTGACCTTCACTAGGTCGTCACTGGTATTAACGATCGACCTTGCATACACCAGGTGTTGGTGGTGTTGGTATACCTCGATCGATAGGATGGATACCTCCTGTAGGATGGCTACCACAGGTACAGGCTCTCAGTATTTCTCTCAGAACTGGAATATACTTTTACGGTACCGGTACCGTATTATTGGCATACCGTACTGGGGTATGGGGCAACTATAGGATTTACAAACACAACACGGCACTGCCACACTCTAAATAACATGGCAGTTACGTGCAGTTAAGTTTCATGCAGTTACGTTGCGTGCAGTTTCGTTTTACTATGGAAGTTAGTGTATTTATGTTATGTGCAGTTACGTGCCGTTACGATTTATTACGTGCAGTTACGCATAACTACGCTTTCATACGGGTATTGAGAAACTCTGTAACGAAATCCATAAGTTGCCCCATACCCCTGTACATCATACTAGTACCGGGACCTACATGCACTCATCTTTTGTGAGAACGCTGCATCTATGAGAGAAGTTACATCTTGCATTGAACAGGGTCAACAGGGAGTGCCCATCACCAAGGTGTACTGGTAACTGGCAACTGGCAAGGGGCTCTGCTATCAGAATACTACATGCATAGCTAGCTAGCACTGGCAGGATGAATGAATTATGACCAAGTCGGCTAAAATAAATGAATATGTATAGGGGTCTTCCCTGCGTCGACTCTAGCTAGGCGAAGGCAAAGCCTCCTCCGCCTTCATTGATTGCATAGAGCAATTTTTCTCGCAGTTCCTCTTCACTCTTGTAGGTTGGGAAGTCTAATGAGTTGAAGCACGTGTGGGCAGACATCAAAGCCCCACTGGTGCCGCTAGTTTTATGAATGCTGAACTTTTGGATGCCACGCATTCCTTGCAACTCGGAGAAGCCGACAAGAGGGACCTTGGAGCTTCCCGTCACAAACTGAAGGAATGCAGCTTTCTCGTTCCGCGACAACGAGAACATGACGTTCCAAAACCACTCGATTTCCTTGTCCGTCGCCTTCCATCCGACGTAGTCAGTGTTCTTCTTCAGATCATGCACGTCAATATCGGGAAGGCCCGAAATCAAAAGCTCCAATTCGCGAGGGTTGAAGATTGCAATGAGCTCAGGACTCACAAGTTCGTAGAATCCATCAAGGTAGGATTTGATTTGGGCAGAGATTGCCGTTGTCATGCGATGCTGACAGACGAGACTGACGTATTCAGCTTTTCTCTCCTCCGTCACCGCAACATTCCGACCATTTTCAATAAGGTCAATGACTTGGTTTCGACCGAACGAGTGATCCTCGATCGAAAACGTCAAGTCGAGACCAATGTCCTCCAGTTTGTACTCGAGGATGGTTTTGAGGTTCCTGTAGTAGTCAGGATCGATCGCTTCCATGTCGTGATGCGTGGGCTTCAAGCCCAGCATGTGCTTGTACAAACTGCGAGTGAAATGAGCATCCAGAAGGAATCCATCCGCAACTGCCTTTCCGACGATTCGGCCGACAAAGCGGAAGTAGCTGAGATGGTCTGGATTGATATTACTGTTTGCGTTTGGCTGGAAAGTACACCCATCCTCTGTTGAAGTAAAAAGAGCGTAATCTGGATTGAAGATCTCCTTTGCAAGGATGCCAAAGAATTCCCTCGACAAACCTCCAGCGTCCACACCCTCCTCATTTCGGAAGGTAATGTGCAGGCGGCCGCGCATTTCATCCGCATTTCGCAACCGAAGCTGGTGGTAGGCATCTTCGAATACATGCTTGCGTCGAATATGCAGTCGCAAACTTCCGTGTCGACGGCTGGCGTGTTGTCGGAGGCGTCGCACCTGGGTCTTGAACCATTGGCGCTTGACATCAAAGTCTAGGAAGACTCGGCATCGCGGAACTTGCACGAGGCCTCGCAGGCCCTTGTCCAACAGCCCTGGGTTGTTCCTGACCAAAGCATTCAACAGGACTTTATTCGACGATGCAAAACTAATCAGACGCTTGCCTCCGACGAGCTTCTCAATGCTTGTCGAGTCTGTGGTTGCTCCTGACGAGTTTTCTGTGTTACCATTTGCGGTGGCTTCTCTTGACTCGGAAGATTCTTGAGCTTCGCTCTTGTCCTTTTCAGGGCTTGCTTCTTTGGTTGAACTCGCATTGGCGACAAAGAAAGCTTCAATCGAAGGTAGGAAGCGTGTGAGAAGGCCCGCGGCACTATTCTTTAGCTTCTTTCCTGGCACGGCAGCCTCGTCGCCACTGGCTTCGTCATTGCCCTCGTCTTCCTTTGACTTTTGGTCCTCGTCGTCCTTGAAAGTCGAAACACCTTCCAAAACCTGTACGACTTTGAGACAATTGGAGAGCTCTTCCCAGAGACCGTCTAGCTTCATTGCCTGCAGGAGATGGACCAGCTCCTCCGTCACAATCATGCCTGCTTCAGCTTTCTTCGCTTGCTGTTCATCGTTGCTGTCGCCACAGAGGGCTTGTAGTGTCTGAAGCACTCGCAAAAGCTTCAATTCTGATGTACTCGTGCTGAGAGTGACTGAGCTCGAAGCACTGCGCGATGACCCTGCCTTTGCCTTGCCGTCGCCTTCTTCCTTTGTTGCCGTTCCTGATTTGCGATCGTTCTCTTGCTGAGCCACGGCCCCATCAAGACGGATCCGAAGCGCTTTCAAGTCTCGGATTGCATCAGCACCAAGTGCATGTGCCACAGACGCAAGTTCTGCCAGGACATAGCCTCGATTAGCGTCGACACGGCAGAGCCTTCGAACTATTGTATTCACCTTCGTGAATGAGGCGTCTCTGCAGGTTTCCATTCGAAGGATGGAGCAAAGCATTTGAAGTCGTTCCTGCGACACGATCACACGCGGAACATCCATCCACTCTTTGCCAGCAGCTGCTGCGGTATCAATGTCTCTCTGCGATACTTCCGCTCTGTCCTCACTATGTTTCGAAAGGTGCGAAAGAGGAGACACGCAACCTTCAAGTAATGTCAAGAGTTGCTCGAGATTAGCAGAGCTCTTTAGAATTGAAGGCTTTTCCAACAAATCCAACAGCTTGTCAAAGGCTGTCGTGCCCACAGCCTCCGCAGTCTCTGGTGCGTTGACCACGTTGGAAACCAGCGAGTGTAAGCAGAATCGAGGAGAATTCTTGCACAGATGCAACAAGGTATCAACGATGCGAGTGGCCACAACAGAGGGAAGCTGCTGTTCGTTGCGAGATCCAGAGGCACTTGTAGGCAGATTTGCAGCAATGGAGGCAGCAGTGTTGTTCCCTTGCTTCCTTCGCAGCAGTGTCAGGTTGGGGTTGAAGGATTCCGTGTCAATTACCTCCGGGACAGCTCCAAGCAAATGCTTTGGAGGGAATTCCAAATCGCTGACCAGGGTATCGACGCTTTGTCGCCATCCACTTTTTTCATCTGCATACTCCTTGGCCATTGAATCCAAAGCCACCAAGGCACCACGATCGTCTTCCTGCAGCAACTTCACAAACACAGTAGAAATAACTGTGCGAAGCTCGGAGTTTGCACAAAAGTTTTGGAATACTTTTTGGAGCAGACGAGCCGGGCGGACTGGTGCAAGCAAGTACATCAGACGCAAGAGAGTCTTCAAATCGGACATTGCAATAGCAGCGGTCAGCCCACTGGAAGGAACAATGTAAACAACTTCATCTCTGTCCCGATCAACCCTCATCTTGCCAGACCTGTTCTTTCTACGGCTCGATGAGGTGCCACCATCATTAGCATCACGGTTTGTTGCGTGGCCGCGTTGTTGTCCTGCAGCAGCCGCGGGCGCAACAGCAGCAACATTTGGTGCAGCGGCTTCCTCATAAAGGCGTCTGTGTTGTGTCGCAGCTCGTTCTCGAAGTATTTGGGCCTCAGCAATAATGTTGGGAGGGAGACTATTCAGGAACGTCTCGTCGGCAGTCAACAAGATTTCCTCGCGCAGATCGGGACCCAGTGACGCCAGAAAGCTGGCATTATCCATATCTTGGGCATTGGCAGGATCCGCAGGAGCAGCCTGCTCACGAAGGCGTCGCTCTTGTTCTTCTTGCTGCATGACTTCGCGGCGCAGGTCTTCTGGGAGGGCCGCCAGTGCCTCTGGATCCAGTGAAGAACCAGCACCAAGTTGAGCCGCAAGCTCAAGAGTGGACCTGTGCTGCTCCACCAAGTCCCTCTGCATCTCCACTGGAAGACTGTTGAAAACCTCTTCGTCGACATCTGGCGGACACACAAGCCCGTTACTGTTGGGCTGACCGGCCCCGTTGTTGTCACCTCCACCCGCAGCATCGGGCTGTTCTCCTGCCTGCTCAGCCGCCTGTTCTCCTGCCGGTTCGGCTTGAGGGGCGTCAGCACTTGGCTCCCCTTCACCCTCTGTAGCAGCGGTTTCTTCGTTTGCTTGGACAACAACTTCGTCTGTTTCCATTTCATCATTCTCCCCTGCTTCAGCTTCATTTGCTTCTTCCATGGTGGCGTCACCGTCAGCATTAGAATCTGCCGCCTGGACCGCCTCACCTGCAGGGGCTGCCTCCGTTGCAGACATGCCGTCAGCGCTTGTGTCGCTTCGAGGGGACAGACGTAAGCCTTCGGCCAATGAGGACGCCACACCATCGCCGTCGGTGGAAGCATTCATTTGGGGGCTACTGTCATTTGCGGCCTGTTGGTTGTTTTGGCTTTCTGGAGAAGCAGCTTCCTGTGAACCGCCAGCCGGCGCAGCAGCTGCGGCTTCGCTGGTTTCATTGTCAACATCATTGGTAGCTGCATCCCCCTCGCCTTCTCCTTCAACCGCGGTTTCATCCGCGGCCGCGTCTTCACCATCGGCTTCCTGGTCTGCAGTTCCGCTTTCTTCAGCACCAGTGTTGCTCTCCGAGTTGTTGTTGGTTGCGGCCGCCGGTGAAGATTCCGCCGTAGCTTCGGCTTCCCCGGAAGCACTGCGAAGGTCAGCCATCGAGTCACGCAGAGCGCTTTCAAACGCTGAACTGAATTGAGCCGCTGTCGCATCAAAAGGCAAGCCATCGTCCGTCCATCCAACAGGAGCGGCCGCATTACGTGACGGCGAAACAAGCGACAGAGGAGAACCAGAATGAGACCTGTTGGACCGAATAATGTTGCCATTGGAAGTCAAAACAAGGCAATTCCCAGATGCGAATGACGAGTTGTTCCATTCGCCGGGTCTTCGAGTGGTCATGAGGCCACGTCTTGTGCATCTGATCCCGTGAGGAAGAAGATCTGAAACAAGGGCATTGACAGGAGGGAGATCAATTCCGCACAGCAAAGGATGTAGTGAATGCTGTGTGCGGGCATGTGCAGCGGAAGCAGGGCCGCCAGGGAACAATTGCAAGTCTAGTTGTGAAATGTTCGGGTGGTTCTCATTCTCAGATTCAGCTTGAACTGGTGAAATCAAGTCATAATTGCGACTTCCGGCAGTCACAGATGGTCCTCCATAGACATACTCCATGGAGCTTGTTTCGATCCAACGACCACCACCGCTCAGTGCCGAGTATCCAGCCCCAGGTTGGTTTCTTTGGTGAACGTGAGGAAGGGTTCCCACGACCTCGTTCCTTGCCCGTGAGTTGCTGTTCGACTGCCGCCGTTCGACTCCACCGCCAAGTCTTGCGGCAATGGAGTCTGCAAACACACTATCAGCTCCTCCTTCGGGACCCCCGAGAGCACGCAGTGACCGTCCATTCGACATGATTCGAATACCAAGAGAACCTTCAATTTCTGCCAGTGCATCGCCATGAATTTCGCCAGTTCTCAAAAGCGTCCCAATCATCGCTTCGGCAGCATCGATGAAGCCACGGGTGCGTGCCGTGAGTGGACCACTGCTCGCAGAGAGTCCGTGGCGGCGACCACCTCCTGCGCCCATGAGCAATCCACCAAAACCGCTGTTTTCAATTCGTGTCCACCCTTCATCCAACCTGGCGTCATTGCGTTCCATTTCGTTGTCATCCCCGCCGTCGTCAAACTCCTGATTGTCCACTGGTAGTTCCTCTCGATAGTTGACATTCCAGTCTCCCTCCTCTACTTCTTCCATCTCTTCACTAGACGCGCCATCCGAATCATCGTCGTCATCATCAAGGATTGACCCATCTTCATCATCCTCGCCTTCTTCTCCCTCACTTTCGCTGTCGGAATTGTCGCCACTCGAACTTTCCGAGTCTGAGCTACTTGAGATTTCTTCATCGCCTTCCTCCACTTCCTCTTCCATGTCGACGTCATCGTCGTCCTCCGCGGCAACCTGGTCTCCCTCGTTGTCCTCGTCAAAGTGTTCTTCTCGGGGCGGCACTGGTGAAGCTGCGTCGTGATGGAAGGCTTCCTCAAGCATAGCTTCTTCATTTGCCATTCCTTCGTTTTGGCTTGCAGGAGATGTGGTGGCGTCGTTTGATTTCTTGGAGGTTTCACTTTCCTTTGATGATTTCGCCGATGTTTCCTTCTCAATTAGAGATTTTACGCCATCAGCGACGCTTCCCCGTGTCAACACTTCCAGCGGAAGAAGGAGCGAACTGCATGTGCTAGCGGCCATGGGATGATAGAGTCTTACTCGGAGGAGGGAGAACAAAAGAGCGTGGGCCATACCTAGCTCCAACATAAGCTTGATTACTTCAAAGCTCAACGACGAGTTTCCTTCAGGGGTTTTCCCGTTGCTGCGCGGAGCTGCCAGACCAATGCAGAGTTCTCCCCAAGCTTGAAGCGCGTGTAGTTCCCTCGCACTACCAGCTTTCGACATTGCGTTTGTTTGAGCTGGCGTAGGATTCGAAGGGGAATGTCCCAGGCGGCCACCGCTCAGAGCAAATGTCAGCTCTGAAACGACTCGTTTCCGCCCTTCTCCAGGACGTGCGACGAGAGCAACTAAAAGTCGAGCCGCTGTCTGGGACACTTTGTTCAGCCTGAAGGCGCGATTCTTCTTTGCTGTCATTGCCTCCGATTCCTCGCTTTCGTCCTCCTTGCTGCGCTCCCAGATCTGCTGGTCATTTTTTATACTCCACCGATCTTGAGGCAGAATGTTATGCAGGAGAAAACTCATAAAGGTCTTGGATGGGCTGGGACAGCCAGACAGGGCATGTGTCGTCGCCGCATCTGATCCTTTCCGGTCTTTGCCTCTGACCAGACGAAACTTTTGAACGGCCGATGCACACGCAGGGACAGCCAAAACCAGATCTGCGAGAATCTCAAGTAAACTGGCCGTCCACAAGAAGGATTTGTTATCAGGGAAGGGATCGGATTTGTCCGAGGTTGTGTCGCCGCTACAGGAGGCCATAATGTTGGAAATCAGCAGGGATATCACATGGTTCGCGGGTGTTCCATTCAGTGAATGATGGCTGTGGTTGTGGTGGTGATGATGTTGGTGGTTGGTTTGTCCACTGTGTTTGTCATCGTTCTTATCACTCTTTTCACGTTTGTGCTTCTTCGATGAATGCTTGCCCTTTGAAGATTGTCGTTGAGGTGGGGACTTGCTCTTGGCTCCATTGGATGATCCACGACGGTGGCGTGCTTGGCTGGATGACCTCCGACGGCCTGATGATTTGCCTGTCGGCGTAGGTCCAGCTGTCGGTGCTGGCCTCTTCAGCTTTATGACATCTGACATAGCCCGCTGGTTTTGGAGACGTTCCTCTGTTGACAACAAAGTCACAACCGTCTCTCCGCGAACTTCTTCGATTTTCAACGTCAGAATGAAAGCCTTCAGGAATGACACGGGATCACGACACAAAAGTGGCGTCACTGCCTGTGTAAAGGCACTGTGTGGTGCAGAAAGGTTGTCTCCGTCGCTTTCCTTCCGTTTCCCATGGAGCTTGGTGATCGTGGCACGAATCTCTGTTTCCATGGCAGCCTGGAGAGTCTGTTCGTCTTCTAGCAATCGCCGAAGAATCAGAGTCGCAAGACCGGAGTTGCCCGTGAAGGAGCACTTGTAGGGTAGGGAGAGTATCGTTTCAGCAGCACCCATTTGTACACACTGTGTAGAAAGCTTGGGAGAACGCAAGAGCCGCAAGAACAGAAGCATGACAGCATGGACGACGCCTGGAGGAGGGGCAGGATCGGCCTCGCCCGCTTCCCGGCCTTTTCGAAGCACATCTAGGCAAATGTCCAAACAAGGACGGACTTGCCCTGTAGGTATCAAGGGGAAATAAGCAGGGATTTTCGAGAAGAGCTCATTCGGCTTCGTGGCTGCCTCCTCTGCGCCATTCTCCCCAGAAGCGTTAGTCGTTGCATCTTTGGCCTCGGGTTTCTTCTCTTCTCCTGCCCCTGGTTTGTTGTCTTCCTTCTCTGGTTTCGTGTCTTCCTTCGAAGCGTTGGTGCCCTTGCCGACTGCAGCAAAGATTTTCTTTGCCATCTCGGCTAGTTCCGTTGACTGTCGGTCGCGATCTTCACAAAAAACCGAGAACTCAGATTTCGTCTCGTCTTCCTTGGATTCATCTTCGTCACTCTTTGTCGCAGCCACAATAGGCTGAGCCATAACATCTAGAATTAGTAGCGCCGATGCTAGCCATGACGGCCACTTGTGATCTTTCCCTTCACCGGACTCAGATTTCAACGAACCTTGTACACAAGAGACAATCATGTGCAGCAAGTCTTTCTTCAGCACCAACACTCGTGTCTTTGGAAGGGCCCGAGTAAACAACACTGTTGCGTGGCAAAGCGATGCAAAGCTAGCTTCGTGCTCACTCTTTACATAAAAGGCTTGTTCGGGAGTGTTGGTGATTTGCAGCTTGAGCTCCTTCAACACCTGAGACACAATACCATTGCATTCATCTGGATACCGCTGGCAAATATCCAACAGGAAGGAGCACAAGACGACTGCCAAAGCTTCGCCTTCGCCGTCTCCCTCGCCACTTCCTCTATCTGTGTTTGGCATCATTCCAAAGAGCCTCGCGGTTCCGCCGGAATCCGTGGCACCAGCCAACATACTGCAGGCGACCGTGGGGGCATCATTCATCCACAACTTGAGGAGTCGTTTGGCACAGGCGACACTGTCTTCCTCTCCTCCATCGTCTTCTTCCGCCTCCTTTTTCTCCTTGTCTTCCGCCTTGGGTTTTTCGTTGTCTCCGCTTTCTTCCGTGGAATTGTTGTTTGGTGTTTCACCACTTGGCTCCACATCCATTGCATCGGCAGAGTTGTCGTTGTTGCTGTTATCAGTTGCATTCACATTGGCATTACTGGAGCTGCTGGTACCGGCATTGTCTGAATTGGCTTGTGCAGTAGTATCAGTACCTCCTGCCTCCCCTTCGGGGACAGCAGCGTTAGCGTTACCTGCAGCAGATGGTGCTTCGGCGGCTGCTGCTGCGGCACGGTTTTGTCGTTCCTCTCGTAGGCGCCGACGTTCCTCCCGTTGCTGTCGTCGACGCTCGATTGTTGCTTGGCTGGGTGGCGGATGTGAAAGTGCATATTCCATTGCAATTTCCACTCGGTTGGTCCGTGAGTTCTCAAGAGCGTCAATGGCATGATCTCGAGAGAATCCCATTTCTTCCAGCCTGGCAATCGATTCATCGCTAGGTTCAAAAGCTTCTTCCGCTGCTGCAGCGGCTGCCGCTGCCATTTCGTTCTCTGCCTGCCTATTTTGAGCCGAACCCCGAAACAGCTCCCAGCCACTGGCCCGCTCCGATGCAGCTGCTGCCCGTGGAGCTCGCGATTGAGTCTTTCGCTTCTTTCCAGCGTCCTCAAGTCCAGTGATAATATCTCCTATCAAGCTGGCAAAAGGATGGACAATGTGTGGTGGTGCAAATTTGAGACGGGGGTCGACCCAGGACTTCCGCACAACTTCCGACAAAGTGAAGTGCATATCCTTCACAAAATCCTCGGGCGAAAACAAGGCTTCGTCGTTGTCAGATTGTTTGAATCCACTGGCATGAATAGTCTTGCCGACAAGCTTCGACAGGTCGCTCTTCTTGATGCGGCTCAGAACCGAAGATGCGGGAGATGAGGAAATCAACGACCCGGACATTAGACGACGCAGAAGTGATATTGCCGACGGCAAACTTGCTGCAACAGTTCGATCGAGTCGTTGAAAAGGATTGTTGTCATCGACAACCAGATGCTGGTGAGATCGCTTCTCAAAATCCTTGAGACTTTCTTCAAAGATGAAGCGTACAGAATCAAGCAGCGTTGTCTTGTCTGGCTCTGGTGGGTCCTCATCTGATTCCATCAAATAAATCAGTAATGGAACGTTAACCATTCGTCGCTCGCGTCTTTCTTCGAACAAACATGCGTGCAGGTGGCTGAGCATGCACCCAAGGTACATGGCAACTCCTCTTGAATTTACCGTGGTGGATTGGTTGCCTCGTTTCAAGCCGTCTTCGACATTCGACGACAGCATCTTCATCATTGCCATGGCGTGTGCTCCCGCGTCACCCTCTTTGAATGAGACATTGTTGGCTGGAACTGACCGTACACCTTGTACAACAGTCTTTGACAGAGCGTTGAAAAGCTCCGAATAGCTAGTTTGCAACCGTGCCATGACACTGGCACTCACCGTGCGCAGGTCGGGAATGGCTGCCTCGATTCTTTTTTTGTTGGACGAAGTGGTTGGTTGATCCGGGATTTCCATCTCGTCTCCATTTTCGCTTTGCCAGAACGAAATGACTTCCGCAACGGGTTCTCGGCCGTGTCCACGAGTCATCTCTGAAACCCACCCTCTTCGAGTGCGATAACGGAGGATCCCAGAGGAGTTTACACATCGATCGAATGCTTCAGCGATTTCGCCCATCTCCATGCTGCCAACACTTGCACAAGAATCGATTTCAATTCCGTCTCTCACAACAGCTCCTTCAGGGCAAACGATTCGCAGCCGATATCGCAACGAATCTCTTTTGTCGTTTGTCAGGTCATATCTCTCACGCTCACGTTTCTCAAAGTCCTCAGAGCTCCTGACTCTGCAAACTTCTAGCATTGCCGACTGGTGAAACACAGAGAGTTTTTTCACAATATCTTCAAATGAAGAGGAGGAGAGCTCTTTCTTCCACTCTCGTTCTGCTCGGCTCCAACCTGCCCCAGAGTCTTGCGTCCGTTGACATGCTGTCTTGACGGCGGTACCCAGCAGACTCGTCGACCACTGAACGTTGGACACAGCCCTAAGATATTTTGACAACGCCGTCAACAGCTCGTCCTTCTCGATCGACATTTGGTGGAGTGGCACACATGGTAGACCCTCCAAGACACTACTAGCATCGACACGAACAATATCGGCCATGTCTGATCCACCGGCGGTGAGTTGCCGAAGCGCGCTCTGTGATTCTTCCAATTCGTCCACGTGTAGTTTGACCGTTTCCACAGTCTTTCGGATGAGTTTCAACGGGTCGTATCTCATCGATATGCATTTGAAGGCAAGGCATAGAGATTCTTCGGCGGTTGAGTGATGGAGTGTGCTGACTGATGGACAGCTCAGACTACTAACATGCGAAAGAAATTGCTGCCCACTAGGCATCACCGATGGAAACAGATTCAGCAATGCATCGAGGCCGCCAGCTGCGACAAAGGGATCGCAATGCTCTTCGTTGTGAAGGATCTGCTCCAAAAGCTGTCCAAAATTGAGAACGTATTGCATCAGACACGATCGTTCGTTTTCTAGATCGGTCGCGGGCTTTCCCTCTAGATCTTTCGGGTTCATTGCCACCAGTTCTCGGGCCGTCAGATCGTTGGCGAGAGAAACAATTTTATTCAAGGCTTCCGCAATCGCCTTCAGAATCAGTGGCTTCAGAGATTGTACATGACGCATGACCTCATCCAAACCTGTGCCTACGATAGCTGTCATCTCGTTCAGCAGACACCGGCTTTTGGGCATCGCATAGCTAGGGTGATGGAACAAGCGTAGCATCGATGGAAACGGGTTGGCTTCTTTGACAGCCTTGGCTCCGTCTTCGGTGAGTGCAAGAGCAGAAATGACGTTTGGGAGTGCCATGATAAGTTCAGGAACAGGAGGCAAGATTGGCTCATATGTTTCCTCTCCGTTGTTCGCGACCTTCTTTCCTTGCAACATATCCAAAAATGACTTGGCAATGCCTGCTTTGTGGACGTGATGCACCACATGTGGATCGCTATTGAGTACATCCGACAATAAAGTCGCAATCAAAGAGGCAAGATGGCCTCCGTAGGACGTGACGTCATCCATGATGTCAATCAGAGCTTGGGTCAGCTCGGGTTTACGAAGCTGAGCACCCCCCGATGGCGTTGTTGCGGAGGAGGAAGTCGACTCCTGGTGGAAGACGACCGTTAAACAAGTGACAATGCTAAAGAGAAGAACTCTTTGGGATGAAAGGATTCTGTGCTTTTCAGGCTCCGTCTCTTCCATTTCAACGTCGACGGGTTCGGATGGTGGGTTCTCACCGTTGTCGCAGTCCATTTTCTCGGGTTCTGTTTCGGCTGCCTCTTTCTCACGTCGTGTATGTCCGACTTCCTTGGATAAACGTGATGTGAGCACTTCTACTCCGTGAAGGTCGTGAAAGGCAGCGAGAGCGTTGTTATGTGTGACGATGGCCCCCTCAAGAATTTGGATGGCTTGAGCCGTTATGAATCGGAGGAGTGACTTCACGCCCAGGAGTTGCTCATCTGAATAGGAGGCCGCATTGGGCAGAGCACCAGTAATAAAACTCTTCGAGTCTGTCGCTGCAGTTGTGAGGAGTGCAGGAATCAGACCGCAATCAGTCAAAGCGGATGTACCCGTAGGCGTCGAGACAATGGCAGACGTCAATGTCAGAATTGAATCAATAAACTCCAAGGCTCTTTCCAGCTGTTCGAGCCGCGGTGCCGCTGGCGCCTTTGTTGCTTCAACAAATGCAAGACCAATATCCAGAGTGTCGGTATTTTCTCCTCCAGTGGATTGATTCGATCCCGCTTGTTGTTGCTCCGTGCTATTGTTGTTGTCCGAGGAGGAGAATGAGGATCCAAGTGAAGCCAACGAATACCGAATCAATGTTGGCAAGAGACCCAAGTATTGCCCTTTCCCTACACCCAGTTCATTCAAGACACTGGTGTGCCGTGCCGATCCTGTCAATGCCCCACTGGCTCCGTCACGGCGTGCCACCAATGCAGTGAGCGCTTCTACTGCCAGCATGCGAATTTCATATGGCACAGTTGTAGAGCTGGCGAGCGACCCAAGAGCATCTTGCGAAACCGTCGCCACTCCATTGCTGGCGGCAGAAGACACATTGGCAGAAGACACGGTTGGCCGCAATAAATCCACCAATTCGACGCAAAGTTCTGGTTGGGCTTGGAAATAACCCGACATGATTTCTTGCGACGGATGAGCATGCAAAATAGCAATAAGCGCCCGCAGTCGACGTTCCACGGCGTTGACCCGAGCTTCATTGCTGTAAAAGGCTCTGGCCAATCGAATGTCGGCGAGAAGAGCGAACAATCGATCATCGCGAATTTTGTCCCGTCCACCAGCTTTTTCTAGACAAGTAAAGAAGAGTTCGGCTGTTGACTTTGTTGGCTTGGCTTGAGAACAAATTGGGCCCACCCTTCTCCGTTTCTTGCTGGCTTCGACTGTCGTTTCGCCATCTTCCTCCTCGGGGGTCATTTCGGCATCCGTGCTTTGTGCCGAATCTTCCACAATCTCATTTGCCGATAGATGAATTCTCACCAACTGGTAGTCCTCCGCCGCTTCTTCCATTTCCTCGTTGACATTGCTGGAGAATGAAAAATCCAATTCACCGGCTTTGGCTGGCAGTGCGCCTTGACCGTATTCGGAGTTGTCGGTTGTAACACATGTGAATAATCCCAATCCAGAGCCCCGTGTGCCCCAGCCTCTCGCCAATGCGATAAGACGGCGATGGGAAGCCGTCTTGGAATTGTGTAGGCCGGTTGTGTGCTGATTGACTTCAGGCGACTGTTGTTTGTGCAATGACGGAGGTGTGGCCAGGTTGCTGAGAGTTTCCAAGGCCAAAGCGGAAAGTGAATCATCTGCTGCGGCGAGTAGATCCGCCAGCTCCTCGACTGAGTTGAATACGGACTTGCTGGATGAATTTCGCAAGAGACAACACAAGAAACGAAGCAATTTTTTGATCGTCTCAATGACCTCAGGTGAAACTTTGGCCACATCCTCTAGCGATTCGGCAGGGCTAGAGACGAATTGATGCTGTGAATCGACACTTCCGCGGCCTCTCTTTCTCTTTACAGGCCCAATCAATAGAAGGGAAGGGTACTTCTGAATAAAGTAGGCAAGGCATGCATCGATAGCATTCAAACCCGCAATCCACTCGTGCAAATCCACCTGCAGCGAAATGAAAGAAAGAAGACCATGAGCTGTTATTGTTGAATTCGTCGTTCTCTGTTTGTTTACATGCTTACCTGTTCTTCAAAGTGCCATGATTGATACGGCTCGACAACCGCAACCAATTCGGCAACATCCAAAGGCGCCACTACATCGTCGGATGTTTGCGGCGGGTTTCGCTGTGGATGGGGCTGAAATCCATTGAGTGTTTCGATCAGCTTGCGAAGCCTTGGATCATCAATGATTTGAGGAGTGACCCCTACAGCGGTGGATAGGATAGGTGCCATGATCACTCAGCAAAATGACGCGTTCTCAGGATGTTCAGCAAATAGATACTCGAAAGATTCAATTCCTGTCAAGTCATCAATCAGCTCTCGCTAGCCAGTTAGTAGCTACTATCGATCCAAATTCCGGTCTTGTGCTTCTACCACGCTGTGCTGGCCTCTGTCTCTTTCGCTTCACTGCACTACTAGTACTTGCTGGTTTCACAGGACTGTTCTACTCTTCTTCGTTGCTCTCTTCTGATGGTTGGTGATGGCAAGCCAGAAGAAGGCACCGTGTTGCGATTTGTATTCGGATGTGGTCAGTCGCGACGGCCCACAAATATGTTCATGTCTGTTGAAGCCCGCCCTTTCGACAGCGTGCATGAGAGCGTGAAGATAGAACCCAGCTGAGCTGTAATTGAAATTAATGACTAAGACAATCACGTGTCCGCCAAGCCTGGACGGTGACAACTGGACTGGCAACGATCTTTTGGATCTTTCCAAGGCATCAGCCAACAAGCAGCAGTCTCCGGCACTAGCTATTAGCTAGCTTCTATCCGGATAGCCCTTTTAGAAGAGTATGGGACGATCCAATGCATACAAAAGAAAAACGTTTTATCATCATGCCCACAGACTCATGAAGGTTTCCTCTTGGATGTTTTCCATACTCTTATTTCTCCCACCCCATGCCGATTGCTTTTCTTTGCAAGGATCATCGCAAGTCAGTTTCACGCAGCGCCAACATGCTCGACTATGCTCCCTGAACAGTGGCGAGTCGGAAAATCCAATTGTGAATGGTCATGGCAACGCCCTCAAAGAACAATTTGAAGCTCTCAGGAAACAAAAGCCGTTCAAGTCCCTACCAGACGATTGCTGCCAACTGATTGCCCGTGGTAGCTTCACAGCAGTACCAACCTCCAATCAAGACGATATTGTCCCCATCAACTCCATGGTGCTACAAATCCAACAACAAGATGATAATAGTCTGGAAACAATAATTCTTGTGATTCTAGCCGAAGACGACAAGATTGACCTGCAAAAAGTCACGGACTTTTGGAATCAGAAACAAGCGACGACAGTCACAACGGTCAAATTTTCCCCCACCGACCAGCTAGAGTTCCTTGTTGGGTATGCTTCTGGTTCTGTACCACCCATTGGACACATGTCCTCCTCCAGCAATCCAATTGTGTTGCCCACGATTTTAGATGCCAGTTTGATCCAAAACACGGCCCGGCGAAAGTTATTGGGTGGAGGAGGTCACCCTGATTTTCAATCTTTGATCAGGTTATCCGCAATGGTGGGCATGGATCATGTCGAGGTTGGCAATATCATTACTTCATCCACGGAAAAGACTCAGCAGCAGGATGACAACAATATTATAGCAGCCAGCCTTCCTGCTCCTCGAATGATCTCTCTACCAGAATGGGGATCTTCCAAACGACCAAAACCTTTGTTTCCTGTAGAAACACCGGCTATGGATATCGCCCAAGAACTGCTCAAGGAGTGCAAGGATAAAGACCTTCCTCCGTCTGACACGACATGGGTAACCTTGGTGGCACAAATCGGTGGAGTCCGACAAATATCCAAACGCTTGGTATTTTGCGACTTGGAGCCACCTGGGTTTGATGAGACGACGACGGAAGAGAATGGCAACACCGCCAGAAAGGCATGGAAATCTGCCACCGATGGCCAAGACTTGTCCGTGCAGCTCATTGGCGGGGCTACTCTCTGTCAGGCAATCGGGGAAGTGCAGGGGCAGGCAGCCTTGAAGCGTCTTCAGCAAGGGCAGTTGCTTCTGATACAAGCAAAACTCAACGTCTACAGAAGCCGAGATTCTCTGCAGAGTTGGATAGCCAATCGAAAGTTGGATTTGGTGTTGGTGTCCTATCAAGTTTTGTATCAGTTTCCTGGTGCCTTGCCACCTCAACTAGCAGCTTCCGACACGGCTCCTCCAACATCCGCTGCCAAGCCAAAGAAGCCGTATTTGCAATGGCAAGATGTGTTTCCTGCCGACGTTGTGGAGCGAGGACCGCAAGTGTTTATTGAGTTAGTTGACGATGTGGAGTCGTTGGGAGCATTTTCAAGGAATGTGTCAAAACTGCTACATGCATTGGAAACATCCGACCACTACTCATCAGGCATTCCATCTCCAACAGACGGACATTCTCCTACAAACGGAACTACCTCCAACTACGCCTTCGCTGGAATAGACTGCGAATGGAAGCCAGGTTTCTACATGGACAATCCACGCGAACCCCAACCGGTCTTACTGATGCAAATCAGCATTGAGGAAAAGGTCTACATACTGGACTTCCAGTCACTCGCTCGTCCTTTGTTGGACATGCATGAGGCCACGACGGAGACAGAGACAGCCTTGAATGATGCATTACAAAAATTATTCCAGTCAAAGCTCCTTTTCAAGGTGGGCTTTCAACTTGTACAGGATCTGCAACGGCTTTCTATAAGCTATCCCAATTTGCCAGCGTTGCAAGAAGTTTGCAGCGTATTAGAGGCTTCAGCGCTGGCCATCAAAGTCATGCGATCCAGACGGCAGAAAAATGCCTTGCACATTACCTCTTCCTTGAGTCGTTTGACAGAACACTTTCTGGAAAAGTCTGTGAACAAGGCCCAACAAGTGAGCGACTGGAGTCAACGCCCCCTAACAGCGCAGCAGCTTGAATATGCTGCTCTTGATGCAGCAGTCACTCAAGCACTCCTAAAGCAATTCTTCCAAGAAATGGAGGTCTCCGTGTTTTTGCCTGGCCCAGAAGTTGGGAGGTGGAAAGGTGATGCTACTTATTCCAAGCTGTTGACATCGTGGAGGTTCCTCTTCCTTCAACCTGACACGGATGACACAGTCATGAAGAAATTGAAGGCCAAGTCGGTACTCAGCAATCAACCTCTTCTTATCGTTTCACAGACATGGAGCACAGCGGACGATCCGCCGAAGCTACCGAGCGTTCCAGAGGAGGATGCTGAAGGACCCTATACCGACGTCTTCGGCATTGTGCGAGTGCCGTCTGCTAGCCTTCGGATAAGACCAAATTCGACTCTTGAATTGCAACAGTCATTCTTGTCGTCTCTGGTGGGGAAACGGACTGGAAGATCGAAGGAAAAGTGTTTGACCAGTCTACTGGAAGCGGCAATCGCGGAGGATTCCGAGATCCTACCAGAGGGATCCCGACTTCAGTATCCTCCAAGGTCGGGTTTTGTTGAATTTAAAGATGGACTGGCTCTTTTCGTGAACATGCCGGCAAGTGCCAGCCGTGATAGTGCCTACCAGCCTCGATCTTACCCCAACGAGTTTCTCGAGGAAGGCAGAGTCTTGACATGGTATTTGCATGACCACGAGTGGGTTGGAGGGAAATCACCTCTCGCTTTGAAAATTCTTGACCCGAACTCCGTGATCGTTGTCTTTGTCCGAGTATCGAACAAGCACTTTCTTTGCTGTGGTCCTTGCCGCGTCAAAGTGCCCGAGACCAGGACAAGCATTGTATCCAAAGAAAAGCAAGAGAGCTGGTACCTGGTGCAACTGAACTTGCATCTGTTGGAATGGGGGAGCCTGACAAAATCCAGTGACTTCGTGTCGTTGATATCTTGATTCAGCCATCTTGTCTGGGTCGAGGGATGCGGGCTCAGATCTAGGATTCATGCGCGTCAAATTCGGTATCCATAAGGACGTCTAATTGCCTTTCACCGTCGTCCATTCCTCGCAAATACCAGTCTTCCAGGGCTTCGCTGGAGGTCATTCCAGAGGCTGGAACCAGTGACTGAATGTTGGAAACGGATGGTTCGATGGCAATTCCATCCCTGGTTGTGAAGAACCTGCTCCACATAGAGGGTGCGCCTTTGTGCGGGCAGATAAGGGTAGATAGATATTCCTTTGTGGTCTCTGTCAGTGTCACGGCAATGGGGGTGACAAGGATACGATGAGATTGCTCCTGATCGTGCAGCCTCGCTGGCGGGAAAACACCCGAAACACCACCGTCGACGTATAAGGTACCGTCAATCTCGATGCCTTCTCCTTCGTATGTCATGGGATTCTTTGCAAACAAATCTAACGGATGAAAGGACGCAGGAATTTGACATGAGGCCCGAATGACATCAAAGAGCCGTTCTTGGTCAGGATATGGAGCTGTGAATGGGAATAACTGTGGCGAGCCGTCGGAGCTCCTGGTGGCGCAAACAAGCAAATTTGGGCCATCCTTTACTCTAGACCTGTCTTTCTCCTCCTCCATCAGTGCTCGAAAGTGCTCGAAAGCTTTGCCTCGTTCTTTCAAGAAGCGGTCGCTGTATTCATCTAAGCGGTGGGGTATTTGCGTTACAATCGCTGCCGCAATGGCCCCGGACGATGAACCAGAAACACTTTTGATTCTGTTGCAGAAATCTTGGTGGTTAAGCAAAGACTTTGAGACGCCGAGATGATACGCAATAAGATGTCCAGCACCACTGAAGGACACTGTAAGGCGTGGTTTCTTCATCTGCTGTGATGATCGCTCAACTTCGAGTTGTTGTGAATGCTGGAGAGGTTGCCTTTGCCGTCCAACGTCATTGTTACTCATCAAACCAGCAAAGCTAGATAGACCCCGTCCCAAGCAGAGTCAATCGAGTCTTTGGCTTTGGTTCTCGAGGCAGTCCGCATTACATGTACTGTAGTTTATCAAACTGCTGGCTTTCACTGACGATCCTTTTGTGACACCCCCCAAGAAACTTCAACGACCTGTAGCCTCCACATTTGCCAAGTGGCACGAAGGATTGAAAGATGATCATGGATCATTCTTTTAGATGGAAACAAGTGCAAAGATGATGGTACAAGGCTCTCGTTCTGCCATTGTGGTGGTTGCTCTTTTTGCAGCATGTTCTGCATTTACTCCTGCCACCAACAACTACATCCACCAGAAATTTGTGAAACAGTCAACATGTTGCCAAATGAAACACTCCCAACATGACGAACCTGAAGGCAACCTTGGTAGACAGCTGGCAGCTGTCGCATTAGGTTTGACTATTACAGCCTCAAGCATGTTCGGAGGAGTGGCTTTTGCAGAAGAAGCCAAGACCTATGATGGGTTTGCTGACTATGCCAAGGAGAACCAAATGGCCCAATCCGATGTGGGTTGCTTTGTCAACAAGTGTGGCGATCAAACTAAGGAACTCTTCTCCAATCCTAGAGGAATCAAAGGTGTCACATGCTTGGGTAGATGCAAGGGTGAACAGAGCTGTGCCACTCGATGCTTTGCCGAATTCGGCTCTGACACATTGAACAATTGGCTATCCTGCACCATTGAAGATAATGACTGCGTTAAGGTGCCCAAGGATGTTGACAACTCTGCTGAAAATGTGGGATACTCTACTGCTGTTCGAAACTTTGATCCAAAAACCTTGACTGGAAAGTGGTGGAAGACTGATGGATTGAATCCCAACTACGATTTGTTTGATTGCCAGACGAACGTGTTCAAACCAAGCGGCGATGAAGCTCGTGAATTAGATATGGATATCTTTTTCCGTCTTTCAAGACCCAAGGAAGCTGGAGGTGGATTCTGGGAAAATGCTTTGACTGAACACATGGTAGTGGACAGTTTAAAGGCAGAAAGAACCATGCACACCGAGGGCAAAATGTATGGACTCACATTTGATGAAAACTGGTTCATTATTGGTGAATCAGATGGAAAGGGTGACATCCCCGCATTCAAACTTGTTGCTTACAAGGGACACACTTTGCAAGGGAACTATGAAGGGTCTTTTGTGTATTCAAAAGAACCAGTCCTGCCAGAAGCAGCCAAACCAGCAGTTCGAGCCGCTGCTGCCAAGGCTGGTTTGGACTTTGACCAGTACCAGCGAATTGACAACACCTGGTAAGCCCAAAGTTGGATGCGGTTCACTCATGACAGTGTTGAAATGGGCACTCATTCTTCTTTCTTATTTGTTTTCTGTCCAATTGATTAGCCCACCTGGAGAGCCACTCAATGATGCTGGAGCTGGAACAGGCACTTCTACAACTGACTGGATAGATCTGGTTGTAGGTGAAGGTGGTGTGATCGACTGGATATCTCCTGGTTGGAGAGGTGAATACAATAAGTAGACAATCTAACATGCTGTAATCGTCGCTAGCTACCTAAAAATGCTGGTTTGTGGGTGCTAAACTAGTCATACAAGAACGTTATTGGCTCGCAAAATAAATCGAGCGAGAAAGCATTTAGGTGTGACCAGTCGTCCGAGACGCATCTCGGCCACTTCTGTTTCGCCTTGGTGCGCTTCTTCCTTCCTCCTCTTCTTTCGGCTTTCGCCTCCGTTCTCCTCCACTCGTTCTGGTTCCTTTTTTCTCGCCTTCACGGCGTTGCTTTCTTTCTGTTGAATCGGGGTTGGAAACGTTCATTTCGTTGAATGAATCATTGAGGCCCTCGCCACCGCTTGTCGAATTTTCCCCTGTGTTTCCAGACTTTCTCCGAGGTTTGCGTGCCCGGTGTTTGGAAGAATCTTTGTCTTTACCTGAAGCGGACCTCCGGGGCGGCGACCGATCTTTGTCCTCAAACTTTCCAAAGGCTCCTTCCGATTTGCTTCTATCGGCGGTGGCCGCTTCCCCCCATGCGGCGTCAAAATCAGCAAAGGCATTGTTCGCGCTGGGAGTATTGTTGTCAGCATTATCAAATGCACCAAATATGTCATTGCCGTCAGCGCCCGGCTGGTCGCTAGGCTCACCTGCAGGATCAACCCACGCATGTAAGAAAGAACATTCGATACCACACATATTCGGTGACGATGAAATATAGTCAACGTCGTCGCACTCACTCGATACAGAGGCAAACGGGTTGGCTGAGGTTGAGAAGGCCATGTCTTGATTGACAGGTGCCCCATTGTCGTTGTCGAACTGATCATGGAAAGAAGTGAAATCTAGATCGGCTGCCGTCGCTGTCGAGGGCTGCGTTTCGGTAGCAGCGCCACCCGCCGCCTGCCTTCGCCTTGCAGCTGCCGAATTTGGATTGAGTTTCTTGACCTGTGAAATCGATTCGAAAGAATCTTAGTGATGGATGTACCGTTTTCTTTGGCAAACGGAACAGCGACCTACCTCTTTCTTATCACTTGGACCGAGACCGAGGCCATCGTCATAGATACCCTGACCATCGGTTCGGAAGGTACCAACTCTTTCACCTTTGCCCTTTTTATCCTTTGTCTTGGAAGCACGGCCCGGGTCCTTTGTCACAGTGGCGCTTTCGGTAGGGGCACCTGCTCCTCGCTCTGCTCTACTGGACTTCCTAGTTTCGTCGTCTCCTTTTTCATCCTTTTTGGCCTTGCTTGGCTTTTTCCGTGGGGGCAACGGCCGTCCCGAGTAGACTGCAGACAAACACAATATTACTTCGGTCATATCCGAGCGTGCTTTGGCATCAACGGTGAGCATTCGATCCAACAATTCCACCAATCCATCACCGTAGGGGTTGTCGTCGGGGATTTTGTATTTTCGTGATAGAATAGCCAAGTTGGATCCTTCTTCAAAGCAATTTTGCAGAAACGCCAGCGAATAGAGACAGCATCCCAAAGCCCAAACGTCGGTCCTGTTTTAGAAGAAGCGAGAACAAGTTGGAGAATGAGAAATTTCAGCGTCAAAACGACACAGACAATTGCAATAATATTCCAACTAGGCAGAAACCTACGCTTGCGTCAATCGTTTCGCCGAGTATAAATCGACCATTTCCGGGGCTCGGAACATTTGTGTTGTTGTCTTTTCAATAACTTCTTCTGCCTCCGCCCGTGCTTTTTGCGTTCTCAAGTCGACATGCCCAAATACGGCTGATCCAAAATCACATAGTTTGTATGCCCCATTTTTGACAAGAAAATTGACAGGTTTTAAATCGCGGTGGACAATGGGTGGTCGTTGTGCATGCAGGTACGACACAGCATTGCAGATTTGTCCAAAGGCAATAATGAGTGTGCTCAAGTCGAATCGTTTCCCTGCGGCAGCCAGCTTATTGCATACATCCAGAGCATGTCCTCCTTCGCAGTATTCCATGAGGATAACGTGTTGTGGTTTGGAATTGTTGGTCTCTTTGCTGAGGAATCCACCACCTCCTCCCCCACCCACTTGTCGATAGCAAGTGTCAAACATTTTGATGATGGATGGATGGCTTAATCTCGACAGTAATTTGGCTTCCTTTTCGGCAATATCACGTTGCGATCTCGAATGAATCGAAGTGACTTTGAGGACCATGAGTGGTTTCTCGGGTTGTACCCCACCAGATGCCGAACCAGCACGACGCTGTTGGCCCTTGGCACCGGCAGCGTTGTTGCTGCTCTCGCCATGGGCTGAACTGTGTAGGGATTGACCCAGGGCCGTATCTGATAGCTCCTTTACTAAATAGACATAGGAGAATCCACCTGCATTTTTTGGCGCATTTGCAAGGTTTTAGTAACACAAAGGAAGAGAAGCTTGGCCAAATATATACAGTTGGTCCAGTAGTATAGAGCCATGGTTCTTTCTTCTACAACGGACGTACCTTCACCCAGCAGCCGTGTTACAGCCACAGATCGGCTATTGACTACAATCTTTTCTCCCACAAGGGCGGTTCCTAATCCTCCGTCAGCGGCTGGCATGATGATATCTGGTGGTGTGGGTCCAACAATCAAGGATCATAAAGCTCCCAATCGAAACTTGATTCTGGATGATTGCAATTTAACCAATTGGCTCCTCCAAAATTACTTTGCCCAAGAACTCTTCAGAGAACAAGTCGACGAGACTGTGCGGTTGGATTGGTCTGTGGAGAGATAGAGAGATTCCTCCAGAGCGAATGCCCCCTGGTCTGGTGATCAGATGGCACTGGTTCTTCTAGCTACAGTACCGGTAGCTTAGTTTGTTGGAGGCGATTCTATCAGGGCTCCAGAATGACAATGACAGCAATGCTGACTATTGAATGGATGAATGGCCGGACAGCAAACAAGGCCCTGTCCTCTCCAACCAAAGACGCCTCTCCGTCCAATTTCAATGTGTTGTTGTTGTTGGCGGTCGGTGATCTGGCCATGGTCAACCTGCGGGGGGCAACATGGCAGGGAATCACGGATTGAACAGGACTGACTCGACTTTCAAGGTCTGAAAGTGACCCCCCGCTTCGCCTCAGACAGATAGACCCAACACCTCATTTTTCTAAGAGTGCTGTTGCCAAGCAATCCAAGCAACCAATCTACAGACTGTACACAGAGCCCAAAGCTTTACTACTATATACGGTATGCCTTTTAGTTGGTGCTTAGTTTTAGGTAGATAGTGAAGATTGGTGGTGGTAGCTGGCTGTGAGGAGATTGGCAGGTTGAATCAATCAATCATTCAAGTTTTCACCAACCCGTTGATTGCCATCCTTCCGTCTTCTATTTGTTTTCCACGCGTTTATCACCAAAGTCAATTCCACCGCGTTTGATTATTTCGACAGAATATCCATCAGGGTCGTACGCAAATGCAAGGCCTTTCATGGAACCACCATCCGGTTCCTGGTTTGTGTGAGAAAAGAAGAAGCATTCAGTTCGTTTGCCAAGACGAGGCTCTCCCCATATATCGTATGTTTCGTTGCTGCCCGCAACCAACATCGTCGACCAAGCAAGCAACCAGCACCAAAACTCACCTTGCGAAAGCCATACCCCATTTTTCGAATCTCATCACATGCCGCATAGACATCATCCACCAGGAATCCAATGTGTCCAAATCCTTGTCGTCCTTCTTCATTGCCGTTGTAGTGCTTGAAATCATTGTCTTTTTCGGTGCCATGGTTATGGGTCAATTCCAGCACTGGATTAAAGTGTTGCTTGTAAAAGAGACTCTCGTCCATATTGGAGGATCCCAAAAAGTACAGACTAAAGTCACTAAAGTCCCGCTGGACCAAGACTTTCATGCCCAGCTTCTTGTAGAATTCAACGCTCTTTTGGGGATCCTTGACACGGAGCATGGTCTGTGAAAAGTTGCATTCGTTGGGAATGTTGGAGTCGTCTCCTCGTTTGACAAGTTCTACCCTGCAAAGCGCTACTGTGAGGGTCCATCATAACGATACCTGGCGTGACAAGTTCATTTACTCACTCACCAGTACATATCCGGGTCGTACACAAAGGCTAGACCTTTCATTCTTCCTTCATCCGGTTTCTTTTTGAAGCTGCATCCGGCTTTTTCCAGTTTCTCGGACAACGCATAGACATCTTCCGTGCTGAGAAGAACCAAGTCAACGTGAACATTGATGAGACCACTGCGACAATGCAATCAAGAATCACGTCAACTTCACTACATGTACTTACTTTACAGCAATGTGACCAAATCCATCTGCAAATAGAAAGAAAAGAGCAATGCAAAAAGCAAAAGTTAGTCTGCAAGATTGCTCGATTTGGGTTGTACCACATTTCTTTCGTCACCATTCCTCACCTTTTTCTTTGTTCCCAGCATGATATCCTGCAAAGGAATCATCCGATTCGGTTCCATGATTGTGGGTCAATTCCAAGGCCACGCCTTCCATGGTCCAGAGATAATCATGCGCTTCCTGGGTTCCTGGAGTCAGCGTGTATTTCTCTCCTTCCTTGAGGGTGGTCAAAAAGTACAAAGAAAACTTGTACTGGGGAAAATCAAATTTGTCAATCAGCGTAAATCCAAGAAGGTCCGTGTAGAATGGGATGGACTTGGCGGGATCCTTGATGCGCAGCATGGTTTGCTGCCAAGTAGGTCGACCCGGAATCACATCGGCAGCAGACATGGTGAGGCGACAACGGAGATTCTTTTGGGTGGAACTAGTAATAGTGGGGATGGATGGGCGTAGCAGCGGCGAGTGGTGGATTCCAGTAGTGATGGTCCTCGCAAAGGTCGAATTGGAACGAAGCGTGGCAATGTGGCGGTGATACTTTGGAAAGACCAGCAAACGACAGCGTGAGAACAATAGGAGCGCCATGGTCGAAGAAGATCCAAAGATCTCACTTATATACATGTACTTTGTCAGCTGAATGGATAAGCACGACAGAGGTGAGTCACGGATTCCCTCACGAAAAGGCTGAAAGCTTCGTTTTTAAAAAGCCAAAAGCGAGAAACGGAACAAGAATTGCAGCAACCGGCGCATGTACAGCACTGTAACGTTTGCATCTAATCAGCTTCTGAAGGCAAGCATTGTCCCCACCACGATGTGCTTTACGCAAGAATTGAGTGATGCTCTGACTGTGGCAGCCTTTTGCTACTGCCTGGTATGAATGGCGGTGAGATTGGATCCATTGGGATTAGATGTGTCCAACAGGATAGATGAAGACATGTTTACACTGGAGTCAACTGTTTGGACCGAGATTAGTATAACATCAAAATGGTGCCTTAAAGCATAGGTTTATGATAGTTCCAGCTAAAGTAGATATAGTTTTATCGTAGTAGCTACAAGTGATTCAACAAGAAAGGCATCAAAAACACCAACACTAGATAGCAGTGTAGATTGTGCCTGGCTGGTTGGCTGGCTGCATTATCTACTTTTGTATTCACCTCTCCAACCAGGAGATATCCAGTCAATCACCCCACCTTCACCCACCACCAGATCTACCCAGTCTGTTGTAGAAGTGCCTGTTCCAGCTCCAGCATCATTGAGTGGCTGTCCAGGTGGGCTAATCATGTTTGAAGAGAAAGACAGAAAGGAATGAAAAAGAGATTGAGTGACTTCTCCATCTTTGCCATGAATGAACCACATCTAACTTTGGGCTTACCATGTGTTGTCAATGGGCTGATACTGGTCAAAATCCAAACCAGCCTTGACAGCAGCGGCTCGCACTGCTGGTATGGCTTTTTCTGGCAGGACTGGTTCTTTTGAATACACAAAAGACCCTTCATAGTTCCCTTGAAGGTTATGCCCCTTGTAAGCAACAAGTTTGAATGGAGGGATATCACCCTTTCCATCTGATTCACCAATGATGAACCAGTTTTCGTAAAAATGTCAGCCCAAACATTTTGCCCTCTGTGTGCATGGTTCTTTCTGCCTTTGCACTATCCACTACCATGTGTTCAGTCAAGACGTTTTCCCAGAATCCACCACCAGATTCCACGGGTCTTGGTACACGGAAGAAGATATCCATATCTAGCTCACTAGATTCCTTATTGGTTGCCTTGAACACATTTGTTTGGCAGTCAAACAAATCATTTTCAGGATTCAATCCATGAGTCTTCCACCATGTACCAGGAAGAGTCTTTGGATCAAAAGTTCGAATGGCAGTAGAGTATCCCACATCTTCAGCAGAGTTGTCGACATCCTTGGGCACCTTAACACATTCATTCTCTTCAATGGTGCAGGATAGCCAATTGTTCAATTCATCAGAGCCAAATTCGGCAAAGCATCGAGTACAACATCTCTGTTCACCCTTGCATCTACCCAAGCATGTGACTCCTTTGATTCCTCTAGGATTGGAAAATAGGCCCTTAGTTTGGTCACCACACTTGTTGACAAAGCAACCCACATCGGATTGGGCCATTTGGTTCTCCTTGGCATAGTCAGCAAACCCATCATAGGTCTTGGCTTCTTCCGCAAAAGCCACTGCTCCGAACATGTTTGAGGCTGTAATAGTCAAACCTAGTGCCACAGCTGCTAGCTGTCTACCAAGGTTGTGTTGAGATTCATCCTGTAGAGAATTTTTCATTTGGCAACATGTTGATGGCTCCGCAAACTTGTGATAGTTGTTGGTGGCAGGTGTAAATGCAGAACACTCTGCAAAAAGAGCAACAAGCACAATGGCAGTACCGGCACAAGATCCTTGTACCATGATACTGAAACCTCTTGTCAACTAGAACCTTCACTGCTCTTGCCAACTTCTCATCTATTCACACAGAAAAGATATGAACACACATGTCCCATTGTTTTCGCAGCACGATGCCACTTGGCAGTTGGCATGTTGGCGTCAATGACGGCAATGTGTAAGCCAGTAGTCGGATTAGATATGTCGGTTCAGGGGTGTGCTTGTTCAATGGGAACTTGCGGGCTGTGCGTTTATTTCGCTAGCTTGACTGATCCACGGGAGAAGATATCCACAGAGGGGAAAACAAAGCGGAGAGTAGAAGATAGCCAGCTGCATGCATGGATATTCCTGGACTTTCTTCATACCGGTATGTCTCTAGGAAGAACCGAAAACAGACCTGTCTTTCCATGGAAAGGTATTTTATAAGGACCAGTCAACCTGTTTGTTCACCAGTAGTTCTCTCATATTATGTATATTACTTTTCCAATGCAGTCTGCTACTGGTAATTTATTTCTTTTATTAACTGCCACCACCCACATAGGCTTCGTCCAAAGGACCGGAAACTGCCGCCGTCAATTTGGCCCCGTCGTCGGGACCATACAACGCCGAGTACACAGGGAGCAAGGCTCCATAACAGTTTTGCTTGTACTTGGTATCGTATACATATTGTGTATTGACGGGTGCTCCCGGTCGGTGTTGAAAGGCCCCGTCCAATGCCCACGTCAACCAATAGTTGGCGGCCTGTTCTCGTGCGGCCGCGACGGCAGCAACATTGGCATCGGTCGCTGGCATGGTCAATGCGAGAACCAACGGTCCTTTGGTCAGCATATCCAGTTCATTATTCTGATTGGACATATCTTCCACAGCACCTTGGAAAGATGCCTTGGTCGATTCCAAAAATGCCTGTACTTCGTCCGTTCCAAAATTGTTAAAGAATTCCATGCGATTGCCGGAATATTCAAAGGCTTGCCGTCCCAATTCTTCCGGACCGGGATAGTTTCCTTGGGCATCTTTCATTTCGTAGGCTCCATACGCTCGTGGTCGAAAGTCCAAGACGAATTGCATTGCGTCGCCCCCCACCAGACAGCATCGCGAGAGCAAATGTGGGACATTGGTGAGAGGACCATTGAAAATGGTCAAGGAGGATTCCTTGTTCGCGACGGTGAGGGATGCCAACCATGCGACGTTGGAATTTCCCACGGCATCTCGTCCATCCAGAGCGGCCGCAGATCCGGCAATGGTTTCTCCAGTAAAGGAAAGATCCGGTTTGGCTACCAAGTCGGGAATGGCCGCGGCAATGGCGTCGACAGTGGCCTTTTGAGATGCCTCCAGAGTGGCAATGGGATCACCAGCAGATGCAGCAGAAGTAGATGCTTGCATGGCTGGTTGCGCAGGAGCTGGAGCTGGTGCCGTGGCGGGTGCCGTATTGCCTCCGACGGCAATGGGTTGACCTGCCGCCAAAGCCCTCATTTGGGCATCATAGGCGTCCATGCCATTCTTCAACACGGTCTCATGGTGACGCGCAGCAGGAGGAACCAAAAAGGCAGTGCTGTATGAAACAGCCGAAAGGGCCAGCAGAACCAGAGACAATTTCATCATCATGGTCCACACAACACAATTGTACAAGGACAGTTGAGTGATGAATGAGATAGATGTGGTGACAACATCAAGCTCACTCGAAAGAAGCAAAAAGAGAGGTGCGTTCGAACGTTTGCCGCCAACACGTACCCCCCTTTTGAGTGACGAGTAAGGAGTCCAATGTTGTACACGAGAATCTGGGACTGCTCTTTGCTTCTCTCGCGCTGCGGATCAGAATGACCTTTCTCGCAACAGTCACGAAAGATCGAACCACCGTTGATCTTGAAAACCCAACTTTGAAAGGACCATCCGACCACCAAAGCCCAAGGAAAGAGGCTTCCAGATCATAGTTGTACTTTCTCTCTTGTCCATTGATCATCTTACGTCTCTTGCTATACCCATTGCTTTGTGCTCTCCAGCCATGCTATTCTCCCCCCTGAAACCACGGCAAGGGAAAAAGCTGCAACCCAACAAGCGCCAACAACGAGCCAAACTGAGCAATATCATATTCATCTTGTTTTCGGTACTGGGAGTTATCATCTTCTGGGTCGGGTTCCAAGTTGCCCCGCAACGACTATCACTCGCCCTGAGTCGACGAGTGCCACGAGCCAAGAGTTCTCTGCCGCTCTTTGTCAAACCACCTCCCCATTCGCTGCTCAGTCATGCCACAGTACCTCAAGTGGATGCCTATATTAATGGCACTAGTACAAGTAATACGGCACAATCTACCTGGTTGGGATCGATGAAGTACCTAGAATCGCCCAGTTGCAAACAATACGCGTCTTGCGAAATTCATTTTCCATTTTTGGACATTGAAGAAGAAGGAGCCGATTGGGCCGAAGAACGGATACGCAACCATATCGACAAAAGGACTGACTATGCCGTCTTGACACGCAAGGGATTCAAAGCTCTCGTTACCAATGTCAAATCCAATCAAGATCGAGCCTTTGTCATTGCACCCCTCGAAGCCGTAGAAGAATCGGCATTGCCGGTTGGGCCGGACGATTTCCTCATGGGACTCTTTGATGGACACGGACCCGTCGGGCACGGAACGGCCCATTTTGCTGCCATGGAATTGCCAGCCCTCATTTTGCGCAATATGCAACGACGGAAAAAATTCATACCGGCCCGCCATGTTACAGAGGGCGTCCAATCCGCACTCAAAGATTCCTTTGTCAGTCTCGATGAGAACATTCCCTTTTTGGAAACATCGGGGAGTACCGGGATAATCATTTTGAGACTAGGAACCCACTTGTTCTTTGCCAGTACGGGAGATAGTCAAGCGTTTTTGATCAAGGCTGACACGGCACGACAAGGCCCGGATGCTGTCACCATTGTACAATCCACAATACCGCATAAACCCGATCAAGTCATGGAAACGGCACGGATCCGATCGGCCGGTGGAAGTGTCATTCCCAAAACCAATATGGATACTTCCAGTCGCGTCATTATTCCAGTAGGAGAAGATGGTACCACTCTGGCACTGGCCATGTCACGGTCTCTGGGCGACCCGGAAGGCAAAAATGCCAATGTCATTATCCCGGATCCCAATGTGGATTTTATTGATCTGGCCAAATTGGAGCAACCACAACAACAAACGGATGCGCCCTCTCAACCACGGTACTTTGTCGTTGTGGCCAGTGATGGATTGCTCGACAAAATTTCGCCGTTGAAAGTAGCGCAGCGAATGGCGCAAAGTTTCTACCATGAAACACCACCCAATCCATTAATGGCCGCCAACGAGCTCATTCAAAGTGCCTCGCAAATGTGGTTCTCTGGGGGAGACATGATGAGATATCGAGATGATATCAGCATTGCTGTCAAGATGATTGATCTGTAATAACAGATGGAAAGAAACAAAAACAAAAGCACGCCGTACACCTTGCAGGATGGAACGTACTGCGCGAAGATGGCAATCATCCAGTCTGGGGACAGTCAGACACCAGAAGGAAGCTGTATTTGCTTCTACAAGCATGGGGCTCCCTCTGAACTATCGTCTATAACAGTTTGTCTACGTGTACGGTGCAGTGTCGAGACGACGACATTGCACGGTAGAAGAACCCCCCTACCGGCGAACAACACCGCTGGTGAACGATGATTATTCTAGAAAAACCTAACTAGATAGAGTCGTTGAAGCGTGAGAATGCAATGGATGCTTAGATACATGTACGAGAGAAAGTCTTGATTGTGTTTTTATTCGTTGTGTGTTATTTTATAAATGGATAGTCGATGGTTTATTGCATTCTGCTAGTGAAATTTGTTGGTGATTGCATGTGCTTATTAATATCTGAGTCACCACTGTAGTGTTGACGACATTCACTGGACTGTTGCTGTCTTTGCCTTGGAGCAAGCCACAGTTTGATGAATCTTCTCTTTGGATTGTTGATGGTATCGTCGTCGTGCGGCTTCCCGTCCCTTGTATTCCCCGGCATTGGCAACGGTCTCGACGTGCTTTTGGAGATTGGATCGATAAAACAGGGCCGCCTTGGTTTGGTATCGTCGATCCATCATGCCGGACATTCCATGTCGATCAAAAAAGGACGTCAACTGTTCGTTGCCACCTTCCAACATGGCCATGATTTGAGAATGAGACCAGGCATCCATATCAATCGATCGGACCCGTGATATTTGGACGCCAAAGGATCGGTGACGTCCACTGCAACGGACGCAAAGTAGAATGCCATAACTGACACTGGCCCATTCCGGACGAGCCGCGCCACAATCGGCACAATACGAGTTTCCGGGCAAGTTGTAGAGCATGCTACGGCAGGCCATGGGAAAGGCAACGCCATCGGCTACGGTACGATGCGAGCCACAACGAATGGCTTCGAGTTCATTGGACACATTGCGAATCATGGGAACAGAAGTTTGTTGTTGTTGCTGCTGCTGATGTTCTGTTGTAGTAGTGTGAACGGCGAGCAATTGACTGTTGTTGTGGGTAGCAATCATGGTGTTATGGAATGAATGAATGAATGAATGAATGAATGAATGAATGAATGAATGAATGAATGAATGAATGAATGAACGTGAATTCGTCGAGTACTATGATTGAGTTCAGTCTTTTGGAGACAGAAAAAATGAGCTCTGAATGAGGGCGTTCACTGATGGATGTGCGATGTGTCATGGATGGATTCCGACTACAGCGATGTGCCATGGATGGATTCCGACAACTGTGCCGTACCTGCCTCCAACACGCTGGAGGCCAGGAAGATGGTCCTGACAGGGCGGGGCCATGGGGTCCATTTGAATCAAAGCAAAAATTGACAAAATGTGACTGGGAGAGTCTTTTGGTTTGACGGCTCGCTCGCAGCTGTGACAACTCCCTTCTGCAAAATGCTGTGTCGAGAATGAAAAGTACATGTGCCTGTTTGCCTCTCGCTCGTCACTAGTCAGCGACTAGTTAAGGAGGGAACTTCGATTATGTTCTTTCTTCTTCACTGTAACAGTTCCAGTGACTTGCTTTAAGTCCTCAGATCAGTGGAGATTTAACTGATCATCTCCAGTAAAAATGTCATCATCACAATGTCTCACCCACACACATCACCTTTGGAGGACGAGCGACAGCGCCGGTGAAGCCTCCGTGAGCAACATTTTGTGGTGTGTCTTTATTTTTGTTGATCGATGTGTTGTTCTGGTGTTTGTTGTCGCTTGTATCCTGCTTGGCTACCTGTCTAATAGAAAGCTCAAGAATACCATTCATTCATCCATCCAACCAAAAGGTGACACTCATCTTTTGCTCAAAGTACAATTCAATTCGCCAAAGGCAACAAGGGCCACTCCAATTTCTCTACCGGTAGTCAGTCCAATTGAGTGCTTTTTGAATCTTTGTTTGTTGTCTCCCTGATGGCCAGTGCTACGAGTGTTGTTCCTCATCCAGTCGTCAATTTTGGAATGGCATCCAACGACACGAACACTATGAAGGTTCATGCGGCTCCAGAGGAAGAGGCAGCTGCTCCATTAATCACCACTACTCCCAAAGCCAAAAAGAAAAATGGAGTCAAGGCTACTTCTGCTAATAGTAGGGCCAAGGCAACTCGCACTACTTCGGTACAAACAGCTCCCGTCGAAGGAGAAAATAATAAGCCCAGCAATAAACCAAAGCACAAACGATCCAATTCCGATACCATGGGAATCTCCTCGAGTGATTTGTCTACCGCCAGTGCTCCCGTGACACCGACCCAAAAATCCGAGAACAAACTGCTCCGAAAGGGATCCCTAACACCCACTACACGAGGAGCGCATCTCAAAAAGGGCGTGCAACGAGTCAAACGAGGGAATTCCTTTGATGGTGTTGGAGCTAGCAGCAACAGTAGCAGTCCAAAGCCAGAAAAACCAACCATGAAAAAGGCTCCCTCTCTAGGACAAATCAAGGGGAAAAAGAAGAAAGATTTGGTGCAACAAACGACAAAACGAATGAGTTCCAGTGTCTCCAAACTCAAGGCTGCCAAAGATCTAAGCCAATCGGTAGGGAGACTCAGTGCCAGCACGTCCAAGCTCAAAATATCCAAAGATCTTTCTGCCGTAGAACAGCAAACGGCCAAATGGCTTGCCATCAGCCTAGCCAAAATAAAAGCCGCCAATCAAGACTTGGAATCCGGAGGTATCACTCCCATGCCACCAGCATCCGGACGACCTTCCCTGGAGAGCAACGACAATATGGAGCAAGAAGATGAATCCAATGGTCCGGGCAGTCCTGGAGCCGGAACACCCAGGTCTTCCGTGGCATCCTTGAAGCCGAAAACCAAGAATCGTGGCGGCAGTCCAGGAGCAAAATCACGATCGTCCGTGTCATCGGTCAGATCCAAACAATCCAAGGGGAAATCCAAAGCCCGCGCCAAAAGCGTCATGCTGGGGAATAATTCAGCGTCTTCCTCCTCCTTGTCGCAGAACAAGAGACATTCCCATGGCACCAAGGTAGCACGACAACAAAGTCCACAACAGCAACGATTCATGTCGGAATCCGAACGACTCGCTCCCATTAGTGACAAAGTGGATACGGCATCGTCGAGGTCGTGTCGAACTGTTTCCGATTTAGAAGTCCGATTGGAAAGTCAACGAATGCTGGACGAAGGAGCATTTTATGATCCACAAAAGACTAAATCGACGGCTAGCGACGCACTCTCATCGACAATCCACGGTTCTGGCATTAGTAGTGCTGCTGCAAAAAAACAAGTCAGTAACAAGACATCGTTGGATTCGAAATCGGCACATGGGTTACCGACCAGTCTGTATGCGGCAGAGGCGGCAGCAAAAGCCCGTTCGTCGTTGCAGGAGCAAATGACCAATCAATCGGAACGAGTGCATCGACGACGCGCCCAGCAGACGGACGCCAATAACAACAAGCCCAAACCAGGAAACGTGACATTTTTTGGCAATCCGCTGCTCCCCATTGATATTGTCGGAAAGATGCAGAAACTGCCCAAATTAAATTTGATGCATCACAAGGATGCTCTTCAAGTACTGGGATCCATCAACTCCATGAAACGACAACAACTCAACGTGAAAATGGAATCAACGAATGCTTCCACCGCAGCTTTGCCGTTGTCGCGGAGTTTGACCAATCCCAGCAGCAGCAATAATGAAACTCCGTCGGAGGATGGAAAAGCAAAGACAGAATTAAAAGTCATTCAACTGCTCAAAACAGCCGGGACGGCAGCATCCGCAACACTCTCCATGACGGGCTTTAAAGGTGGCGATCCGGAAGATCAAATCAATCATGATCGCTCTTTGATTGTAGCTCCGTTTTATTTGCGAAATCACAGCAATTCCATGGTTCGAAGACGTCTGATCGGTGTCTTTGACGGTCACGCCGAACACGGATGCAGATTTGCCGAGCACTGTCAACAGCTATTGCCGAGCTTGCTCTCGCGCAAACTGTCGGAGGAATTCAAAAGGGCCGTGGAAGATATTTCGGCAGGCATCAAAACGGGGGAAGACGAGGTGGCAATCACGAAACGAGTGCTGATAGAATCCTTTGTCATTATGGATGAATCCTCTCCCAGAGAGGCTACGGGGGGATGCACTGCTACCGTGGTCTACCAACAAGGCCAAAAAGTATTTATTGCTAATACGGGCGACAGTCGCTCGTTCATTGCAGTTTATCGAAAGAACCATCCCCACATAGTTCAGCATCAAAAGAAAGAAAAGGGGGGTAGCCCAAAGCAATCGAAGAGTCCGAAATCAATGACAGCAGATGATACACCCACCGTCAGTCACACAAAGGTGGTATATATGAGCAGGGAGGACAAACCTGACCTTGTCGACGAACGAACACGACTAGAAGGATGGGGAGGGGAAATCATACCGGCCGAGAAGAACAAATCTGCCAAAGTCAGATTCCAGGCGGGCCGCTCCGGCAAAATATCTGCTACGTTGAGTATGAGTCGGAGCATTGGAGACTGGCAATTCACTCCCCTTGGCGTTATCGCGGATCCAATCGTCGATGTCCTGGATCTCAAAGAGCTAGTCGAAAACGAAATGAGCTCTGATGGCGACGATGAGAACAATGACGATGATGTCTGCGTGTTTGCAGTGTGCGTTTCTGATGGCATGATGATTGAAAGCAATGACGAGGCCGAAGTTGTCGCGTCGGAACTCGCTACCAGCCTCTTCAGTGACGACGGCCACTATCCCTTGAGTTCGTGTCAACACCTCATCACCAGGACTGCTGCTGTTTGGGATAAACGAAACAAAGGGAAGTTTCGCGATGACATCACAATCGCTGTGACAGTTTTGAGAGCACCATCTTCGTCGGGTGACTAGCTTCTACGCTGTTTAATTAATAATAGGTCACAATTTGCTACCGACGTGGTGGAGCAGGTAGATTGGTTGAATGAATATTTCAGATGTTGAGCTGTGTGGGACATTGAAAATCCATTGCACGGTAGTGCCGCTCCCTTTTCAAGTTTGCCGGAGGCCCAAATACCGGTACGGTGCAGTGGAACACATCAATCAAGTTGGCCTCTGATTGCTGCTACCGGTATCTGCTACTCGTACCGATTCGAATTGAACAAAAAAGTTTGCATCCGACCGCCGTTATTCCCAGGCTGACTAAAACTAGATGTAGTCGACTGAATATCATCCTCCGTATTGACTTTGGTTGCCTATGATTAACAGTATGGTCAGTAGTAGCTTGGCAGGTGTACAGTAGCTTAGCTTTGCTCTGCTGCCGCCGCCTTCTGAGTCATCTCGACAATCAAAGTGCGAACATCTTTTCGGTCCTCTGCTTGTCTTGAAAATGGCAGTCTCAATTTGAATTGTTCTGGCTGGAAAGAGAGGCCCGGTTCACGTGTTACCTGGAATGAAACAGAGTGCGGATGAGTTAGCCGAAGTGTGATGATGGAGAAGGTCAACAAACAAACATACCTTGATGTACATCCCAAGCGAGTCCACCGAGGTGATTTCTGCAGCTGTCAAGGTAATATCGTCAAGCCCAGGCAATCCCTGCACCATAGCAAGAGTAGCACTAGAGTGGTCTTCGTTCATGTGGCCACCAATCGCAGCTCCAAACTGTGCCACGGCATCCGGTTTGGCAGCAACGTACTCCTCCGCTGTCACCGACCCGGCACGGGCAAATCCACCAACAAAGCGGAGTTTTTCAACCTGAAGACGGAACCAAGTGAAATCTCCAAAATTAATCCAGACTTTAGAGTTGGGATGCTTGGCCAAATAGAGCTCTTTGGCCTTCTCAATTTCCTCCTGAGGTAACTTCGAACAGGTGCCCATTAAATTGACACGGCCATCAGCCGCTCCTTTAAATTCCTTGGCAGCCACAGTCAAGCTCGCCTTGGGGTCCACCAGGATGTCCTGAGTATGGGTAGACATGCCCGAAAACAAAAAGAGAGGATTTCCATTCTCATCGGGTACAAATCCAACCACTGATCCAGACGGGTATCCTTCTTCAGCTTTGGAATTGGTGGAAATGACAGCATACCCATGATTGTACTGAACCAACGTCCGGATTTCCGTGGGCCAATCGAGTTTTGGGGCTTCCTTCTGGTACCCCATGTAAGCTTCAGCCTGAGCCTGCAATCTCTCTTGCTCCTCGGGAGACAAGTCCGGTACTGGGCCACTCGCGCGCACTTCGTGTCCAGGAGCATTTGACTTTCCAGGTTCAGATTCCAGTTTCTCGAAAAGCTTGGTTAATACACCGCTTTGGTGGCCTCTGAAGCTCACAGGGGCAAACGCCACACTGCTCTGAAGCAGCAGAGCCAGTGCAAGGATTCGAAAGTGGATCACCATCTTGCTGACAGTTGTTGTTGACATGGACTATGGATTTCTTTTGTGCTGGGAACTGAGATGTGGATCCGCTGATCCGTGCCAGAAGATCATGCCAGATGGAAGCTTCGATCTTCGCTTTCGTTCTATTGATGATGATGTGTGGTGCTGCGTCATTCATTCGTGGATACCGTTCTTCGTGATTACTAACCAGCAGACCTGTAAAGGAGTTTCAACCACCGAACATGCGGTACCGGTACCGAACGGCCCCGCCTTGCTGGAGGGAGCGAGGACCACGGGCACTACGGTACGCAAGCTGCCTGATTAGTTTAGTTGTAGCAATGTCGCACTGAAGGATACAAAGGTTCCGGCTGAATATTTAGGTTCATAGTATCCCACTCGGGTGTGTTGTGCCCACGTTTTGTCGGGGAGTTCTGTCGAAAGGTTGGGACGCAGCAACGGAAGCAACGGCACTGGTCCTCATCCAGGCCAGAATCCACCGAGACGAGCCGTGGTATCGCTCGGTTGAAGAGGTAAGCCCATGACGTGCATGAATGATGTTTCCTTGTTTCGCAAAGGTTAGTTCGGCATAACCTGACTGAATTGACAAATATATTGCTACCATTTTTATTTCTACCATCTACATGTAGCGGTACTGTATGTATGCATGCTTCCATCATACGATACGTCACCATCACACCAATGAGAGGATCGCCCGCCGATTGAACCATTCAATGACGCTGGGAACCAACCGTGAAGTATCGACCATCTCTCCCCAATATCATTAGTGTGATCGGTGCGCTGCCCCTGATCGGGAACAGCTTTCGTGTGTAAAAGAATGAAGACGCCAAACCTTTCATTCGTGAGCGTGAAGCCTTCAGGCGAGAGCTTCGTGAACGCCATTCTTCGTCTGATTGCCCAGAAGCGTTTGCATAACGACACCAGAGTCATGTTTCGCCTCAACGACTCGAACGTCCCGGCTGAGTCCCTCTGCTTGCTTCGTGTCGATCGAAATCGAATCAGTTGAAAAGACAACAATATGATCAGCCGAGGGAAGACGCCATAGTGCCCGGTAACGGTAGAAGAAGAGCAGCGAGTGCAGCCTTTCCTCATAAGAGACAAAATGCCCGGACTCTGACTCGTCATTACCTACAAAGTTGATGCAAGACTGCAGACCCTCCAACACTCCTCTGCGAGCAGCCACATCGCTCGCTTTTGTTGTTGTGAGCAGCGCTGCGATGGCTTCGTCGATGGTGGAAACGTGTTCTTGGCCACTAAGGCTGTTCACCAGGGGTATCACCTCAGCCATCTCCTTGCCATTGTAGATGCATCTGGGCAGAGCCGCACAAGTAACCACTACTGCCGGCAGTTCTTCTTGAAGGGTCTGCTGGACCACGGATGCCACAATGCCACCAAAACTGAACCCAAAAAACTCAATGGGAACGTTGTTCTGGGCAAACCGCAAAGCCTGCTGAAGGATCTTATCTGTGAGCTGGTCCAGATCGCAGTCAGGATGATGGTATGGAACTGGGATGTATGCCGTCTCTGGATCGAGTTTCGCTCGCTCCAAGTTCAACTTTGGGTCTAGGAACATGCCGTCAAAGTAGAAAAGAGCTCGTTTGCACGATTGGTGGGTAGGGGCCTGCTCAAGTAAATGGGTTGCTGTCGGCGGGCTTGATTTTGGACCCGGCTTGTTGGTATCGCTTTCCATTTTCCGAATGTTCGAGAGAGTGAGTTCACGTATCTGTTTCGGCGCCAAAGTCAGGCCATAGTCACGGGAGAGGATCTGATTGATCTCGACGATCATCAAGGAATCCACACCAAGATCGGCAAGAGTGTGGTCTTCGTCCTCTGGTGCCTGCTCAAACCCCACGATTTGAAGCACATCAGAGAGCAAGCTTCTGGTGCCTTCTCCGCAAGCTTTGGCTTGGGCCAGTTCGAGTGGAGCGTAGGCAGAAACAACTGGTGCTTGGCTCAACAACAGACTGTCAAGAGAATCGAGCAACGATGGAAGGCTCATCGCCTTCAAACCCAAGTGGGCAAAGGAGTTCTCCATCTTTTCACGTGCAACAAATCCAACGTTTCCGAGTGCGCCCCACTGGATGGCCACACTCGGTAAACCATCACGGTGACGTTGTTCGCAGAGTCTTTCTAATGTGCTGTTGGCGTACGCATAGTTGGACTGCCCCTCGTTGCCGTAGAAAGCGATAGCCGACGAAAAGACCACGAAATGATCGAGCGAAGAGCAATGCTTTCGGGACGCGCGATCAAGAGCATCTCCGATGGAGACCTTGACTTGAATAGGAAGCTCAAAGTCGGCAAACTGGAAGTTGGAGAATAAATCGTCGCGAAGGGTCATTGCCAGATGAAAGACACCACCAATCGACATTTGCTGCTCCAGGCTTCGAACGACTTCCTCGGCGATTCCGGGGTCGCTGAGCTTGGCATCGGTAACATCGATCTGAGCACCTTGTGCGCGCCATTCACTGACCTTGAGCTGCTGGTACGCGGTGAGATTACTAGAACGTGTGGCTATCGTGATGCGTTGAGCACCTCGAGACAACAACCATTGGCAGAACTCAATCCCAACACCACCTAACCCGCCTGTGACGAGGTACTGCTTGTCGGGTCTGCAGTGGAAGATGTTCAGAGCTTCGATTGATGACTGGCAAGCACTCATATTCAATATCAATTTCCCTATCGTGTCACCACGAAGGAGTTCCTCCACAGCTGAACGGACGCCATCTGCAGGTGAGTGGGAGATTGGCTGGATGACTCCTTTGTCAAGCGCATCCTGGATGTATTCGTGGATGATGAAGATGTCCTCGTGCTGGTCGTGATACATCTCATCCAGAGCGATGCTTGAGTAGGTGATATTCTTGAGAAAGTGCTTCATCGGAAGCTGGTGGTTCTCAAACGCATCGTATCGACTGATGTCAATGAAGTGGCCGTACTTGGCAAGCGCTTCCACACTCTTCAAAAGCCGTTCACCTGAAAATGAGTTCAGGACAATGTCGACTCCGCGACCATTTGTCAGTTTCAGAAGCTGGGATTTAAAGTAATTGGAGCGAGAGTCAAGGATGTGTGATTCCTTCAGATTGGGGAAACGGTCCAACAAGAATGCTCGCTTGGAGTCTGAACCGACGGTGGTGAAAATCTCAAGACCAAGGTCCAATGATATCCAAATCGCCGCCTGACCGACGGCACCGGCTCCAGAGTGAATAAAGATACTTTGGCTGCGACGTGCACGTCCTTTGAGTACGATTCCCTCAAACGCCGTTGCATAGGCCACGGGGATGGTGCAAGCTGCCTCAAAGCTCATGCTGGGGGGGATAGTCCAAAAGGTCTCCAACCGATCCACAGGAACCCGCGGCGATATCCCAAGGTTAGAGAGATTCAAACCCATTACGCGTGTTCCGTCTTTGAGCTCGCCAGCATACTCCAACCCAATGGACTCTCCGAAGGGTTTGTAGGTACGGGAGGAAATGCGCCCACTCGCTAGCATAGCATCTTTGAAATTCAGAGGGAAGCACTTGACGTCTGCCTTTGGTGAACTACAATCCATCGTCCAATCGGGGACTCTACGAATTGATCCTAGATCGCCTGGTGAGATCACCCTCAGCTGGAAGTTTGTGTCTGCCGGAATGCCACGCTTGTCTCGCTGCTGGCAGAACTCTGAGCGCATGTAGGTACCTGACTGCTCATTTCTCACAACGTTGGACACGAGATCGAGAGCTTGGAGTCGTTCAAGCTCGTTGCTTTCCGGCATTCTTGTTCCGTCGACACAGAGTCCACGCACTTTCTGACCTGATTCCTGGGCCAGGCAACGCACAAAGCCGTCAAGTCCCGGTGAGCTCGTGGTGTCACCCAGCAGCCATAGGGTTTCATTTGGTGATCGCGCTTGGAGAGAATGCTGCAGCTCCACCAAGTCGCTTGGCTTCACAACGGGGCTAAATTCAATTGTTGAGACCTGTTTTTGCTCCACTTTGCGGAACAAAAGATACGAAAGTGAACCCCCGATCTCGTGAGACATTGCCAGCTCCAGCCCGACTTCACGTGCCGCTCGGATCCAGCCCTCTCTATCAAGATACATTCCACAGACTCTCTCGTCGTCAAAGGTCCAAAAATCGCGAATGAACCCCCAGAGACCGAGCGAGAACCAAAAGTCGCCTGTCATTTCCTCAATGAGGAAAAAACCACCTTTCTTCAAACCTTGGGCGATGTGCTTCAACGTGTGTCCAATGTTCCTCACAGTGTGAACTGCGTTGGAGGCCAAAATGAGATCGTACGAGGCATCTCCGGCAGGGGCCGGTTCGTTGGCGTCCCAGACCACGTATTTGCTCTTTGCTGAGTAGATTTGGAACTCTTTGGCCAAGTCGCCGAAATAGCCAGCTGAAACATCAGAGATCTCATAGGAAACGGCGTATTTTGATAGATACGGCAGCGCTGTTGATGTCAGTGCGCCACTTCCAGCGCCAATTTCAATTGTTCGAAGAACACCGTTGCTGTTTTGCACCACAAGCTCGAGCATGTTCTCAAGAATCTCTGGGCGATTTTTGAAGACTCGGTCGTCTCGGTAACTGCTCGTATATTCCGGGTGTGACAAGATGAGTGGCATGGCATCGTGCACCAGCTCTTGCCATCTTTCGAAAAGATGACAGATGAGGCGGAGCATATGGGACCGAGGCTGCGATATAAACTTCTCCAGAAGGGCTTGGGTTGGGGGGTCCATCTCAATTTGATCCGTACGAAGGAGTGCGCTCTCGATCTTGCGCAAGTGTGTCGCGTCTTTAAAGGCGCTCAAATCCTCTTGTCTCAAAATGCGATACAGCTGACTAAAGAGCATGTTTCGACACACAGCAACGTATTCTTGTGTCTCGTTATCAAACTCAGATTGAGCAATGAACGCTTTGAAGTCCACCTTGTGTAGGGCGACCTCATCTCTGGGGGGCGAGTAATTGGAATGGATTGCCACATCTTCGATTTCGACGACGGGGGTGCGTACTGACCCATTGGAGCTCTCAATCGATGCTGGAATGTTCTTGTGGTTTTCAGGCAGGCACCTCGGGTCGAAACGAAAGCTGCCAATTGAGCGGGGCACACCTATGGCTTCATTTGCTGACCCAACAAAAAGCTGTGAGTGGGGGAAAACAATGGGTGAGCACCATGCTGCCACCATACCGGTACTAGCGAATAATCCAATGCTCTAGGACCCTTTGTTCTTTCGCAATAGCCCCGCGACGGACATGACGCTATCTTGCCAGCACTTACCAGTTGCAAGGTGGCGTCGAAAAAGGTTGGCCAGTTATGCGTGAAGTCCAATGCCGCATGCTTCCGATCCGCTGAGACTTGGGATATTCCACGAAACAGGTTTCCGTACTCAATTCCAGTTCTCACGAACAGCCTGTAAACATCGTCACGCTGCAAATTGCGATTGGTGTCGGCATCCATCCAGCTTAACGAAAAGCGTTGCTTGTCAAGTGATGCAGAATCCGTCGAAGCTATCTTCCCTTCCGCTACAAGCTGGACTCCTTCCGTCACAGTGAATGTATTCTGGAGCGAGTCAATTTTGACACTTAGCTTGATGGTGGATGTATTTCTGAAGATCGAGGCACGAACAAAGCGAATGTCCTTGAACTCAACGGGTAGTTTCAATGGGTCCTTCCGCTGCGCCTTCGCCAGAGTGAGCCAAACAAGATGGAGGTAACCCACCCCAGGGAAGATTGGGTTGCTGTTCACAATGTGATCTTTGACAAAAGCATTTTCAGGATCATTGATGTCAATCGTCCAGTCCTCGACATGATCGGTTGCAGTGCCCTTACCCCACTTGATCTCGGGCAGCTCCCATGTCTTGTGATGATCCCAATGCACAAGTTCTTTGAGATGTGCTGAGGGATTTTCAACGCCAGTCGACTTGCCTAAAAGAGCTTGCCAATCAAGCCCGCCTTTCCGACAGCCCAGCTCAGCTAGACCCCTCCAGAACTTTTCCGACGAGGGTACATTTCTCTTCGCGAGCGAAATGTGTGGGCTTTCTGGTGCCCCTGCGTAGCATTGACTCCGCAAGAGCCCACAAGGCCCCAATTCGACGATAATAGCTCCAGTGGGCACTTGATCTAGGCAGCGAAAGAAATGAACCGGTTTGACGAGGTTGTCAATGAAGTACTCGATGTCGGCGTCGTCGGAGGGGCGCAAATGTAGATATTGACGGGAGCTGCTTTGCCATTTCCCGCTACGTGCCTGGGGAGTCTGGATGATCTTCTTCAGATGTCGGGCAAACGCTGGCCTAGTCCTTTGAATCGACGAGTGATGAAAAGGGATGCCACCGCAATCTACGATAGCGCAGGGTATTCCAGCGTTTTTCACCTGTTCTGCAAACCGAGAGATTCTGGCTGCAGGGCCTGACACAGTGAAGCTCTGGGTACCGTTGTGGCAAGCGATTTCAATTCCTTCGAGGAGCAACGTCTCTAACGTTGCGCGATCAGTCTGTACGGCTGCCATTGCACCAGGCTCAAGCTTAGCTTCAACCAACGCTTGCCCTCGAAAGAAAGCAATGTCTAGCGTTTGCTCCAAGCTGATTGCACCGTCGAGATAGGCACAGACTAACTCCCCAAGGCTGTGTCCAAAGAACCCACTGGGTGTCACATTCAAAAGACGGAGTGCTTCGACCTGAGCCAGCTGAACCACAAGAACGGCGACGAAGATGTTGGTCGGACACCAGAGATCTTTGTCCAAAGAGTACAGGAGCCTGTCTAGATCAATCCCGTGTTGGCTCAAGTGAGCTGCGCAGCGTGATAGTAGCTCACGAGTAGCAGGGATTTTAGGCAGCGCCTGCCCCATGTTTGACCACTGCGAGCCAACTCCATTGCACACGAACCACACTGGCCGGGGCTCTGCACTGTTGTCAACGACTTGAACTCGCACGTTCTCCTCTCGGGTGCAGAAGATCATCCCGCGGTAAGGTTGCTTGCGAAGTGGTTGAGCATTGAGACGGGTCAAGAAAGTAGAAACGACAGGATCATGGCCGGCCGCCATAATCTCATCACCAAGCCGCTCTAGTCCTTCTTGGGTCCGAGAGCTGTATGGAAAGGCTAGCCATTCGGCTGTCTCAATCTTCTCGGCACTTTCTTTTGTTGGGTTTTCATGAATCATCTCGAGGACAACATGAGCATTGCTGCCACCGAACCCGAACGAGCTGATGCTTGCCAGCCCACTCTCAAACTGGGACAAGCTGTCGTTGATGCGAAAACGACCACTTCTCAGTCCAGATATCGATCCCTTGGGATTTTCAGCATGGAGGTTGGATGGAACCACTCCATGCTGCATGGAAAGCAGTACCTTTGCTATTCCCGCCAATCCAGACGCACCTTCAGCGTGCCCCATGTTTGATTTTACAGAACCCACGAGCAGCGGCGCTGTGCGTCCCTGCTCCTCAAATAGTACTTGTTCCATGGCTCCAAGTTCAACAGGATCACCTGCTTTGGTTCCAGTTCCGTGCGTTTCAGCGAAAGCGATGGAGTTGGGGTCGACCCCGTCCTTCCCATAGATTCGGCGTAGAAGCATTTGCTGAGACTCTTGGTTGGGATAGGTGATTCCTTGCTCGGTGAAACCGTCGCTGTTGCAACCAGAGGCGACAACCCGTGCATACTTCTTCACTGCCAGGTCTTCACGAGTCAGTAGAATGGCGACAATTCCCTCGGAACGTGCGAATCCATCCGCGCCTTCGTTGAATGATTTACATTTGCCGTCAGGGGACAACATGTTGAGGCGGTTGAAACAGACAGTCCACAAGGGGTGAAAGATGAAATTTGCGCTTGAAGATAGATGAAGGAAAACGCGATATGTGAGCGGCATGCTGGCATCAAAATGGTGTTCTAGTGCATGGGCGTGACACAAATTTCCTTGACTCACCCGCCCACAATGGCTCTCTCGCATTGACCGTTCTCAATCATTTGCACCGCCAAGTCAAAAGCCGTCAACGCAGACGAACAAGCAGTATCCACGGCAAGGCTCGGGCCCTTCAAGTTGAAGTGGTGAGACACTCGGTTTGCAAACATCGACAGAGCACAGCCAGTGGCCTCATATCCAGAAACTGAATCGAGGGCATTCGCATTGTTGGCCATGACATCTGAGCCACAAGTGCCGACAAACACGCCAGTGTTGGAACCAGACAACTCGGCGGGATTGATGCCTGCATCCAGCATCGCTTCGTACGACACTTCCAGAAGCATTCGGACCTGTGGGTCCAACTTGCTCGCTTGTTTGGGATGAATGTCGAAAAAGCTGCTGTCGAATTTGTCGTAGTCGCAAAGCTTGCCGTATCGGGCAGGGACACCGAAATCACCCGGCGCCCAATTGCGTTGTTCCTCGGTGACCAAGTCTCCTCCTTGGAGAAGGTGTTGCCAAAACTCTTCCTTGTTCGCCGACTGAGGCAAGCGCAAGGACAGGCCGCCCACACAGATTTTGGTCATTGTCGTCGTTGTTGTTATTCTGTCTCTCAAACTTTTTGTGAAGCGTCTTTGTTTTTGTGTTTGTGTCTCTCAAACTTTTGATCCAATCTTTCGTTTTCTGTTTGATGGTACGACTGTATCGGTAAGGGTCTAGCTAGGGGTGTGTACTGGTACAGTGTACCTGGCGGGTGGGACCGGTAGCGCGATGTCACGAACCCCTTTTCCTGCTTAGTGGAAAAATGGAAACCATTGAGAAAACACTCGACTTCCGCGCACCTCCTGCTGCCGATACAGTACCTTGTGGCAATAGTCTATTTTAAAATTAATAGTTAACTGTATTGAATAATTCGGGGACCTGTGTTTCTACTTTTTACTACGATCGGTTACTCGTACCGGTATGCATAGACATATATATTATACTACTAGTAATAAAGTATCTGTCGCTATAATTTTTTAAAAAGTGCTTTGTAAATTTACTGGAACGGCGATGATAGATTGACTCTAGCTATGATACCAGTATTAATAGTACTCCTACACTTGTTTACTTTTGCTTCGCAAATTGGAAGGGTATGTACCAGGGACCAATGCTGCCTGGGTAGGATACCGGCGCAGGATACACGAAAGGCCTGCTGGTACCATACACATCATGGACTGGTATGATTTGTTTAGCACCCACAAGCGGCACTCCCCTAGAGCAGCTCTGCACGACTACTGGTACCTGGTAGTAGAGTAGAATAGTAGGTTAGGGTGGTGGAGAGACTCGACTCGGCAATTTACTGAATCTCATGAGCCGACCGTCTCCGCAACCCAAGAATCAGTGGTCTCCCCGACTTGTGATCTTATGGGGAAGGAGTCCGATACAAGAGTACGTTCCTTGCCGGATTGTGGTTGCAGAGAGCAATTTCGGTGCTTGGCTGTGATTTTAATAAAAGAGGGGATTGCACGCACTTTGTTGCAAAATTGCATGATACTAGAGACTAGTCTAATTAATTGGAGGATTGATTCTCAGGAATAGGCTGGGATTGCTGCACGCAAAAACGAGAACATCTAAATCCACCAGATCCTAAGAAGTCGCTTCAGCTTCGAATTTTAATCCCCACTTCTCACAGACGCGACGGATCGCTGAGAGCGGAATACGTACTGCTTCGGCTGGGTCTCTGCGACCAAGATCTCTCCCGCTGATTTCAATTACCGTTGTTGCTTCATCGGTGCCAAGACGGTAATGCCTGCACCTTTTTGTCTTCTTGTCCACTAGAAGGGGAATGTCTGCCCGAGCAAGTATAGGATTTTCTTCTTCGCTGCACTTGTTGACAATCTGTAAAAACTTCTGGAGAACATACTTGTGAAATACAGTAGGCATCGCCCAGATCGTTTTTCCTTCTTCGTTAACAACAATAACCTTGTCCGAATCCTCCAAGGAATGCTCCTTGAGATCTTCAAATAGCTCGGCTTCTGCGCTCACCAAATTGCTAGACGGGTAAGTCTTGCGCTTGATTTCCTCTGGCAAACCCTCTTGCTGCTCCTCCAGTGTTGGACTTGACCCTGGCTGAGGCTGATCCGATCCTGCTGAAAACGTGCTGGTGTGGTAGCTCTCCGACGTGAAAGCCGTGTTGTCGCTCATTGTGGTGAGTCGCTCATTGTGGTGAACCCCCCCCCCCCCCCGCCCTGAATTCTGCTTCCCTTCCCGCTGTAGTGTTGTTTTGCCAATCGTTGAGGACTTGCTGCAGAAAAAGCTCGTTATCTTCTCTGTTGTTGTTATGATCTTTGTTTGTTGCTGCTGCTACAGTATGACAGCTGTGGATATGGCCTTTGCGCATTCATTCCCCCGACCGAACCGTTCCACATTGACGTGGAAGCGAGGGAGGGCCACCGACTGATAAACATGATCCAAGCCAAAGGTATCCTCCTCTTTTGTCATTATTTCGATACTTCTATCTTTACTCTATCAAGATTTTATCTCCTCTTCTATAGCGGCTACTCCTCCCGCTACGGTATACTATACTAGTCTACTCCACCATGACATACCAAAAGTAATGCTGAGGCGAGTGCCATGGCCTCAAGGATCGAGAACGGCCTTTTCATATATAAGCCTGCAAGCTGTCTATATACCAGTACCAGTAGCAAAACTTCCATTCTTCGTGGAGACGACCTAAAAAAACAGGCGCTTCCGTCCCAAAGGCCATGGGGTAGGGTACGAAGAACAACTCATCAACTCCCTTTCCGTGAGGTGAGCGAAGTACCGGTAGCATAGCATCCTAGAATCCAGGACAGCAGAACCCCATGGGCCCATGTTTGTCCATCGCACTGAAGAATAGAATAGTTACATAGCTGATATTACCCAAAGGTCCAAGGTACTAGTATCAGTGTTAGTCCATGCCGAGCTGGCTAGCTAGCTAGAGATGAACAGCAGCAACAACCACCCTCCCGTTTCTTCCGACTTGTCGTCGTCGGACCGACATGGCCTGTCGAACAGCGGAACTAGTACATCGACCAGCACTCGGTCGTCGAGACGATTGTTGGCGAAGGATTTGCGTGGCTCGGAAGTGCAAGTGTATCGGTCCAATTCGGCCGCGGGCATCAATCCATTGGATTTCACCATTGACAAGTTACGCTTCTCCTCGTTGGGACGCCTCTATGGTCGGGAAGAGGAAGTAGCCGAACTCAAAGCGGTAATCGCTGAACAGATGGAACGACTAGCCAAGTTTGAAGAGCAGCAGAAAAAACTGTTGGAGAAAGAACTGCAAGAATCATTACTCGACAAAAATCCCAGCAACAAGGCAAAGCATGATGATGACAATAATTCAGCCGGCAATAATAAGGATTCCAATAGCGAACAACAACAACCAGGCAATCTTAGTGCCATTCAAGAGAGCGAAGAAATGATGACTGGCTCGTCTGATGATAAAGATGATTCCAAGCCACACAAAAGTCTCGTTTGTGTCAGTGGCTCTGCAGGAAGTGGCAAATCGGTCCTTGCCATGAAAACCCTCTCCATGGTGCGAGGACACCGCGGTTTTTTCCTTTCTGGAAAGTTTCATTGGGGAGACACAACCAGACCGTTGGAGGCTATTGCCAATGCCTTTGACTCTCTCTGCGATGATCTTGCTCTCTACAAAAGCCAACAAACCACGCCAGAAACGGGGTGCAACCGATGGCTCTTCTCCTTTTCGGAGTTTAAGAAACAGCTCACAGAGACGTTTGATGCCGAAGAGCTGGAGTTGCTCCATAGGATCATTCCCCATTTGAGATCTGTAGTGGAAGTGGCGGATCCCATCATCACCGAGCCAATAATACACGAGGGGAGAGGGGTGTCAGACACGGATTATGTGGGATCTGAGCTACGCCTCAGGATTACCTTGAAACGCTTTGTCAAACTGTTTTGTTCTTTGGGTCCTCTCGTTATTGTTCTGGATGACTGTCAGGTAGGTTTAGATATATTTTGGTCCCTTTTTGATTTCGTCCACTGCATCCAAGTCAGCTGCCGTCTGACCCTCAAGAGTGTTCCAGTGGATCGATCGACCTTCTTTGGAGCTCTTGGAATCGCTCATCAGGGACCACGAGATTGCCCCCATCACTGTCATTGCCAACTACCGCGACAATGAAGTAGACGATCAACACATTTTCCAAAAGGCTGTCAAGGGCTTGGAAAGTGACGAAGGGTTGTCATTATCGGTTCATAGGATGCAAGCCAAACCCCTGGAAGTGGATGACATTTGCGCCTTGTTGGAGGATTTGATCGATGCGGCACCAGACGATACAAGACCATTGGCACAGTGCATCAAGAGCAAGACGGACGGAAATGCTCTCTATGTGCGCGAGTTTTTGCTGTCTCTGCATCGAGATGAATTACTGACGTTTGAGTTTCGTGCCATGCGATGGTAAGGTTCAGAAAGCTACCGGGCAAGTTGGATTTTGTAGACATGTTGCTGTTGTGACTCACTCCTTTTGTCCTCCAGGGAATGGGACGTGGAGAATATCAAAGTGTCTGCTCGAGTCACCGACAACGTTGTGAACTTGATCAATTACAAAATCAAAGAGCTTCCAGCACTCTTTTCTCGATTGTTGCCGCAGATAGCATGCTTGGGATGTCGGTTTCCCATCCCCGCGTTTGACGCTGTGGTGAACAATTGCGTGTCGGAACTCGAGGCCGAGGTGGCAGAGAGTTACTTGAGGTCCATTTGTCGCCACCAAGAAAACGAGGATAGTGGACACATGGACGCAAGTGCAGCGGAAACGACTACATCGACAAGTGAGACAATCCTTCTAGTATGTGAGAAAATTGGTTTGGTTTCGAGTTGTGGACTACAAAGTCGGTACTATCAATGGGAACACGACAACATACAGCAAGCTGCTCTTTGTTTCGTACCCGAGGAAGAATCCCTCGCATTCCAATTTGAAGTTGGAAAGTTACTTTTCAACAGCTTGAAGGAAGAGCACTTGATGGAAGTTCTCTTCGTGGTAACGAGCCTGTTGAACTCCGACCAAGAAGCTCTCACGAAGGAGGATGACAGTTTACGCATTCAAATCGCAGAATTGAACTGTCGATTCTGTGTCGCAGCCTTCTATGCATCAGCTTTTGAGTCTGCAGCTGTGTATTCAAGGAAAGGTATCGAGCTTCTGCCTGTGGACAAGTTTGACAAACACTACGACCTCGCTCTCGATTTGTACGAAATAGCAGCAGAGGCTCATTTCAGCACAGGGGACTACACCAACGCAATGCTCTTCGCCGACGAAGTTGTCGAGCTCCCGCTTATCCCGCTTCTTCACAAGCGACGCGTCTACAAAGCAAAACTCCTGTCACTTGGGGGGCTCGGGCGTGTGGCTGAAGCAAAAGATCTGTGTGTTCAGGTGCTGCAAATGCTCGGGTGCAGATTTCCCCGAAAAATGAAATCCATACATATCCTTGCCGGCGTGATCAAGTTGCAGAGTACGGTTGAGAGTATGGCCAAGAAGATCGATAATGCGAAGAGGCTAGAGGACGAACAGAAAGTATGGGTACACGACCTGTTGGACAGGTTGGTGACGTACAGCTTTCAAGCTGGGGACACTGATTTGCTTTCCCTGACAATGCTCAAGGGGCTCAGCCTGACTGCCAAGTGGGGTATCTCGGATAAGAGTGGTCCGCTACTTGCATCTGGGGGGTTGCTCCTGGCGATTTTGGGTAATTTTGCCGGTGCTAAAAAGCTTGCGGACTTGGCCATGAAGCATGCCAACAATGGCACTGACGCCAGAACACGTCTGGTCGCGTACCGTCACGTATTGCATTACCAGGTCGCTCTTCCCGCATGCAAAAAGGCCCTAATGGATGGGTACCGTTCTGGTTTGCGGCAAGGAGATATTGAGTCAGCGCTGTGGAATATTTACGGGCACTGCGATGACCAGTTTACAACTGGGGCCAAGCTGTCAATTGTCATCAAGGTACGTTACATGTAGCAAGCCAACTCCAACACCCCACCTTTTGTGACGGATCCTGAAAGGCTTGTGTTTTGCCTGCAATGGTACCGGTAGGACTTTGAGATGTACACTAGGCAAGCTCTACAATACAATCACGTGATGACCGGTCGATGCTTCAAGATCGCATGGCAGTTCTGTGTCAACCTGCGTCAACACGGTATTGCACGAGAGATGCTCACCGGCGAGATCATGGACGAAAAAGAGATGATCGCGGAAATAGAAAGGGACAAGAGTGACGGCCAAACTTTAATCAATCTCATGCGATGGAAAATCCATGGGTGCTTCTGGTAAGCAAGCACATGAGGCTCTTGTTGGAGCCGATTCTTCTGTTGTGCTGTCGGCAAGCCTTATCAATTCACCCACTTCTGTCTTTCAGGTTCAGGGACTACGAAGAAGCAGGCAAGTTTGTTGGTCGAGCTTGGTTTCAAAATCTGCAAAGCGAAGCGTGTCCTCACACTTGAACTTGTGCTCACAGTTCGAATAATTCAAGAGATGAACTTCCACAAGAAGGCTTTCGAAGACGCACTCCCCGGACTCGGCTGCACAGCGAGCTTGTACCTGCATTGCGCCCTGTCTTGTATCTCAATAGCACGAACCAACAAAAGTGAAAGGCAGCACTTGTTGAAAATGAGCAAGTTCTTCCTGTCCCGCTTGAAGGAATGGAACAAGAAAGGCAATCCCAACACGCTGCATTACCAGCCTCTGGTTGAAGCAGAATTGCTGACGTTCAAAGCCGATGATGGTGAAGCCAAGCGAAAGTTCGACAGCTCGATTCACATGGCTGGACGACTAGGCCTCGTTCAAGACCAAGCCATAGCTCATGAAAGACTTGGCGATCATTGTCTGAGACTTGGGTACCAGAACGATGCAAGATATCATTTTGACTCTGCGTTGGAGCTCTTTAAGTACTGGGGAGCTGACGCAAGGGCAGATCTCCTTGCCAGTGATGTATCTGATGCGGCTCCAGCGAAGGAAGTCGTGGCGAAGCAAGATTTGCATGACGATGCCAGTGCCCTCACCACTGAAATGAGTGGTGCGTACCAGTTCTTCACCAACAGGTAAACTTACTTAGTTGAGTTACTCTTGCTAAAATTGTATGATCATCTCTTCTATCGTGATTTGTTGCCTCGTCAGGTTTTAGTAAGAAACTCAGTTGGCCGCAGGCAACAGGAGATTCCAGCGACTGCAAGAGCTAAGCTTTAGTCTATGACTTATAAGTTAATTCAACTGTAGTTCCTGTCATTGCCCTTCATTGAGTATTAGTGCTCTAGCTAGTCAGCCACGGGAGCTGGAGAATGCCGAATGCCAGTGGGATCATCCGGCTGGTTCGTGATGTCCCGAGACGTTTCACGATACGGCCGCTCACAGTATCAGGGATGACAGCAGAGGAACACAGGGCACCAAAATGGCCATTCACTCAGGCCAGTTTCTTCCACAAAGAAGAGAAATCCAAAGAATGTACTTTGGGTGCTTTTGGGATGATATTACCATAAAGGTGACTGGATCCAAACAGTCCTTTTCCTCTTTTTGTCCTTCCTGCCAAATGGTCATGGTAGACGTCGAGCGGAGATCCTCCAGGAAGAATCGCTGGATGTATTGTTCAGCAAGGTTCTCTGAAGGGGTCCAATCAGCAGGGACCTAATCGAGACAGATGTGCGAGGTGTTTGCCTTCAATACTTCCTCCATCTTCTCTTTGCCCACAACAGCATACAGTTTCTGAAAAACTTCTGGCTTCTTTTCTCCAGTTGCAGGGTCCATGAAGAGGCCGCTCAAGTACACCTCATTACTAATACTGATCTCCAACTTCGCACGGTGAACCTGTTTTGGATCAGCCAGCATGAGCTCGAATCGAAGTTATGCTGTTTTTGGTTTTCCTCCATCTGGCATACATAGAAAAGAAGAAAAGCACAGGGCATAATATGAGAGTGGAATGATGTCATGACCTTGCCAGTGCACGGCCGTGAGTGCCCGTACCTTTGCTTCTGGATATCTCTTCCTGGAGCTGACTGCTCTCTTCTTGCAGTTTCGCAATCTCGGAGGCTTGTTCGTCGATCTTGGAGGCTTGTTCGTTGATCTTGGACTTTAGCGTTTTCACCTTTTTCTGTAGCTTGCCCTTTTCTTCATAGAGCTTTCTGTTACTTTCAAAGACGGAGGAAATTGCTTCTTCCAAATCGTTTTGTATGGCGGCGTGTTCGGCAAGAGCTTTCTTGACAGGAGTTTCGTTCTTGGCAGGAGTTTCCTTGGTTCTTGTTGTACATTTCATGGCAGGAGTTTCCTTGGAACGTTTCTTGGCAGGAGATTGGGATTTGGTTGGGGAATTGATGGAGACATGAACTCGTTTTTTTTCAGCGGGGGCTTTTTGTTGCTGCTTCGAAGTTCCTCCGTTGTTTGCACTGCGGCTAGAAGTTTTGCTGCCTGAGCCATGAGTTTTGGCACGAGTGGTTGTCGCTTGCTTTTCCTGTTCATCATCACTCATTTCAAAATCACTCGCAGATCGAGGCGAACCAGATTGACCGTAATTGACGCTGTCATTGTCCAACCGATCTTGACCTTTAGTACAAACTCCAGGGATGTTGCTTGCAGGGAGGGATTGGACAGATGCTTCTGAATCCTCATCATAGTTCTCTTGGCTGCCAACCGGATCTTGGCTGTCCACTGGCTCTAGGCTCTCAAGGTCAAACGCCATTGTCTTGTCTCTCTGTTCGACGCCAATAAGCTTTGGAAAATGAAAACGAAAAAGTTCGGGTTTGAAGGAAGGGAGAGTGTGCGTCATTTTCTGACCAGCAGAGAAGTGCGCAGCCCGTCATTGGTCGCAGACTCTGACTTTGACTCACTCGACTAAGGCGAGTCACTCACCTTCTCTTCCGTAGGATTGCACCGTAAGAATCAAATTTTCACTTTTCTCCCAAACAAACAGTTTTGGAAGGAGACGTTCGTCAAACATCATTTCGCTGCACTTTGTCAACACAACTTTATGCATTCAGTAATCGCCACAGCAAAAGCAAATCAATAAGATGCCTACAGGACCCATCTTTTTCATGGGAGGAGGAGGAACGGGGAAGACTACCCTCGTAAGTCCACGTGTGCCTCTTTGCTAGGAGATAGCACGCAATCCTGACATTTCCTTCCTGTCCGAACTTTCGGAGCAGTTGAACATGTACACAAAGCAACGAAGCAGGGAATTAGGCGTCATCACGGAAGTTGCCAGGTCAGTGATGAGAGAGAAGCAAATCCTTCAAGTGGACCTCAGCCGTGACGATGTGTTTTGGGATCTTCAGATCCAGATTGCACAGCAGCAAATAGAGCAGGAGCGAACTCTGGAAACCTCGATTGTCTCCAACTACATCTCTGATCGCTGTGTCCTCGACGCTCTCGCCTACGCAACACTCCGCTTCCCTGATTCGTTTCCTCCTTTAGGATCAGTGCCAATGACACAAAGTGGTCAAGCAGCGCTCGTAAAGCCGCTTCTGGGCTCGTCCGAAGTTGCGGCAGAAGTCCTGAAACGCTACAGAGGAGCTCTGATGGTCCTTGTGCGCCCTTTCGATTCAAACGATGCCTGTGATGACGGGGTTCGCTTGGTCATGTCCCGGAAAGAGCTCGACCAGTACACCGCTCGTTGTCGCGTTTTGCTTGACGCTCTCGAAATCCCTTTCGTTCAGGTTGGAAAGGGGAAGCCAAATGAACGGTTACGCTTTTTGGAGCAGTGCGTGGAACGATTCCAAAGTGCTATTTCAAGTTAATTCAATTGTAGGTCCTGCCATTGTCCTTTATTGAGTACTAGTGTTCTAGTCAGCCACTGGAGAAAGCCGAATGCGAGTGGGATCATCCGGCTGGTTCGCGATGTCCCAATGCGTTTCAAGAGATGACAGTGTTTCACTACCAACAATTTCCAAGTCGTATTGTAGGATGACCGTTGCAACAATACTGTTAACTTCACGCCGCCCCAAGTGCATTCCGACACAACCTTTGGGGCCCTCTCCGAATGGAAAAAACACTGACTTGTGCTCTCCAGGTACCAGGAATCGCCGCGGGTCAAACTTTCGAGGCTCTTTCCAAACCTCTTCGTCCAAGTTCATTTCCGCCAAGTGCACCAGAATTCCAGTGCCTTTCTTGACGGGTCCTGCTGGGAAGTTGGGGTCGTCCTGACATGCTTGTCTCAAGACCACGGGACCAACTGGCTTGAATCTCAGAGACTCGTCAACAATGCTGCGCAGCAGTGCTTCCTCATTGCTGTTGTGGAGTTCCTCTCGGAGGTCATGCTGTAGAGCTTTGTCGCCCGCTAGCGCCAACAGTGTGTAGTAAGCCGTAACCGATGAAGTGTCAGTGCCAGCCAGCAACATTTCCTACCGTACGAAGCATTGGTGAGCAAAAACAGAGTGGTAAGTGCAAGGTTGTTCTGTTGGTGATCAGGACACGAAAACTTCACCTTACCAATGAACTTTGCAACAACAATTCCTCGCACTCAGGTTCCTTCACACAGACTTCCCGGAGGCTCTCAACAAACAGCTTCCGTTTGCTCCCCTTCTGGGATGGGGTCAGGGATGCATCCCTCATTTCAATTGCTTTCAACAAGTTTTGAACATGACCCTTTAAGCTGGATACGGCTTGGGAATGCTTCTTGGCAAGAGACTTGTCCCAGTGCTGTTCTGGTCGGATCAAAAAGTACTCCCTTGCAGGAAAATGCAAAATGTGAGCGCCATGGTGTCATGATGTTTCCGATTTCCTGTACCAGGTACCCACCACGCCTTAAAGTATTGAACAATCGCATCTATGAAAGCCGCCTCGTCAACCTTCAGGCCGGCAAACTCTGTGGAGTCAACGCCAAAGAAGGCACCAAGACTTGCACGAAAAGTCAACCTGCGACAGATTGCTAGAAGATCTATTCCCTCTTTTCCATCGGCCTTCTCCATATGGGCCGTCAAAGTCGGCTCCGCCTCCTTCTGAATGATGCAACTGGCATGCTTCAACGCATTTGCACCCAATGCTTTCTGGAAGCAGCCACGAATCTTCTTCCACTTAGGGGTATCGTTGTTCCAAATGAGACCATTCTCAAACATGTGGAGCTTCTGCAGCCCACGATCCTCGCCAGGACGAAGGCAGTAGTTGGTGCGTGCTTTCCCATCATTGAAGACATAGTTTGCGATCTTAGGGTCCTTGGTGAGGATGAATGGAGTTCCGTTCAAGCGGCGTTCGCAGGTTTGGGTTCCGGCCAAGCCCAGTTCCTCGGATGCAGCAACAGGTGCTGTCTTCTGCAAAAACGACTCCAACAAATCCATTTCCTGCTTCGTCCCGCCCCGATCACGTGATTGGACGAAGACGGAAACAAGCAAAGCAGCAGCAAACAGAGAGAGCCCCATTGGGGAGACCAGCTCACTACTGTTACGGCGAGAAAAGATATCAGCGTTCATGCGACAAGAGCCTTACAATCAGTCTTTTGGAAAGGATTAGAGTTGCTTCTTTGATTGGCAAAGATTGTGAGGGATTCCATCGATTCCGAGAGCATTTGCGACGAGCTAACCCAGCAAGAGGGAATTTTCTGAGTATTGTTGCGAGAAATGGAGCTACTAGTAGCTGGTACATGAATCGCAACACCTCATTTACGTACGGTATCGGTACAGCCACAAATCGAAAGAGCATTTCCCGCAACAAAAAATGAAATTTTCATCGCGTTCACTTGGCTGCTACTCAGCTAGGAACGATCTTTGCTGTCTTCACGCAAAAACCATATTCCGGTATGCATGCATAGCTCCCCGATCCAAACTTTTAAAAGGGTGCGACGCAGTACAAGGGACCGTGCCATCGATGACCTCTGTCTTCCTTGTTGGACCCGTGGGGTGTGGGAGGTCAGAGCTGCTGGCAGACCGAAAAAGATTTGAATCCATCCATGTTGTGGATGTGCTATGCCATGGCAACCTTCTCGAAAACATCAGGAGGCAAGAAATAGAGGAAAAGGCTCGTGAAGACCAATCGTTTGTGTCCGTAGGATCCCTGGTTGACGCCCTCGTAGAGGCTTCACGCAGGAAGATCATCAAAGTGCCAACTTGTCCACCCCATCTCTCAACGGAAGATGCCCAGAATCTTCTTGTCCGACTATTCAGGAGCAACAAGGAACACAGCAAAAAAAACCTTGGAAAGGTCCAGCGTGCATGCTTGGGTACTCTGACACGGTACAGAAAGGCGCTCAATGTGCTCGTACATCCTGCCCGAGCTCATGTCATAGGCTCCAATGCTGAAGTCGACCCTATCCTGCATCAATACACTCAGGTAATGCACCTGTTGCGGATTCCGTTCGTGGAGATGAAGGAGACCGAAGAAGAGGCTCGAGATGAGATGCTTCAAAGAGCCATTTTTGACCACACAATCCCGAGTCCCCTTGCTTCATTGAAATACTATGAGACAATCAGTATGAAGAAGCAAGGCAAGTCGAAAGCCGGGAGGCCATCCAAGGATGAGCTCCTGGAGGCAATCTATAGAAATATCAATTTGCCTTTTTACATGCCCATGAAGCAGAGAGACGGAGCCGACCGATGGTATGCTTTGAAGGTTCTGGAATTCTCGGAGGCAGAGGTGAAGCAGAAATTCGAAGAGGCAAATGGCGCAGGTGGTCTCACTAATCGCTTCCTTCAGAAGCGCGGTCGCAGCCATGATTTGTTCCTCGTGCAGTTCGATGCACGCATTGTTTCCGCTACAGTCTTCGAAGTGCTGCACGGCGGACTCTTCATTCAAGGAGAGATGTACAGCTTCCTTGGGTGCAGTTCATCTGGCCTCAAGATGAGGAAAGCCTATCTTCTCCGCGGAACCGCGGAGCAAGCTGAGAAAGAGCGCGAGATGTATGGGAGCTTTGCCGAGCTCTCAACTGTACCAAAGCAGATCGCTAGGTTCTCCCTTGTAAGGTCATCCTTGTTTCCCAGCTCTCTGCATTTCCCTGTCACCTTTCTCACACTTCATCGTTCGACTCACAGCTTCTTACGCAAGTTGTGCCAACTAATGTGGTTCCTTCAAATGTGGTGAACGAGGACGACGTTGAGCATCGTGGAGCAAACTTCACTGACGGCTGCGGGAGCATTAGCCCCGACCTCGCCAACAGATTGTATCAGCAATCAAAGACTTCATTAAGGAGAAGGTCTGACAGCTGCTTCCGTGAGACACCGAGTGTGTTCCAAATCCGCTACCAGGGATGCAAAGGCGTGGTCGTGAGGGACTCAAAGCTCCCTCCGGAAACCCTTGTAATACGACCGTCGCAAAGAAAGTTTCAAACGAAAGAATTTCCCCACATCTGCGTAGCTGACTTCTCACGTCCATACTCGTTCGGACATCTGAACAGGCAGTTCATCATGCTTCTCTCCGGCCTTGGAGTGCCAGACCATGTGTTCGAAAAGCTACAGAGAGACCACTTTGATCGCATAAGGAATATGCTGCATGACAGGGATTCGGCACTCTTGGTTTATGAATGGAAAAATCGCAGCTCGTTGTTCACAGAGGACGGTCAAGACGTTCGTTCAGGGAGAGTCGATCCACCAATGCCTCCGTATATTGACTTGAAAAAGACTCAGTCTCGGCTGATCGAGGAAAGCCCAAAGCTGAAGATACTGGTGCCACAGTCGCGCACTCTTTTTGGTGTTGCAGAAACCCCCAAATACAACGAAAAAGGACTCCTGACTCCGGGAATTTTGCAACCTGGAGAATGTCTGGTCAGAGTGACTATGAAGGGAGGCACACCTGTTTCTTTGCAACACCAGAAAGTGATCGTGAGCAAGAACCCCTGTTACCTCTTGGGAGACATTCGTGTTCTCACGGCTGTCTCGTCTCACGAAAGGCCGCAGCTGAAAGAGCTGGAAAACGACCTTGTGGATACGATCGTCTTCCCTATTGTAGGGGATCGGCCCCACTCAGAAGAAATCGCCGGCTCTGACCTTGATGGAGATCAGTACTTTGTGTGCTGGGATGAGTCTCTCGTCCCACCGCTGCCCGTTGTCGACCCACACACATACCCTGCCTTTGCCGGCAAGGCCAGCAAAAAGCAAGGTGGCCGTTCCACAGAAATGGTTCGCTACTTTGCGTCTCAGAATGTAGCATCCTCGCTGACTGGTCGCGTGAACAACCTTTACCGCACATGGGGTGATCTCAAGGGCGTAACCTCATCACAGTGCAAACGGTTGGGAGAACTATTTGCGCGTGTTGTCGACAGCGCCAAGTCGGGGGAGAAGATCAGGATCGATCCAGGTCTGATCATCAGCAAGGAAAGCAGGCCTGTTGCGACGGCAACTTCGAAATACGTGTGGCAACGACTGGAATTTGCTGCAAACGAGTTTGTTCAGGAGCGCGTTCAAAGAGGAGATTTGCCCGTTGACACTGCCGATAGTGGACAAGAAGAACAAACCACTGACGATTCCGATGAAGCCGTTGCCCTTGACGTCGACAATCTCGAAACTTTCTTGATGGATCTGCTCAGTCGAGATCATTTAGCAATGTCCGAGTTCACCAAGTTTGGCCTGATAATGCAGCATCTTCGCGGGGACATCAAAGCTTTTCTCTGCTCCCAATTTGCTGCTCTCATCGATTTTGGCCGTTTCTCCTCTGAGGAACGTGGTGTGGCAGTACGGAAACACGGGGTGCCAACGGGCGTGCTGCAAAACCAAATTCGATTCTTTTCTAGGATTGTTGGATTCCGCACTCAATTCCTCAAGAAACATGAATTGGATGGCGAAGACACAATATGGAAATTTCATTGGCGCCCCGACAGTAAAAGAAGCCATTGTCACTTCTCTTCAATGATTGCACATGCCCTGCGAAAGAACACCGACGCCTTGATGATCCTGCAGGTATGTTTCGATTGGGGGTTCAATTCCTCTTATTGCAAGCGATGCTGACCATCTGGCCTTCAATTCATTCAACAGCTGCCGGACTCGGTGGTACTCTTACTCCGGTTCACGCGCTCTGCCCTGAGAACTGAGGACAAGGCTCTGTTTCTAACTCAGGACGGAAGCAGTGGGTGCAGCGACCAGAAACTTCGAGGCTCCCTTGATGTCAAAGCAGTTTTCATATCTAGTCATTTTGGATATGTCGAGGAATACGTTCTGAAGGACCCAAACTATCGAATTGATCTCTCTGACAAGGGAATGCAACTGTACCGAGGGAAACAAGCGGCAACGTTCGTGCACGTCAAGATTCTTCAAGGTTCCCCGGGGACGAAGGAATCGACTGAGGACGGTGTACCGAAACTGCAGATAAGCGTCGACCTCACACGGTTCAATCAAAGAGTGTTGGTCGGTTCGAGGCCTCATCCACTTGTCAGAAAATCTCCTGTCTTTGACATGGAGATGTTTGTTACCAACAAGAGGTCTGATCATAGCTCGCGTCCTGCTCGAATCTCTCATTTGGATGTGCTCCTGGCGGACAGCGAGCCCTGGACGAAGGCATGCTTCAGTCCTGACCAGCGGGTCGAAGGCGAAGACGACGAAGCAATCTTGCGGCATCTGCAGGCGACCGCCATAGATATTTTGAAGACAATCCGCGAGTTTTGCAGCGACATGGAATCCTCATCATCCCCAGAGGCCATCCTACGATTCAGAACCGACATTCTGGAGCCTTCCCACCACCTCTTCGGGGTCGCTAATGTGATTCCTTCTGAGTTGTGGGAAAGCATCACGTCGTTGTCCATTGAGGTATTCTCCAAGTACATCCCTCAAATTGAAGATTTGACAGAGAAGCTTGCCACGTCTCTTGCTTTCATGGCACTGCTCTCGGACCTGGGCGTTGATACGCTGTGGGGCTTCCCTGATCTCTTGGTGATGGAAGGCAAAGACCTCTCACCATACGTTTCGAAGTTGATTGAAGTACTCCGACGGTGGGACCTGTGGTTGGCTTTCGGTGGACAGCAGAAACGAAAGGAAGTGCTGCAGTGGCTGGAGTCGGCAATGGTACCGGTAGGCGGACTGGATGAAGCTCGAGCCAAGTTTGCATTTCAAAACGCAATCGAGCAAGCGGAGATCCTATTGGAAGAGCTTAACAGTGGAAGTGAAGCGCTTCGATCAAGTGCTTCTGTTTCTCGCATCACGTATCTTCGGATGGAAACAGAACAGGGACCCACGAAGGAAAACAACCAGGAAAAGGGAAAGAAGAAACTGCCCATTGTGTCTCTGCACAGTACCCAAGCGATACCCGTAGGTGTCCGGTTTGCTACTGGCGAACACGTTTGCATCTCGAAACAGCTTGTCGAGGTGAAGAAGAAAGGAGAGGATCAACATGACCAGGCTGCCAACTGGGCAAAGGACTACGAACACGAGTTCCCCGCACTCGAAGATGCTCATGCACATACTGATAACGCAGATTGTTCCTCGTTAACATCCAAGAGAGGTGGCTTCTGTGTTGGCCGTGTTGTTCACGTTTGCGACGCTCCATTCTCTGTCAAAGTGAAACTAGTGGCTGCCAGCTATGCATCAACCGCTTGCACACCTGAGCTGATCAATCAGTGCCTTGAGAGTGATTCTTGCCTATACTGGGAACTCAGTATGATTCCCGCCAACGTCATAACGCACATGCGAAACATGGACGCCATTGCAGCTTTCTTGGAGTCTTCCACCGAACAAAAACTCTTTGTGGCACCCGAAATTCTCCCACATTTGATGCCAGGATTCCCCAGCACTCAAGAAGAAACTGCGCCCTTCCCCAACAAAGAACCGCATCACGTGGAAGATTTGGCCAAGCTCAACAGTCGACAAGTCGAATCTGTTCGTCAGTCTCTCACGTCCCGAGTAAGCCTCGTTCACGGGCCTCCCGGAACCGGTGCGAATTGTTACAGTTTGCCGCTGTTGCATTGGTGGGAATGCATTTCCGTACCTCAAAATCTCTCTGTTTTGTTTGCCATTGACCCTTCCTACCAGGTAAATCCACGACAGCGATTCATATCATGCGGGAGATCTTGGCGACAACCGACCATAGAATCCTTGTATGTGCAGAGACCAATCTTGCTGTTGACAATCTCGCTCTGAAGCTGATGCGAGTCGGTCCACTGCCTTCGGGACAGGCAATCCGAGTGGGAGGGCAAGACAAGGTACACCCCGACTTGGAAGGCATTCACCTGGAATCATTGGTCAAGAAGAAGAAGGTATCCAAAAAGTCCTTGTACTTCACAGATGAGACGGACTTTTTCCTCTCACGCTACAAGAAAATCATTGCGGATGTGCTGGGTGGAGCTCGCATTGTATTCACAACCTGCGCTGGTGCAGGAGATCCAAGTCTTGTTGGCCACACGTTCGAGTCTGTGTTGATGGACGAAGCTTCCATGACAACTGAACCGGGAGGTCTTGTTCCATTGGCACATGGTTGCTGTCATCTTGTCCTGATTGGTGACCACAAACAACTTGGGCCTCATGCATTGGATGGAAAGTGCGTATCTCTTTTCGAGCGTCTCAGCCGTCAAGGAACTTCGATTCCAGCTGCCATGACCATGTTGAATCAACAGCACAGGATGCATCCTCGCTTGTGCGACTTTCCAAGCAAGACGTTTTATAATAGCGAACTTGAGACGGCTCCAGGCATTGAAAATGTGAGGCCCATTCCTCAAGGTTCAATTTTTCGTGGCCAGCCACTCCAATTTGTGCAAGTTGAGAATGGCAGGGAGCAGCGTCTCAAGAGTGGCTCCTGGTACAACGAGCCAGAAGTGAATCGAGTCCTGGAAATCGTGACGGAGCTTTCAAAAGAAGGACCAAATCAAATCGGCCTCGCCGATATCACCATTCTCACTCCGTACCGAGCGCAGCTCTATAAAATCCAAGATCGGCTCAAAAGCGTTTGGCGCGATCCTCCAGAAGTTTGTTCCGTAGATGGATTTCAAGGACGGGAGAATGAGTTCAGTGTCGTGAGTAGCGTTCGCTGTGGACAATCCTTGGGCTTCTGCGATGATCCCCAGCGCGTCAATGTCCTCCTGACTAGAGCCAAACGAGGCCTGATTGTTCTGGGCGATCGAAATACCTTGACTCGATCGAAGTTGTGGGAGAATTGGCTCAAGGAGGCGTCTTGTTGAATGCGCCATATGTTGTTCAACGTTCTTCTTCAAAGCTCCCTACTTGCTACCGGTATAGCTAGCAAGAACATTAATAAATTGTGCCATACGTCATACATCTCTTCAAACCAGTGGCCTCCTACAAGTTAGTGGACAGAACGGAGGGTCCTTCAGCCTTCAGCATACTGTAACACCTCACCAGAAGACGGATGAGAGTCAGCTTTGGATCGAGCTATCATGTCCATCTTCGGTACAGTCGGTCGAGGACCAAAAGATTCAAGCCAGAAGAGCTGCTGAATCTCAATCCGGTTAAACTTGGAGACTGGCACCGTTCCGGAAACCCTACCAAAGTGTTCTGCGACCGTCCACTCCAGTGGAGTTTGTCTCTGGCCATGGCAGTGGTAGGCATAGTTCAAGAGACACGCTTTCCCTAGCTAGCTAGCTACAATGGTACCCAGTAGAAGGCTTTGAAGTTCGAAGACACGGAAGGGCTTAGCTGCATGGCAAGGTTCTATCTTAGTCAATACTCATTCTTCTCCTCCTGCCGTCCCTCTTGCGACGGCCAAGTTCAGGGACACTTTCATCCATGGTACTCATTCGTCTCATACCAGCCTTCTTGTTTGTTCGACGCCCACTACTAAGATGAGCAGGAGCACTGTGGTCCATGTCATCTGGTGAACCGTTGTCACTGTCAGTATCCGCCATTCTGCGATGACTATGTTCAGGGGCGCTTTGGTCCATGCTGCTCCTTCTTCTCCTACCAGACTTCTTGTTTCTGCGACGTTCACTACTAAGCTGAGCAGGAGCACTACGGTCCATGTCATCTGGTGAACCGTCGTCGCTGCCACTTTCATCCACCATTCTGCTACGAGTATGTTCAGGGGCGCTCTGATCCATGCTGCTCATTCTTCTCCTACCAGTCTTCTTGTTTCTGCGACGTCCACTACTAAGATGAGCAGGAGCACTATGGTCCATACCATCCGATGAACCATAGTCAGCGTAACTGTCGTCCATACCATATCGTGAACCGAAATCAGGGGCACTTTGGTCCATACCAGAAGACCGACCCGTCTTCTTCTTGGTCTTCTTCTTTCCCGGGGTGCCATCATCCTCCAACTCTTCCTCTATCAAAAAGAATAGCGCCGAAGAAGATTCCATCATGGAGGATTTCTTCGGCTTTCTCCTAGTAGACCTATTTTTGGCAAGAGGTGAAGGGCCATTGTCACCAGAGTCATGATTTACAAAAGATTCCATCATGGACTCCCACTTAGAATCGGCCGGTTTCTCGTCGTCGTCGGAAGCCTTGGGCTCCTCAATCAACGAGAAGAGTGCCGAGGAGGATTGCAGCATAGACGCTCTCTGGGACGCACGCTTGGGTTTTGTTGTCGTTTTGCCACGGGGAGCATTGGAATCTTCGATCACTGCGAAAAGCGCCCCCGAGGACGATTCCAGGAGCGACGACCCTCTTTTAGATGCTTTTTTGGATTTTTTTGTTTTGCCACTGGACACATCATTGTTGCTGTCGGATTCCTCGCTCAACGAGAAGAGAGTCGAGGAAGATCCTTCCTTCGATTTTCCTTTCGACTTTGTTGTCTTTCTTCTACTGGGAGAATCGCTGGGCTCCTCCGTTAATGAGAAGAGTTTCGAGTTGGATTCCAGAATGGAGGACCCTCTTTTGGTCTTCTTCTTCTTTGACTTTTTCTTCGACCCTGTAGGATCCTGCATGAGATCCTCCAAACTCAGCTCTGAATCCTCTGCACCTGGAGCTGCCTCCACCTCGCCCTTGCTGCTGTTTCGGTCCATCGAGGAGGCGCTCGCATCTCTCAAACCAGTCAGAGACTCTGATAACACTAAGCTGCCTTCATTATCAGTTTCCTGCGTACCCAATGCGTTGCTGTCGTTTGATCCCGTAGGATCGCCCCCCACATCCAGAGCAGTCATGGAGTCTGTCAGATTCAAGCTCCCCTCCTGCCCGGCTTCGGCCTTTTGCCTTTCTTCCTCCTCTTTTCGACGTCTTTCCGCCTCGGCTTTTGCTCGTTTCTTTTCTTCCACTTCACTTCGAATTTTAGCAAATTCAGCTCTTTGCCGTTCTTCTTCCTCCTTTTGAAGCCTCTCATAGGCTGCATCCAATCTGCGACGCTCGCCCCCCACATCCAGAGCAGTCATGGAGTCTGTCAGATTCAAGCTCCCCTCCTGCTCGGCTTTGGATTTTTGACTCCCTTCTTCCTCAGCCTTTTGCCTCTCTTCTTCCTCCTGTTTTCGACGTCTTTCCTCTTCGGCCTTTTGCCTTTCTTCCTCCTCTTTTCGACGTCTTTCCACCTCGGCTTTAGCTCGTTTCTTTTCTTCTACTTGACTTCGAATTTTAGCGAATTCAGCTCTTTGCCGTTCTTCTTCCTCCTTTTGAAGCCTCTCATAGGCTGCATCCAATCTGCGACGCTCGGCTATTGCCTGCTTCCGTCTCTCCTCTGCCTCCAATCGACGCTTCTCAGCTTCCTCCTTGGCTCGAGCTTCCGCGTTGGCTTTAGCATCTGCGCTATCATTATTATTATTATTGTTGTCGTCTGTTTTCCATCCCATTCGCTCGTTGTGCTTCGCCATGATCTGAACTTTGATCTCTTTCAGTTGTTTTTTGATATTCTTGAGTTCCGCTCGAATTTCTGGATCGTCCGTCTTGTCTTTCAAAAGATCAGTGATGAGTTTGATGTACCTTTTCACGATTCCAAGAAGGATCTGTTCCAAGTCGGTCTCTCGAATGACCAATTTGATTCGCTTCTTGAGTGCCTTTCTCATGTCCTGGTACTGATCCAATGCCAATGTGTAGATATCCTTTTGAGACTGAATGATGGAAATCCTTTGCTGAAGGGCCCCGGCCTTGTCTGCCTGTTCGGGATCTTTCAACTGGAGTTCCAAGAGGCAATTCTCCAGGGTTGTTTGGCGAATCAATTTTGCCAAAATGTCATGTTCTTGTTTCTCGGTTGCCAATTCTTGTTCGTATTCTCTCAATACTTTTTGCTTGGATTCCAGTTCTTCTTCTAGTGTTTCCTCGTATTCTCTCTCTAGCTCAATCATAAAGAGATGTTTCTGGATGGCCTTCATTCGTTCGACGTCTTCCAACTCTTCTACTCGTCGCCGTTCAATATCGGCTTGTTCGTCTTTCCAGTATTTAAAGTGTGCCTTGTGAACACTGAGAATGGCGACCGAGTATCGAACAAAGCGTTGAACAATCCGTGCCGCCTTGTTGAGCCGTGTCTGAATCACTTTGGTCTGTCCCAATTTGGCATCGCCCATGACAAAGATGCTGCCTTTTCCGGTTTGACGACAGTCCATACCCGAGCCTCCCACGGTGAGAAACGCCTCGTTGAATGTTTTTTCCGTGTCCATGAGCCGGGCAAACTCGATTTCTTCTCGCGCCGTCAACAGTTTGCCCCGTCTGCCCATTGGCGAGACGGCCATGATGGGATCATCGTCCGGTCCAAAAATGCTGCGACTGCTGCTGAAGCGTTCTCGGATCAGTGTCACTCGTCGATTGGTTTCCAGAGTCCCCACCATGGCGCCTCGTCTCCATTCGGTCGGTGTGTGGTGGTTGGGCTGTTCGTCATTATTATTCTCTTTTTCCGATAAGTCCAATTTATTCGTGTCATTGACCCTGCGTTCAATGGTTGCATCGGCCGTCAAACTGCGCTTGAGTTGGAGTTTGCGATCTTCCACAGAGCCGTCAACGACGATTTCTCGCTTGGCGGTACCACCACTCGAAGAAGTCGCTTGCTGCGTAAAGCGTCGTTTCATCCGCTGGACTTTTCCCACGCGCCTATTGGTAGCGCCATTTTTCTTGTGGGTGGACGATGACAGTTCATCCTCATCAGGGGTGCCTCTCATGGTGCTGGCCTTTGGGCTGTGTTGCCGTGTCCATTCCAACATATGGCAAAGCAAATAATATTAACATCGCCCGAAGCGTTGAGAGGACCTGTGATGAGAGTTCAGAGACGTTGTGGGGATCCATGGTATCCCAGCCAGGTCCACCGTGCCAAAGCATAAATGTACCACCGGTTAACGTACGGTACGCTACCCACGGTAGCCTTCGTGTGTATCTGTGCGTCGCGGAAATAGGGGAATCTTTGAGGTCTTGGGTTGAAGATCGCGCTTCCGAATGATCCCTTCGCATTTAAAGCTATTTTTGAAAAGTCATTCCAGGATTTATTGAGAGCCTTACTTGATTGTCTTCAAAACCCGTTTCAGAGTCAAAGCGATGCAGTCACAGATCAAAATAATGTCCAAGTGAAGCTCCAGTGACCATTATTTCAGTTGGGGCACCAACATATTTCCCTTGACTGCACTTCTAATTCTTGGAGCTTCTTGGTTGCCCCCATGTCATTGCGCTCGGTTGCCGAAGGCCGAAGGGCGAGTGCATTCGCAGAGTCCCGCAAGCTAAGTCCCCTTTCGCTCGTGAATGCAAGCCTTTGCTAGATCTCGCATGCACCACGATGAAATGTTTGTCCCAGCGTTGCTCCGGTGTGCTTATGATACTACCGGTTCAGGGCACCGGTAGCGAGCGTACTACACTACCGGTACGGTACTAACAGTAGGTAGCCTCGCGTACGTATTTATTCTTCATTTCTACGTACAGACAGAAATACTGCAAACGACGCAAGCTGCTACCGCTGGCTGATCAACAGCGAGAACAACGATGTCAGTAGTCATGCAAGCACTTTCACAACCATGGACCAATACGGAAGCAATCACAAGGTCGACGATACGAAAGAGCCACGAGCCAACCTTCAAAAGAGCACTCATCATCATAGCATGGACGATAGCAATGGATCTGCCACCGCATCATCGATGGATGCTGAGGGAGGAGACATGGCGATTGGCGAAGAAGCAAAACAACGCGGTGCTGATGGAGAACCGTCCGCACCACAACTATTGAAGTCAATGGCTCTGTTGATAACTGAAGGTTAGAAACAATTATGGGAGCCATTGGCTGAGCAGGGAATGTCCCCCAATAGCTGTTATAGCTGTTGGAGGCTCTGCTGGATCTTACATCTAATTGTGGTTCCTGCAAGCCAGGGACCATCTAACAGTCTTGGTGTGGAGTTCTGAGTCACAGTTGGCGTGTGACTTCAATACACCCTCGCACGACAAGGCTGTAGCGTTTTTGGTGTTGGCTTGGTTAAGGATACGTTGTTGTTGTTGCTGTAGGCTCATAGAGATACGTAGGTCTCATTTTTTGGTGGTGTTTTGGTGGGTGGTGCTTGGAGGGGTAGTCGGTAGGTTGAGTGTGCTGGTTGCCAGTACACATGATATTGGTTTTGGTTGCTTATCTTGTATCCAATAGAATCGCATGTCATAGCTTTCGAGCGCTTTTGCTTGACGGTGTCATTGATAATGCCTTCGGCTACTTTGTTGTCGATTCGTATTGGTGTCGGTGGTTGAGGGTGGCCAATGAAGTCGAGTGTGGTTCTTAGTGGGCAGCCTTCTTGACCGCATTCGAAGGCTGCACACGTTTCTGCTGCGGCTGAGCGCTACCACAACTTTCATGACTGTTTGGGCAGATAACCAGGATGGGGCATTATTTGAGGTTGTTGTGGTGGATGTTGTTGTTGCTGATAGAAGTAGCAGCCGGGCTCGGGATCTGCTCTTGGGTTCACTAAGATAGGAGGCATCACTGTCGATTCGAAGGACCATGTCGCTGCTGTGATACCTGATGGTGGCGTTAGGAGGGTTGCTGCGTAGTTGGGAGTTTGTTGCAGGCGCTCTGGTGCTCGGGGACTGGTTTGTTGTGTTGGGCGATGGTGCCTAGTGCAGTGAGCATGGTGTTGTCGACTGCGCGAGCATAAAGAGGAGGACGCCTAGGATTCTGTGAATGCGTTGCTTTTCTTTCTGAGAGTGGGGCAGTTGGTCTGGAGTGTCAGTCAGTTGGGGCCATACTGTAGTTGTTGTGTGTGTGCGGGGAGTGCTCTGGATGCGAAGGTGGTGGATGGCAAATCGTTTGAGTGCTTTATCGATGTCCCTGGCATGGCGATGTCGCAGGTTCGGCTGGTGTAGTTCCATTTGAGGTGGATGCCGCTGTATAAGGCTCCAGACCAATCGGTAGTGATGTGTATTGTTTGTTTGAGTACATGTTCTAGGTGCTTGGCGTTTTCTTCTCCGACGTACTTACACCGAAATCATCTACGATAAGGAAAAGGCGACTGGTCGTGTGTCATGTTTGAAGAGTGCTGGAATTCGTTTGGATTGGTGGTATCCATGAGAGGCTAGGTAGGGAACTAGTCTGTCGTTTGCGACTCTGCCAGCTTGGGGGAGGCCATACATGCCTCCGTCGATGGCAACATAGACAAAGCCTCGTCGTCAATGAGGTTGAGTTCGTGGAGTTGATATTGTTGGACGATTTCAGTT